AATTTTTTTAGAGGTTACTATTTAAATAAAAAATGTTTGAAAGATTTAAATCTTTCCGTAATGAGTAAAAAATATTTTTTGGGGATTGAAAACCCTTTATTTAATTTGAATAGAAAATTATAAAAATGGATTGTGTATTTCTGTAGGTGAACTTATAGTTATGTGGAGGGTGTTTTTTTGAAAAAATGAATTGCTATGACCCGCTTTAATAAATATAAAATAAAAATCAGCCAATTGATTTGATAGAAGTTAAGAAATTCGAAAATTTAGAGTGAACTTATAGTTATTTTGAACAGTATTAATATTGAGCCTCGATATTAACGAACTTCTAACCCTTTCCCTACTAACCCTTTCCCTAAAAAAATTTCTCATTCGATATGAGAAAAGTTTTCTTCAGTCCCTTTGTGTTCATACTTTAATATCGAGATTTAATTCTCTAATTAAATTTTTACGTGTTGAGGTCCAAATCCTTCTTGTAAATCAACCAAGTTGCCTTGCTCAACAACTTTAAAAATTAATTACACAAAATTAAAAATATTTTTCTTTTTGAATTTATATTAACCGTTAATCTCTCCCCCATCCCCACCAACTTGAATATTTTGAACATCAACAGCTAAAAAATATATGTATAATAAAATTTTTTGATTATAAATCTAATTTGCCTGGATTGTTAACTAAAACATTTCCCTGATCATTATTGTTGTCATCCTCAAAAACTTGTGGGGCACTACAACAATTCCCACAATTTACAATTTTAATAATAAAAGTTAAAAATATAAATAATTTTAATAACATTTTTTAACTGGACTGGTTTGGATGTTTTTTTATCTTAATTTAATTTATTTAAATAATTTTTTTGATTTCTAAAAAATTAAAAAAGAATTTTCTTGGCATTATTACAAACTTAAAAATAATTTCACACAACTTTCTCGACATAAAATTACTTCCAACAGGTATCGAACCTCAACCACCAAATAATTACTGTCACATCTAAACAATTTATTTATTCAGGACAGGATATATGTAGAAAACTGCACCCAGTAGCCAATCAACCTAAAAAAGTGTACAACAAAAACTCCGAATCTTTTACTGATTTAGGGGGTTTTTTATCTTAATTTAATTTTTTAAAAATAATTTTAAATAAATAATTTTTATGATAGAATAAAAAATTAATTTATTAATAGAGAGAGAGAAAGAGAAATTTAAGAAAAAATTTAAATTTACCCCCCCCCCCCTCCCCCATTTTTACACATCACACCCAAATTCCCCTCCTCTCTCTCTCTTTATCCGTCTTTTCTTATAAAAATATTTAATTTAAAAGCGGCTCGACTTTTTACAGTGAAAATATTTGGAAAAATATAATTTGATTAAATTGATAGTTTAAAGGAAGTCTTAAGAAAGTCCTAGTCTTGAATGTCTCAAGACTCCTTTAACATTGCGCCGCTATTTTAGAAAAATAAAAAAAATTATTTTTTGTGTAATTTTATTTAAAAATAATCTAATTTAGAAAAATATTGACAGAAAAACTTTTAAAAAACATAAATAAACACCCCTCAGATTCGAACCTTCCCACAAAACATGTTGATGTACAACCATTTAAGCCACTTAACCAACTTGGTCAACAAGAGAGGGATTAAGAGGATTTGACAATCAAAATCTACGAAAAATTCCCGATTAAGTTTGTTGTTTTTGGTGGGGGTACAGTCATTAAAAATAAAAATTTAAATAAATTTTTATTTACTCAAAATTAAAATCCAATTTATATAATAATTTTTGAGAATTTTTCTATTAAAAATTATTTTATTTAATCTTTTGTTCTCCCTAAACTGTCGGCATAATTTTTTATTTTTTACCTCTTTCAAATTTTCCCTTTTTTAATTAAAATACCGCGACAATTGTTATTGGCACTTTAAAAATTGGATTATTAAAATGCCGGTATTAAACAAAATTTTTGGAGAGAATAAATAAATAATTAAGTAACCCTCTGATTTTTTAAAAAATAATTTGTTTGGATTTTTATTTGAAAAATTTTCTGGATTTAAACAAACAAAAAGGGAGGGATACCCTTTAGAGAATAAAAGAGAAACATTTTATTTTATTAAAAATACAAACAAAACTGCATTCCAAACTTTTTTTTCTTTTTGGAGGTCATTTTTAGTAGATCATCCAATTATGTTTTTGTTATGAAAAGAAAAAATAAAACCGACAATAAATAAATAATAGAAAAATAATTGTGTCAAAAAGGAGGGAAAATTATTTGTTGTTAAACAAACAAATAAAATATAATTAAACTTGTTTGTTTAATAAATTAAAGTTGTTTTTAAAGAAACAAACATGTTTTTATAATTGTTTGAAAGTTTTAAAACGTTTTTATTAAGAACAAGGTAAATTTAAAGCAACAAAGTTTGTTTTTAATTTTTGTTTAAAAACATTGTTTTTGAACAAAACGAATATTTGTTTTAAAGTTTGAACTAGAGTAAGTCGAGCTCGAGCGAGTTCGAGTTACTCGACTCGACCGCTCGGGTTTTTTGTGTAATTACTCGACTCGGAACTCGGGATCATAATACTCGGATTACTCGAGCTCGGAAACTGGTACTTTATGGATATGTCACCCCCCCTCCTATTTTGAGTCTCAGAGTTTTCCTTAAACGTAGAAAATGGTCAGAGATTATTTTTTTCTCCATGTCAATCATTTTTCTTTCTTCAAGCAAAATAAGTGAAATGTGGTAAATGTAGAATCGAAATGAGTGAAATGTAAGTACAAAATATGTGAAAAGGCAAAATAAACAGGCAAAATACTTGAAGAAGAAAAAAATGATTGACATGGAGAAAAAAATAATCTCTGACCATTTTCTACGTTTAAGGAAAACTCTGAGACTCAAAATAGGAGGGGGGGTGACATATCCATAAAGTACCCGGAAACTTCCTACTCGACGTACTCGGTTAAAACCGAGTATTTTTATGCCCCTATCTGCGGCGCAAAAAGGAAGATTTTCAGCTTAAGGAGCTTCCAAAATTCTCAAAATTTTCGCCTGCGGCGCTGAAAAACGAAGTAATCTGGTTTCGTGGTCTTAAAAGATCTCAAAATTTTCGCCTGCGGCGCTAAAAAGGAAGAATTTTGCTCTTTGGCCTTTCAAAATTTTCAAAATTTTCGCCTGCGGCGCTGAAAAAAAGATTTATGTGTATATCGGAGGATTTGAATGGGGTTAGGTGGATTTTTGTGATATCCGGATATTTCATGGGGACCTAAGGGAATAGCGAGGGATCTGGCCTTCTGAAAATTGGGTGTTCCTCTTGGCCTTCAGAAATTCTCAAAATTTTAGCCAGCGACGCGAAAAGAAAGGGATGGATCAACGGATTAGAGCAACGGCAACCCAATTAATCTACCAAATTCCCAAGATTTCGCTCCCAATACACCCAAATCTCACTATAATAGGCACCCAAATCTCATTATAATAGGTCCTTGATATCCATCTCATTCCTCTTATCACACGATATCCCCTTAATCTACACAAATCCCCGAAATAATATTATCCATTGATTTTCAACCCGGAGTCCGGAGCCAACATGGATGTGTGCATATCATGGAATTTCGGCGGATTAAGAGGGATATAGACGGATTAACGAAAATAACTGGGATTTGGATGATGATCTAACGCATTACTGCCAACAAATGCTCAAAACACGGCACTGATGATGAATAATCTTTAGTAAAACTACTGTTTTTATTAAAATTATTTTAAAATACTGGTTTATTGAAAATACTCGATTACTCGACTACTCGAACTCGAACTCGGCCTAAAAAGTTGAGCTCGAGCTCGAACTCGGGTTTTTCAAACTCGGATTACTCGAGCTCGGTTTTTTCCCAATTACTCGGTACTCGACTTACTCTAGTTTGAACATTAAAGTTTGTTTAAAACAAGTTTATCTAATTAAATAATAAAACTTAAGTTAATAAATGTTTTGTTTAAAGGTTTAGGTTTATTTTTAAAACAAGTTTAATTAAAACATTTTTGTTTAGAAACAAGTTTGCAAACAAGTTTAAAAACAAGTTTATTTAAAACATTTATCAAAACAAGTTTAATAAAGATGTTTTTAAATGTTTTTAATAAAATATTTTCTTCAAAATGCTTAAAACAAGTTCATTTTCTTTATTCTGTTCTAAACTTTTTACCTGTTGTTATTACTTGTGGAAGGATTGTTGTTTGTAGTATTGTTGTAGCAGAAAGGGTTATGAAGAAACATTTGGGTAACAAAAGGGACTTAATAATTTTAAAAAATTAATAAAAAAATATTTTTTTCTAACCAATATTTTGGTGTTTTTGGGGTAATAAAGACGTTGATGATTGTTGTTCTGTATTTGTTCCGGAGGCGTCAGAAAAAGGGGAGGATGACATTTCATCCCTTTCCTCTTCCATTCCTTCCTCTTTTTCATCGTAATCATTTGATAGGGAAGAGGTTAATTTATTTTTATTTTGTATTGAATTAACTAGAGGAGAGGAATATGTAGCTGAATTATTATTATTGTTGTTTGAGTTGACACTTCTACCAACTTTTTTCTTAAAAAAATATTTTTTTTGAATTTTTAAAAACAATTTTAGAATTTCCGAAAATTCTATTTATTTAATTAATTATTATCTAATTATATTATTAATTATCTAATCATTTTTATCTAATTAATTAAATTTAAATAATTTTTAATAAAAAAAATCAGTTCTCTCTTATAAGATTATGGTTCGGAACCGAACAGAGAACCGAAGAACTTTTCGCCTCGGTTCCGGATATCTGAAGATGTCTATATCGCTTATGTATACGATTTTTTAAACTTGGTTACACTAGAAGGGCCTTCACTTTAATGTCTCCACACAGTAATTTTTGCTAATTTTGGTTCACAATCGTCTAATCCAAATTTTCCTGTTTACACTTCTGTATATCACATATGGAAGTTATTTTTTATTTTTTAAAATTTATTATTTTAAGATTACATTTCATCCCATTCTTTAATTTTTTAAATTAAAAAAAACCAAATAAAAATTCACTTGTTTCATTCTCCTGTTCTGAAACCAAGTTTTCACCTATAAAAATATTTCAATTAAAAAAATTTTTTCGAATAATTTACCTGTGTTTCACTCAAATTGAGTGATTCAGCAAGGCTTATACGCTCTGGGGTAGATAAATACCTTTGGCCATTAAAGCGTTGTTCTAAGCCTTTAAAATAAATTATTTAAATTAAAATTTATTTTTTTAAATTATTTACCCTGTAGTTGATGATCAGAAAATACTGTGCGCGCCTTTCTCCGCCTATACGACTTGCTTGAATTAATAGAAGGTTGAGAAAAATCAAAAGCCGCAGAAAAGTTTGGGATTAAATTAGTGTTGATATTATCCTAATATTTTTTATTTATTTTTTCAAAATATTCCAATCAACCTTTCCCTGCGCTCCCGAAGCAGCCGCTGCAGCAAAAGCAGCGGCCAACCTCAAAGCTATACTTCCCACTCCCCCTTCTTGAATTAAATTATTTTGGTGATTAAATAAAAGTCTTTGAGCTATTGCCCAGTCAATTTGAATTTGTTGTTGTGTTGAAATAGGGAAATCTTTTATTGTTTTTAGATTATCGGGAAGAGGAGGGGGGTTGAAGGATGTTGTTGGTGGTAGGGTATTGACAGTTTTTGTTGTTGAAGGTATTGAGTCGATGTAGGTATTGTTGTTGGTTAATGACTGAAATTAAAAAAGGGACTTCCTCCTTTATCCCATGAAGGGAGGATTTTAAGTATGGGTGCTTTATCACGAAGGGAGTTTAAGGGAAATTTTGATCGAGAAAACCGTTGGGGATGTGGACACCAATTAAAATTTGATTTTCGATATTTCAATAAAATGATAATGCCTTTGGACATTACTGCTTCTCAGTTCATAGAGTTTAAGGAAAAATTCCCTGATACTCGTATTTTTAGAAACGTTGTCTTTTGAAATAGGAACTTCACAACTCGACATGACTCGATTTCAGTAAGCCTCAGTTTATCCGCAACGATTTTTATTTTTCTGCGGATTCCCTCTTTTATTAAAATTACCGTATTCCCCTTCTGTTCACTTGTTTCTTCTTTAATATTTTGTTGAGTAGGAATACTTGAGGGAGTAATTAAACGTTCATCGTCATTATTAACAACAATATTTCCCCTCTTAATAGGTGAAAGTAATTTAAAAATTGTAAATTCTTTTTTAGTTTTCGCCTCTTTATTTGTAATTTCTAAATTTGTGTTTTCCTCAATTTTTAATTGTTCTTCAGAATTTTTATTAATTAAATTCTGATTATTTTCTTGAGGAGGAATATTTAAATAAATTAAATCGTCAGCCATTAAATTAGGTATTTTTTTTAATTTGTAAATTGTAATTCTGAATTGTAAAATACCTAAATATTAATTACTCTATTAATTACCCTCCCTCAAATAATCCCCCCCCCCTTCAGAGAAAAATTGAAACAATAATTACCCAGGGTAATTAATAGAGTATATACGGTAATTTAATTTATATTAAATTGTTTTTACGAAATTTCGAAAAAATTCTGATTTTAAAAGAAAATAATGGCTCCCGGACAATGCGTCAGTGGACAATGCGTGAGTGGAAAATGCGTCAGTGGACTATCGGTCAGTGATGATATAGTGATTAAAAGCGATGATATCAAGAGGTAAAAATCGACTAATATCACTCCAAATCAACTTATCTCCATTTTAACCCAACCAAATAACTTTATATCTCTGTTAATCCAGCCAAACCAGAGATATCGACCTTAATCCCAACAAATCCTTCTATATCTCTTTTAATCCCACAAAATTCCTTTTTAAATACTCCTAATCTCTAAATATCCCATCTTTAGTCTCTTTATTTCATTCTTTATCTCTTTACACATCACTTTTAATCACTTTATATCATCACTGACCGATTGTCCACTGACGCATTTTCCACTCACGCATTGTCCACTGACGCATTGTCCGGACACGAAAATTAATAGAGATTAACAATAAGTAATTGAATTATATGGTGTTGACAAATTGGCTTATAAATTAATAAAAATACTGGTTTAATTTAAAAAATTCTGTTTCTATATTAACAAATAAATTCTGATTTTAATAAAAAAATAATAGAGATTAACAATAAGTGATTGAACTATATGGTGTTGATCAAATTGGTTAATAGATTAACAAAAATTCTGGTTTAATTTGAAAAATTCTGATTTTTTAAACAAAAGATTTTAATTTTTTGAACAAAAATTCCTTTTTTTGAAATTTAAGGCTTTATCGGAAATTCTGATTTACAAAGAAAAATATTAGAATTTTTGTTTTAATCAAATTGGCTAATAAATTAATAAAAATTCTAATTTAATTTAAAAATTTCTACTTTTTTAGAATTTAATATTAAAAATTCTGATTTTCTATTTACCTAATTAATATTTTATTAAATAAAAATTTAATAAATAAATAAAAAATAAAAATCCAAAAATACTAAAAAAAGATTTATATTTATGTGGGCGTTCACCGCTCATTTTCTCATCATGCACAAGCATCGTTGAGGGTTATGGTAATTAAAATAGACAACAAGCAACTCTTTGAGATATTATTAAATATTTTTATATGAAAATGTGCAAAGAATAGGAGGAGAAAATAAAAGGATTTTTTGGAGAGAGAGAGATAATTACATTAAATTGCAATCCTTATTATAATAAGCATGTAGAAAGGGGATTTATTTAAGGAGGCGGTTATATATTAAAAATTAATAATATAAAAATGAAAATTGAGAATAAAAAAAAGAATTTGTTGCTTATAAATAAAAAAATTTGAGAGAAATCAAAGATTGTAATTATATGTAATTTAAAAATTCAGAATTTGTAAGAACCAGAATTTTAAAATTAAAAGAGATAGGGGTTTACACGTTAAAATAAGCATTTTTAAAAATAATAATCAGAATTTATAAAAGAAATTTGAGAAATTCTGATTGTAAATATTCTGATTGTAATTTAGTTACAATTACAAATTCTGAACTTTAATTTCTGACGTTTACAAATTCTGAATTTTTATAGAATTACAATTCGTTTATTTACAAATTTATTTTTTACAGGAGTCAGAATTTGTAATAAACCAAAATTTGTAATTGTAACAAGAATTCTTTTCATTATATTTACAATCAGAATTTTTCAAACTTGAAATATGTAAAAATATTTAAAGTTTACTAATAATGAGAAGCTTATTAAGGCTTATTAAAAATAGCCATGTACATGCATACATATTTACACCCTTTAAAAATAATAAATGAATTTCTTCTCTCCAACGGAGATTAGTATATGGATGTTTGTGCCCGTCTTGAGAGGTCATAAAAAGCTTTGTAAACCCAATTAAAATTAATTGCATGCACAATTGGCTCTCGAAGACAATCTTTTTGATTGGATCGCCGAGGGGATTTGTTGGAATACTGTAAAAATAAAAGAATAAATTTTCTAAAGAAATGAGCAAAGAAGGAAATGTGAGGAGGAAATTGGGTAAAAAATAGGGAAACGAGCAATTTGTTTTACGCGCAAAAATGGCCCCGATGGAGTGGGTGAAGAAAATCATAATTAAGCATATGTTGGTAGTATAAACAAGCTTTTTTAATTTATTTATTTGCAGTTTTTCTTGGTATTATAAAAGAGAATATTTAATTATTATTAAATAAGTAAACAATTAAAATCAGAATTTATTTAGTAAATTCTAATTAGAATTGTAATTCTGATTTTAAATATTCTGATAAAAAAGTTACAAGCAAAATCAGAATTATTTTATAATTAAAACCAGAATTCTTACAAATCGCAAATAATAAATTGTAAAACGTTAATAATCAGAATTTAAAAAATTACAAATCAGAATTTTTTGATTTTTAATCAGAATTGTAATTTGCAATAATTCTGGTTTTTAATTTGTAATTTATTGAAGTTCTGCTTGATAAAATTATAGAAATTCTGATTTTAATTATTTATTAAATTCTGATATTTTTTAAGGTTTAATTTCAAGGGTTTTACAATTTCTGATTTTTAAATAATTTATAAAAATTCTGATTTTATTTTTATATGTAGAATAATTCTGTTTTTGATAAAATTCTCCTGGTTTCCCCTCTTTTATTTCCCCTTTTTCTTTGCCAATTAAATTAAAATAAAAACAAATAATTGTTCAGAAAATATTTTTAAATAACAAAAACAAGAGAGAATATACATATTTCCAAGGCCAATTATACTCATTATGTAATTTCTTCTCACCAATTTCTCTGTTGGAGTCTTTTTTTTATTAAAATATTATTTGAGTAAATTGAAAAACAAAGAAGGAAAACAATGGAGAAAATTAGTTTAAAAATAAAAAAAATAATAATAAAGTGTCAATTTACAAATAATTAAAAAAATATTGAAAAAATACATATATATTTATTAAATTAATATATCTTTCTGTTGTAAATACATACAGAAGCATCTCGATAATATGTACTCTCACCAATAACAAGTCTCTCTCTTTGATACGTCTGACAATGAGCATTCCAATTCAGAAGGTTGAGTTTTAGCGAAGATTTGGCCCCCGAAAGATCATCACTCTTCATTAAGCCGTTAACTCAATTTAGTTCCGGCGCTGTCTTCTTATTGAAGTCCGTTTGTAAGTTGAATTGTAATATGTAGAAATTCTGATTTTTTAATTGTTTCTTACCACATTTACACATTTAATAATAAACAAAAAAATATAAATAATTTTTTTGTTAAGCGCCGCAGGCGAAAATTTGAGAATTTTGGAAGACCAATGGGCAAGATTTCTTCCTTCTTTCCTAATTCTAGGATCTTAAAATAGTCCCAAATTTTTGGCATTTTTTCTAAAATAGGTTGAAAATATCTCGTAGCAAAATATGAGACCTCTAAAAAACAAAAGATTTCATGATATGAGACCGAAGTACAAAACGAGTTCCACCCCTGATATATATACCCAATTTTAACCGAATAATAAAAATAAAGACAGTAAATTTAGCGAAAGTAGAAAAAAATTTTAAAATTGAAATTTTGTCAAATAAAATTTTTTCTCTTTAAACTTCATTGTCAGAATAATAGGTAGATTCACTTTCATGATAGGAAAAATCATTAGGTGTAGAACAATCTTCTTCAGTAAACACATTGCCCTCCTAAAAAACTTTTTTTAAACAATTAAAGACACATTTTTGAAATCCCAATTTTTTCGGTATTAAAAATAAATTTCATTTTTATTTGATTATTTTGAATCAAAAATATTTTAAAAAGAATTTTTTAAAATTTAATCGTCTAATTAACTACAACATTAACATCACCAACTTTATATACCTATACATAAATATTAAAGCCGAATCTCGATAAAACGGCGATTTACGAATACTTCAAAATAGCCAAATACTTTCTCGATCCCCGACTTTTCTATGGTCCTTTCGAGACCGTAATTGTGTAATTAAATTTATTACTTGTTCATCATCTTCGTCATCATCATCATCATCAAGTAAATCTTCGTCTTCAAAATCAGGTAAATCGCCTACATTTATACCTTTAAAAAATTAAAATAAAAATCTTCAAACAACAAAAAAAACTTTTAAATCCCCCAAATATTAATTTATTTACCGGCAAGACTATCGTCATCATCATCATTGCCTGGATTGTCAACTACAACATTTCCACCAACACCATTATCATTACCCTCATAAACTTGTGGTGTACCACAACAATTCCCACAGTTTACACTTTTAATGATAAAAACAAAAAATATAAATAATTTAATTGTTGTTGTTGACATTTAAAAAAATTTTTTCTAAAAAATATTTTTAAATAAAATTTATTCATTATTTAAAACTAAAAATATTTCTCACAACCTTACCAACATTATTAAATAAAAATACCCCCAACAGGTATCTTAAAAAGTTATAATTTCTTAGGAAAAATAAATTTAAATTAAGACAATTTTATTAGAATTTTTTATTTATTAAATTAATTTAAAAAATTATTTTTTATTAAATTTTATTTCTACTTAAATCAAGCTTAATTAAATAGGGTTTTTACCTAAATAATCAATTTAATCAAATAAAATAAGAATTTTAAGAGAGGAAAGAGCTAATTTAAAAAAGCCAATTCTTTTGCCTCTTAAAATTCGTATAGATTTTTACTTGAATAAATTGATTATTTAGGTAAAAATCCTATTTAAATTAAGCTTGATTTAAATAAAATTTAATAAAAAATAATTTTTTTTGTAAGGTGAAGAGCAGAGTACAGATAAATTTAAAATTTAATTCCCAGCACGCCCACATAAATAGATGTAAAGCTTAGTCGCATAAAAGGAAAGGAAACTACCACTGAAGGGACAGTGATAGTTATTCATTCAATCAAGCGCCCATTCACTTATTAATCCCTCTGAACATTTAATCCATGCATGAGACCGGTCTCCCTCTTATAATTCCCTCACTCCGACATTCATATTTCCTGCGGCAACACTTAATTATGGAATGACAACAACTACTCATGCCCTGGCCAGGCACAGAAGATTTATTCCAACAGTCATTCACCCAACTACTCTGGCAGCGATCCACCGAATGCCTCTGCTCGTCCCCTCTATGCCCGCACTCTTACTGGTAGCACCGGACCAGAAGGTAGTTTTTGGGGTATTAATGCCAATTATAGGAAAGATGTCGGCCGCCGGCGGACAATAAAATTATGGGAATTAAGTTTAATTTTGAGGGTAAAATTTAAAAAAAAATAATTTTAGCGCTTTTCATATATAGAGGGAAAATTTAACTTAAAAAATAAATGTTTTAATTTTTGGCGCTATATAAATATAGAGTGAAATAGTCTGTAAGCAGACTTTAATCTTGAATACTAATATATAAGATTAATTTATACTAAATAGCTAGTTCCACTAAGAAATTCAATTATGGTCAAATTACCCTAAATTCTGGAACAATAATTCATTTAAGTCAATTATTAATGTTTATATTATATATTCAGAGGGAAATTAATAGAGATAAATAAAATTATTATAGAAATTATTACAGAAATAAATAGAAATTATAATGAGAATTAAGATAGAAGCAGATAGTCTGTAAGCAGACATAAATCTTGACTAGATACTAATATATAATTAATTTTGTAAATAGCTATAGTTTTATTAAGAAATTCAATCTGTTCAAATCACTCTAAATTATAAAACAGTAATATATTCAATTTAAGTCAATTATACAAGGAATTAGCTATTATATTCATTAAAAAGCTTATTTAGTAAATATCTAAAAAAAACTAATGATTTTTTACTTAGAATGGTATCTATAGATAAATTCATATAGAGATAAATAAAATTAAGATAAAAATTAATATCGAGATAAATAGAAATTAATATAGAGTTTAATAGTCTGTTAGCAGACCTAAATCTTGAAATTAAGATAAATTATATAAAATATTTACAATAAAATTACTATAGTTCCGCTAATGAGTTCATTCATGGTAAAATTAAATTAAGTTCGGAACATTTACTAAACTTTTAGTCTGAGTTAAATAATTCATCAATAGACAGTTCATTATTAAATTTTATAAATACCTAATTATAGGATTCTATATTCGATATTTCTTGAGCAATTATCTCAGATCTTTTATCTATGCATTATTTTTTATTCACATATAGTTATTGCTCATTATTACACATATTCTTTAATTTAAGATTTCTTACAGAAAAACGAGAAGTTAAAATTATTTTTCTCATAAACAAAAAAAAAATAAAATAAAATTTTTTTACAGGAAATAATTATTACAAAAAGATTTTCCCACTAGGATAACAATAACGAAAGAAATCCTTGACCATAAAAGCAAAGGCTCTGAGAAGTTAACAAACTATTATTACACTAGAGCAAGCGAAATAGATTTATCAATTGCATTTAAAAGGAATTAGCTTTTCATATTTTCTCTCATTTCTATTTCTCAACAAGCAATCAACTTTCAACAAATAAACAAAAGCGCTTAAATACTTCAATAAATTTCCAATTATTTTAAATCCAAAAGGCTTTCTGCGAATTGATTTAACTTTAGGAACCTGCGCTAAAATATTTCATTATATTATTAGTGCATTCTCTTATTTTAAATTATTATCTTATAGTCTGTAAGCAGACTCAAATCTTGAAAAATGTCCACCGAGGACGATATAAAAATAAATGTAATAGACAAACATTTTTGGGAAGCCAAACAAACTATTAAGGTCCAAGACTTAGAAAAGGCCCACTCAGAAGTAATTAAGTTAGAAGAAGGGGTAAACAGGGCTTTAAGACTTATTAATAGAAAAGTTAATGCTAATTATGAAAAGATTAATACAATGGCTAAGGACGTAAATCTCAACATAAAAACCCTTAGTACCCAAATAATTTCATTATCGGAGAATGTAGAAAGATTAGAAGCTCTTAAAAGCGATACATTAGGACCAAACAATAGTACAATAGTAGACAATAGTCTGTTAGCAGACTCTAATCTTGACGAAACTCAAAAAGAATCTATAAACATGATTTCTTCACACTCAGGTCACATTGAAACATTTTCTGATGAATCCATTATAGCATACGATAGATGGGCTGAAAAATTTTGTGACTATGTAGGGGCTACAGGTCGAACATGGACCGAACCTGAAAAAGTTGCGAGACTTAAGCTAGCTCTTTCTGATACACCAAGGCAACTCTTTAAACAGTTAACGCAGCAAGAAACTAGTACACTAGAATCAGCATTAAAAGCATTGCGCTCAAAATTAGACTCGCCGCAGCGAAGGGAAATAACTAAACGTACATTAGCATGTTGCAAACAAAGGGAAACGGAAACTGTTTCAGAATTCCTTAAAAGACTCACACCATTAGTAGAGGTAGTGAATTCCTCATTAGACGAAACTCAAAGGAAAGAAAAAATTTGTGAAGAATTTCTAGATAGAGTAAAACCCAACATAGGCTTCCTAATTAGATTAGTTGGCCTCTCGAAGGCCAAGGATTTAGATCTAGTAAAATCTCAAGCGGAGGAATTAGAAACAATGTTAGCCTCCGATAAAGGACAAATTCAGCTACAAAGTCCTCTTACACAAACGGTTCATGCTTTAGCTACAAATCCTGCTATGCCAAGCTCAAGCCATTCGATGCCTCCTATGCCTTTCCCAAATCAGAATACTTTAAGAAGGAATTATCCGAATGCTAATTGTACACCGCTAAACACTCAAAATGCGCGGTACATTCCTAATCGACAAAATAGCAATAATAGAAATGACAACTGGAGGGGAGGACAACAGCAACGCAACGAAAGGAAATGGAATAATAGACCAATATGCAATTTCTGCAAGCGCGTAGGGCATACGTCATATACCTGTCAAGAGCGACTTGCGCGATTTCAAATTAATTACGCTGCAAATTCTCATAAGTATGCTACCCAACAAGCAAAGCAACCGGTTACAGGGCAAATCAGATCCATTGAACCCTCAAATAAAATTTTAATAGATGCTGGAGATTTAATCCACGCATTGGCAAAACTAGGAGTAGGAAACAGTCATGATTCATTGCCTTCAAGCAAGGACGCTAACTCGTCTGTTAATTCACTTGTCACAGTAGATAAAATACCGAATAAACCAATGAAGGAAGAAATCAAGCAAAATACAGAAAACAAAGCTGGGGAAAAAATCCATACAAAAATTTCGAGTGGGAAGGAATAGGCCCAAAAATTTCCCGTATGATGTTTTATCTAACAATAATGCTAATACTAGTCACTCCCATTAATGGTTCGAAAAATCTTATTCCAATACCACGACAACCAATTATTTGTCAAACCCAGCTCCATGGGGTAATCTGGTCATTGCCTTCACCCACCGGCTGTTTAGATCCTAAAATAGATTACTCAAAAACCCCCGAAGCAGAATCGCTAACTGTATATAAACCGAACCCATATGAACATGAAATCTCGTCATGGGCCTGCCGCAAAGTAAAGAAATGTGTTAAGAAATCCACCTCAATTTCCGGGGTACCAATTACTGAACAAATAGAACCGGAACATTTAGAAATAAATTTACATGAATGCAATCAGATGATAAATCACAAGAAATGCAGTTTGGGAACTTTAATAAATGAGGAAGGGCTTTACCACACTGATAAGAAAATCAATTTATCTCCAAGGACCTGGCTTTTAGGCTCATTTAACTGGGAAACTGTCTGTAGTACGAATTGCTATTTATTCAACACGAAAATAACAATGCGCTTTGGTAGTGCGCACATAGAAACTCTCCTAGGAGACTCAAGTCATTGCCCATTTAAAAATGGGAACTGTTACTTAGAAGACAAAACACAAATTATTTGGCCCAGTAATAGTGAAAATAATTGCGAATATATTCCAATAGGAACCTGGTCAGGACAAAGGATGGGCCAAACATGGGTCGCAGATAAATTACCGCTATTGCTAGATTTTCCCGAAGTTCTTAAAACAGTTAGAGTATGCGATAAAAATTTAACAATTTCCAACCAGGGTTTCGCAGTCCACAAAGAAAACAAAAGAAGAATAAAGCGAGCCATCTCTGGTATAGTAACATCAGCACAACTACAATCCGAATTATCATACCTAAGTTGGAAGATGGCCCAGACCATGCGTGTTTCATTCACTCATTCGCTGCATGCGATTTGCAATCACTTAGAAGAAGTTAGGCGCTGGGCAATCTCTGCCGCGTTTACCGATCCAACTACTTTTGCACGGGTTATTTTTGAAAACCCTCTAATTCATGCGAAAAGGGTAAGCTCTGGAATAATTAAAATCTGGCCCTGTGTTTCAATTAACCGAGATCAATACGACTTTATAACGCACGGGGAAACAAACCTTGAAAAAGGAATATGCTTTGATAAAATTCCAATTAAGTTCAAAGCTGGCAGTGAAAGCAAAATTGTATTTATTGACCCAGCAAGAATGGAAGTAGTAGCAGACGCGAGCAAGGCCCCCTGTTTCGAATACAGACACCAAATAATCCAACTTGAGGATGAGATTTTGGAAATAGATCAAATGACTGCCCAGGTAAGGAAATTAGAAACCAATGTTTTAACAAATTTAACATTCTCATCGCTTACTATTCCAAAGATTTCTACTCAGTCCTTTCATCATTTAGTAATAAATAATGTAACTGACTTCATAACGCACACTCACATAGCTAGCACATTAAAAGCAAGCGAAATAACATATAGGATTCACACAAAAGACACTGAAACCAAGGTAACCCCTTCAGAATCCTGGGGACAAGTCAGGGATGAAATAGAGAAACAAATATTTGGGGACTGGTCCAAAATCTGGAAAGGAACAATCACAATTCTAGTAATAATAGTTTTTGGCGAAATGCTTCTTAGAATTTTCTTCATTTTACGAGCTTCATATGTAATTGAAAAGCCACTAAAAACAATTAAAGAGGAAACTCAAACAGTTAAGGATGAAAACATGACCGAGCTTAAATTTACGCCAATCCAAATAATTTCTTCGCCTGCAAATAAACAAACAAATAGAGAGGAATTAAATGAATTAACCGGACAAAATAAAGGACCCGGGTGCACTTTCTCTGCTATAATTCAAGCAAAAATAAATTCTATACCAATAAAATGTCTAGTAGACACGGGATCCACGGTTACGGTAGCTCCCAAATCACTAATTGACTTAATAAATTGTAAAACTAATCCAGCAAAGATGGAGGCAGTAAGTGCCTCTGGCCATGTAATTGCGGCCCGCGAAAAAGGCGAAGCGATATTAAATATAGCAGGCTCTAAAGTAAACATGACAATTAACTTTGTGGATGATGAGAGGTTTAACAATAAGGAATATAAAATACTGTTAGGTGGGGACACACTGTGTAAATTCCATTTAATAGCATTTGACTATGACAATAAAAGATTAATGTTAAATGGCAAATGGATAGAAGTTTTAAGCGAAAATAAGTTAGCGAGTGGAATTTGCGTAAGAGCTTTACAAAATTTAACCATATACCCTAACAGTCAATCTATTATTGAGGCAGAATTGGATTATAATTTTCCAATCAAAGGTTATCTGGCAACTGACTATCCGGATAAAAACCTGACTAACTCACATATTGGATTAGTTCCATCAATCTGTGGTCCGTACGCGGACAGAATCTCGTTAGCACTGATAAACCCTACAAATGAACCCAAAATAATTTTTAAAGGAACTCATCTTGCTTATGTTAATGAAATAAAAATGAACGAAGATGGTTCGTTTAGTGAAGAACCTGAAAAGAAAGCAAAAATAGACATAGAAGCTGGAATAGACCCCAATTACAAAATTGATCTATCCAAATCTGGAGTAGAGGGAAACGAATTTGACCAATTAAAAGATCTATTAAATGAGTTTGAGGACATTTTCAGTAAATCTCAATATGATCTAGGATCATTTACGGGAGGCGACCATAATATAGTTACCACTACTGAGGAACCAATCACTTCTCCTCCTCGAAAGATGCTATATAAATATAAGGAGGAACTTAAAAAGCATATTGATAAATTATTGTCCTCTGGTATTATGATAGAATCCGAAACTCCGTGGGTTACTCCATTTGTAATTGTACAGAAGAAAGATGGCGGGATTCGTCCTTGCCTTGATTTTCGCAAGCTGAATGACATAACAATCCCCGACAGATATCCTCTACCTAGACTAGATTCTTTATGGAAAGGGTAGGAAGTTGCAAATATTATAGTTCCTTGGATCTTTCAAGCGGTTACCTGCAAATAAAATTAGGTGAGGAGACGTCCTGGAAATGTGGAGTTATAACAGAAGAAAACGTATATCAAATGCTCTATATGCCCTTTGGACTAAAGAATGCAACCGCTGCTTTCTCAAGAGCTATGGCCGTAGTTCTTTGTGGATTAGAAGACTGTGCAATTTCATACGTAGATGATATTCTGGTCTATACAAAATCAGGTCCATTTACAGACATCTAGGTTCCTTAAGGAAAGTTTTCGAAAGATTTAGAATTTATCAGTTAAAACTAAGTCCAAAGAAGTGCACATTTGCCACTAAGGAAATGATTTTCTTGGGATATACACTAACTTCAGAAGGATACAAGCCTACTCTGAGTAGAATTGAATTGATAAAAGAAACACCAATTCCTAAAAATGTTAAAGAAGTTAAAAGAGTATTAGGGAAAATAGGATTCTATAGAAGACATATAAGGGATTTCGCGACTTTATGCGAACCACTCGTGCGCCTCACAAGGCGAGAGTCAAAATTCGAGTGGGGCTCTGATCAACAAAAAGCTTTTGAGAAAATAATAAATCTCCTTTCTGAAGCACCTAATCTAGTAGTACCTGACTATAATAAGCCATTCCACATATTCACTGACGCATCAAATTTTGGAATGGGTGGTGTTTTAATGCAGCGAAATGAAGAAAGTGGGACCTTTTCAGCGATTTCATATTGTAGTCGCACCCTTTCAGCTTCTGAAAGACGCTGGCCTACGGTACAAGTCGAAATGTGCGCTATAATTTATGCCCTAAGGGAATTTAAACCCTTCATTTTCATGAGCGATATAGAATTACATACGGACCACAAGCCACTAGCCTATCTACTTAAAAAGTCTGACACTCACCCTCACCTAGCACGCTGGCTTATAGAGCTGAAAAACTACCAAATAAAAATTGTCCATGTAGCAGGTAAACAAAACTCCCTAATAGATGCGCTATCTAGGTCCTCGGAAGATATTCCCTTAAAAGAAGTTGAAAATTTAAAAGAAATAGAGGACATAGTAGAATTCCCTATTTGCATGGCTCTTCAAACAAAATCCAGACTCGTCTTTGACCCCTTTGTTAACTCAATTACAATAAGACACGAAGACGGAAATTCTTACAAAATAAACTTAGAAGAAGAACAAAATAGTGATCCCGAAGCTAAAGCTTATATTGAATTTCTTCGAACGGGAGAAATACCAAACGGGTTTACTGAACTCGAAAAAGAAAATTTTACAACGCAAGCCTCAAATTTAAGCTTAATTTCAGGAATATTGTATTACAAAGCACATTCGCAGACACCCAAGATTTATATACCAATCTCACTACGTGCTCTAGTTTTTGATTCATTCCACTCTTCCTTGCTAGGTGGCGGACATTTGAGTGTAAGAAAAACAATAAGGAAATGCCAAAAATATTATTGGCCTAAATTATATTCAGACATAGCAAACTGGACGCGTCAGTGTATCACCTGCCAGCTAAAACATAACCCAACACCGTCATATAGGGCTGAAATGCAAATTGTCCCCAACAATACGCTTTTTGCAAAAGTTGGCCTTGATTTAGCAGGCCCTTTCCCGATCACGACTAGAGGGAATAAATATATTTTAAATATCATTTGCTGGTTTACCAAGTACGTCGTTTCCGTCCCTCTACCAGACTCCAAAGCTAGAACAATAGCTCTAGAATTCCTTAAGAATTGCTACTTAAAATTCGGCGGATGTACAGAATTAATTAGCGACAACGCTACAGCTTTTACAAGTGATTTTTTTAAAGAATTCTGCGCACTACTTTATATAAATAAGACATATGCCACGCCATATTTTTCACAAGGAAATGCTATAACAGAGCGCAGTTTTAGGACTTTTAATAATATTTTGGCGAAATACGTAACAAAAGACACCCCAGATTTTGACGAATTTCTAGATTTCGCAAGCTTTTGTTATAACACCTCTTGCCACACATCAACAGGCGAATCTCCCTTTTTCTTAGTTTTTGGGAGGGATCCTATATTTTGTATCGATCAGATATTAGATACGCGCGTTCACATTCCAGTTGCAATTAGTGAAGAGGCAGAATTTAAAGCTAAGTTGGTCACTACGCTAAGAGAGGCCTGGAGGATAACCGCCGAGACAAGCATAGAGGCCCAAGAGAAAATGAAGGAACAATATGACAAATTGCAGAGAACTCTTGAAATAAAGATAGGGGATAGGGTTCTACTAAGGAATTATACGGGACAAAAGGGAACATCCAAAAAAATTCAATCTACCATGGAAAGGTATTTATCGGGTAATTGAAATAGAGGGAGTACACGTTACAATCACCAGTTGTGTGTCGCCTCAGGCAAACCCTAAACGCGTGCATATTAATCAAATAAAAAAGTGTTTTGAAAATTTAGGACCAAATTGTACAGTACCTAATATACCGAGCGATGAAGAGGTTACATTAGAGAAATCGGGCGCTAAGAAAATCACTAACAAACCCGGTTACTCACATTCAGCTAGACCAAAATTGGTACATAATGAAGAAGCAAGACAAGACAATGTAGGGGACAAAATAAAATACTCCTTAAGGCCAAGAGAGAAAATACAATTACCGGCAAAATTTAGAAACGGTTAAATAAAAAGAAACCAGGATTAATCGAATAAGATAAATACATACATATTTAACAGCTTTACTAACCAAAAAGGAAGTAAGCTGCATAACAAAACTTATTTTAATCAATCAATTCCCCTTCTTAAACGAAAATTAAGAGACAAAGCCGCGGCAAACGCGCTAAATCTTAAAAGAAAACTTAGGAAAATGAGATAGTATAACACAAAATACTTTTCACAACATTAATATCCAAAATAGAGTCAAAAAAGGCTTTCTGAGGCTCTGGAAGCCATTAATGAGGTAGATTTTACTAAAAATGCGTCGTAATCTTGAGAAACAAATGAGAAACAAATGAAGGTAATCTTGAGAAACAAATGAAGCCAATATTGGCAATTTCATTTCGGTTGGTAAAGAATGGGCCCGGAGGACCGGACCTGTTGGGGTGGGGCGTGTAAGGTGAAGAGCAGAGTACAGATAAATTTAAAATTTAATTCCCAGCACGCCCACATAAATAGATGTAAAGCTTAGTCGCATAAAAGGAAAGGAAACTACCACTGAAGGGACAGTGATAGTTATTCATTCAATCAAGCGCCCATTCACTTATTAATCCCTCTGAACATTTAATCCATGCATGAGACGTCTATAAACTGATTATTATTACCGCGGTCTCCCTCTTATAATTCCCTCACTCCGACATTCATATTTCCTGCGGCAACACTTAATTATGGAATGACAACAACTACTCATGCCCTGGCCAGGCACAGAAGATTTATTCCAACAGTCATTCACCCAACTACTCTGGCAGCGATCCACCGAATGCCTCTGCTCGTCCCCTCTATGCCCGCACTCTTACTTTTTAATTAATTTAATAAATAAAAAATTCTAATAAAATTGTTTTAATTAAAATAGAAATTAGTGTGATGGTATGTATAGTAGACAGTGTTGTGTTTTTGGTCATTTATTGTAAAGGGGGGGGGGGGGTATTTTTATTTAATAATGTTGGGAAAGTTGTGAAAAATATTAAATTTTATTAAAAAAAATTTTTTTATCCGAAAAAATGTCAACAACACCAAAATTATTTAAATTATTTAGATATATTTTTTGTGTTTATTATTAAAAGTGAAATTGTGGAAATTATTGTAATGCCTCGCAAGTTGATGAGGATGATTATGGTAATGTTGTAGTTAACAATCCAGGCAATTAATAAAGGAATTTTATTATATAATATTTTTAGCTGTTGATGTTCAAAATATTCAAGTTGAGGAGGAGGATGGGGGAGAGATTAACGGTAAATATAAATTTATATAATTGGAGAATTTAAAAAGAAAAATATTTTTTTAATTTTTGTGATTAATTTTTAAAGTTGTTGAGCAAGCTAACTTGATTGTTTTACAAGAAGGATTTGGACAACCACAAGTAAATGCAAATTTAATTTCGAATCGATCTCGATACAAATGAACTTGAAAGGATTGAGAAAAATTCCTCATATCAAATGAAAAATTCTTAAAAAAGAATTTTAAAGGGAAAAGGGGTAAAAAGGTTTTTTAATCACCAAAGCAGAAATTTTTTTTTAATCATTCCAGAAAGATTTAAATCTTCCAAACATTTTTTATTTAAAAAGTAACCTCTAAAAAATATTTTTTTAATTTTTAGAATAATCAACAGCTTGTGCCTTTCGCAGTATTTGCTCAACAAGTTTTAGATCAAGAAATTGTAGAAGCCCCAAGTGAGCCTGCTTCACCTCCTTTTTCAACTAACGAAAATACAACTTCTACTGAATAGAAAAAATATTTTTATTTCAGTTGGATTTTGAAAGAAAATATACGAGAATTTTTTAAGAAGAAATTATTTATTTTTACATTATTTTTAAATTTAAAAAATTCCCTTCTTTCGCTAAATTATTCTAAAACAAAAACTTTGCTTTAAATAAAGTTTGGAAAAACATTTTATTTAATGTTTATAAAATGATTTAGTCTATTACGAGAAGTTTAAATGTCTCAAAAAGGAACAAAATTTATCACATAAATTTTAAAAAATAAATAAAAATAACGCAATTGTTTTCTTAAATAATTAATAAATGCAGCAATTTAAATAAAAGAAAATTTTGTTTAAATAATTTTAAAAAATCAAAAAAATCAGTTTTAGATAATAAATTAATCAAAATTACAGCAATCTTCATCAGTAAAAATAGAACTATTATCACTTTCAACGTTTAGACCCTATAAAAATTAATTTAAAAAATCTCGACTCGAGATTTGTGTAAGAGGAACAAAAATTTAAATTTAAAAAAATGAGAGGCTAATTTTACTTTGTTACACAGAATATAGTTTATGTATACATAGTATGTCAATCCCCACCCTCTATATACAAGTAATAACCAGAGGTCGATAGGAAATGACGAAGGTGCCGGAAATCGGAACTTTCGGAAATCGGAAATCAGCTCAAATTTTCGGAAATCCCAGACGGCAAAATTCCACAGAAAAAATGTCAAAAACTAACTTTTTTCCAAATTGACAAAAAAAATTTGTAACTGGCAAGCTATAGTCCATAATTGGATTTAATGGTATATCGAGGGAGGCAAATTTGAGGTGATTAAAAGAGATATGTGGGAGTTCGGAATTCCGATCTACCTCTGGTAATAACCAACCAAAATAACGAAACCTTTCCTCAGTCCTAGAGAATAATTTCTTCGATATAAAAAATTTATTTTTTGGTCCCTTCGAGAGCCGACTTTAATTATAAATTAATTTACCAAGTCTGATTCAATATCAAGTATTTGGTCGCCATAATTACCTTTAAAAATTAAAATAATAATTCTAAAATATCAAAAAAAAATCCCAATTAATTTATTTACCAGCAAAATTTCCACGACCAACATTATTGTTATCCTCGGCGTTGTTACCCTCATAAACTTGTGGTCTACTAGAACAAATTCCACAATTTACAATTTTAATAATTAAAATTAAAAATATAAATAATTTTGGAGTTGACATTTTTTAAAAATTTCTAAAGAAATTTTTAAGATAATTTAGGCACAATAATAAAATATAATTAAATTCCCTCCAACTTTCCCAAACAAATATACTACCCCCAATAGCCTCCACAACAAATAACCAAAAACATAATTACACTAAAAAGGAAAAATAAATTTTAATTAAGACAATTTTTTAGAATTCTTTAATTGGTACTATGCGTTTATATCCCCGCAATTCCGCAAATGTTTGTCCGCACTTTTTTTCATTCTTTCTCCTCATAAAGGATTAGAAACGGTCAAGTTAACCCGTTTTATCTTCGCCCTTTTTCTCCTCTCATAAAGATTAAAATGTTCAAGTAAAAATAGACTTTTTTTATTCGAAATGTTCATAGGCTCGTATTTCGGTCCAATCAAATCAGAAAATTGGGGGAGGGGGGGTGTACCAAACAAACTATTACCGAAATAATTTCTAAACATTCTCTTAATTTTTTAAGTTTACCTATATTTTTCTATAAGCGAATATTTGTCTTCCTCTATTTTTACTTGAACATTTTAATCTTTATGAGATGAGAAAGAAGGCGAAGAAAAAAGGGGTTAATTTGACCATTTCTAATCCTTTATGAGGAGAAAGAATGAAAAAAATTGCCGACAAACATTTGCGGAATTGCGGGGATATAAACGCATAGTACCCTTTAATTATATAATTAAATTAATTTAAAAAATTTTAACTTTAAAATGATTTTTTATATTTTAATTAATTTATATATAAAAAACTTCCTTTAAATTTTTTTTAAAAATTATATTTGCCTTTTATTTAAAATTTAAAATTGTCTATAAGTAAATTCCTTTGTCTATTAAAATTGATATGGATTTTTATTTGAATAAATTGATTTCTTAGTTAAAAATCCTATTTAAATACAAATAAAATTAAATAAAAATAATTTTAAAGCTAAAATGATTTTTTAAATTAATTTAATTATATAATTAAAGAATTCCAATAAAATTGTCTTAAATAAAATTTAGTTTTTCTTAGGAAATTATAAATTTTTAGTGTAATTGTTTGGTGTTGTGTTTGTAGTTGTTTGAAGTGTTGATGTTAGCTATTTGTTGGGGGGTATTTTTTGTTGGTAAAATTGTAGGAAGTTATTTTTAGTTTTAAATAATGCTAAATTTTATTTTAAAAAATTTCCTTAGAAATCGAAAAAAAAAACTTTTTTAATTTTTTAAAAAATGTCAACAACAACAATTAAATTATTTATATTGACAGGGGCAAGAGTAACTGAAATGAACATACTACTTTTTTATTTCATTTCAGTAGTATAAAATATTAATCCGGCAAAATTTATACTCATTAAATAGAAAATTAAATGGAGTATCTAATAAAATATATAAAATTTCTCATAAAATAAATTTTTAATTAAAAAAATGGGCAAGTTTCAATTCAGTTACTCTTGCCCCTATGTCGATGACTGTATTTAAATTTAAAAAAAAAGTTTTTTGATTAAAAAAAAGAGAGAAAAACTGAAAATTGAAATTTTGAAACAGATCTTTGAAAATTTAATTTATTTAAACAATAGAAAAATTTAAATAAGAGTCTTGCCAATTTTTCAAAGAAAAAGTCATAAGAATTTTAAGAGAGAAAGGAATTAATAGACAATTTTAAATATCAAAATCAAATGCACTTTTGAGAAAGATTTTAAGGGAAAGTAATATAAATAAATATAAAATTTAATAAATTCAAAAATCATTTTCTAAAATAATTTAATTTTAACGTAATTAAAGAATTCTAATAAAATTGTCTTAAATAAAATTTATTTTTCCTAAAAAATTATAATTTTTTAGTGTAATGTTTATTGTTGTGCTTGGAGTTGTTTGAAGTGTTGATGTTAGATATTTGTTGGAAGGGGAGGGAGGGGGGAGGGTATTTTTTGTTGGTAAAGTTGTTTAAAGTTATTTTTAGTTTTAAATAATGCCTAAATTTTATTTTAAAAATTTCATTAGAAATCGAAAAATTTTTTCCAACTTAAAAAAAATGTCAACAACAACAATTAAATTATTTATATTTTTTGTTTTAATTATTAAAATTGTAAATTGTGGGAATTGTTGTGGTACTCCACAAGTTTATGAAGGTAACAACGGAAATGCTGTAGTTTACAATCCAGGCAATGAGAATGATGTTGATGATGATGAATCTGAGGATAGTCTTGCAGGTAAATAAATTAATATATTTGGGGATTTTAAAAGCTTTTTTTTGTTGTTTGAGGATTATTATTTTTATTTTTTAAAGGGATAAATGTAGGCAATTTACCTAATTTTGAAGCTGAAGATTTACTTGATGATGATGATGAAGACGAAGAAGATGAACAAGTAATAAATTTAATTACACAATAAAGGTCTCGAAAGGACCTTAGAAAAGTCGGGGATTGAGGAAATATTTGGCTATTTTGAGATACTCGTAAATAGTCGTTTTATCGAAATTCGGCTTTAAGATTTATGTATATAAAGTTGGTGATGCTAATTAACTAGGCGATTAAATTTTTAAAAAAATAATTTATTTTTAATTCCGAAAGGACTTGGGATTTCAAAAATGTGTTTTTAATTATTAAAAAAATATTTTTAGGAGGACGATGTAATTAGTGAAGAAACTGAAGAAGATTGTTCTACAACATATAACTTTTCGCATCCACGTAAGTGATTCTGACAATGAAGTTTAGAGAAAAAAAAGAATTTTTTATTTTACAAAATTTTAATTTTAAAAATTTTTTCTTCTTCTTTCGCTAAATTACTGTCTTTATTTTTACATATTATTCGGTTAAAATTGTGTATGTATTTATTCTTTTTTTCTTTAGTAATAAAATTAGGAAAAAATTTGAAAAATAATGAGATTTCTCGAAAAACAGGCACAAAACCAAAAGTGTACATAATTATGAAGCAGATCTAAACAAAAATTTCCAATCGGGAAAATACATAAAAATGTAATCGGAAAGAGAAAAAGATCCAAGTTTGGGTAGACCTCCTCTACATATAATGCCTGAATTTTATTTAAAAATATTTTTAAAGCAAAAAAATTTTTTTAATTTAAAAAATTGTCAACAACAATTAAATTATTTAAATTATTTGTTTTTATTGTTAAAATTGTAAATTTTAACAGTAACTTAAATTCCAGACTTAAATTTCAATCTAAAAATGCTCTCGGGTATTTTAAAATCAAAAAAAAAGTTTTGGAAAACGAAAAAGACAAAAAAATTTAAATTAAAACTGTTTAACTACAAAATATATAGTCAAAAATAATAAAATGGTAACCAAAAATTCGCATGGAACTACAAAATCCATCTTTTGAGGAAATATTTTCTATAAATGTTTTACGGAAGTTTAAAAATTTTTGGCAAATTTTTAAATAAACATTTGGGTAAATATAACTGATCGAATATATATAAATGGCTATTTTCATCATCAAACCAAAATAAATATTTTTATTAATTGTCAAATCCAAAAATGTTTAAATCCTCTCTCTTATTTGTCAGCATCCTCTTTACTATTTTACTCGTTTCTAATAAATTTACTGAAATTTTTGCTGCACCCAAACACCCATGTGTAGGCAAATGTAATATTATAGAAAGAGGTGATCACTGTTGTTTTATAAGTCCATGGCCACACCTAGACTATGAAACTACGTAACTTTTTTTTATTTTTTAAAATCTTAGACTAAAACCTCATTATAAGACGAAAACCTCAATTAGCACGACTCGGTCCGGCTTACCTCCCGTAGAAGCATAAAAACAGTTTTTTCAGCGAGAAAATAGAGGTTTATCAATTATGCAGATATGCAGCTCCTCCACCCCAACCCTTCCACCCAATTCCCCCAACCCCTTCCCCCAACCCACTTAACTCGAATTTAGTTGGCTAGAATTAAAAACAACATTAATAAATTACGTCAATACCTTCACCAAGGGTAGTTGTAAATTCGAAATTATCTGGAATCAGCGGTCAAGCTAAGGTTAGCTAACTGATAATAGGAAGAGATTTTATGGCACCTCGCTTCCTTATATGGTTTCGATATTTAGGGTCATTGATACTTAGAGTGCGATATTTTATTTTCGGTTGAACCCTCCCTGATCTCTACAAGTATCATTTACATTGACCGCGTTTTTAGATACCCCCAATAATATGCGGTACTTGTAAAGATTAGGGATGTCAACTATGTAGAAGAGTTCTTCGAATAATATACATATAATTTATCCACAAAAAGATGAAAAAATTTTTAATTTAAGCTAACCTATAAGGTACTATTTTCAGTCCTAAAGGGTATCTTATAGTGAGGTTTGAATAGATAAATTAATTAGAAAAAAATATTTAGTTGCTGTAAGTCATATATTGCCTGTGATCCTCTTTATGGAGGTTGCAAACCAGAGGTTGAAAGAAAATTTTTTTCTAAATTTTAATCAACCTTTATTTTAAGAGACCAGGAAAATAAATTTTGATGGAGAAAAAAAAGAGAGAAGAATAAAAAAAGAATAAAAGTATGAGATAAAAATTTAATACGGCCTTTAAGGGGTCGAAAATATTTTTTAAATTGTAAAATTAAATAATAAATGGATAAGGAGAATTATCAGGGAAGGATTTTATATAAAATTTATTTTCGCTGGAAAGCTTTGGAGATACTTCTAGCGAATTGCAAAAATATGTACGTAACGTATTCATTGTAAAAGTGAATATGTACGTGTAAATATTCGAAATTTAACTGTAATCGATGGCATGCATGGTCAATTTATTGTTTGAATAAATGTTGGGGATATTGCCCATTTACAGAATATAAAAATAGATACTGAAGGTGTTCGTTTTTCGTCGGAAGTTCCTGGATCAGGAATTCAAATTGGAAGCATTTGTGCTTAAACTGAAAATTTTGTAAATTTAAATATATTTTCATGTACTAATTCCGGCTTCTTGGCCTTCCAACATTTCCAAAATTATAGCCGGCGGCATTAAATGCCAGTACCAAAAAGACTCCAAAAATCCATTGTAGTATAAATTTATGCTTTAATTTCAATTGACTGTCTTGATCTCTCTCTTGCCTCTCTCTTACCGACCGAGTTGGTTAAGTGGTTAAGCTGTTTGAACGTCAACCAGTTTTGTGGGAAGGTTCGAATCTGAGGGGTGTTTATTTGTGTTTTTTAAAGTTTTCTATCAGTATTTTTATAAATTAAATTATTTTTAAATAAAATTACCCAAAAATCAATTTTTTTATTTTTCTAAAATAGCGGCGCAATGTTAAAGAAGTCTTGAGACATTTAAGACTATATGACTTTCTTAAGACTTCACTTAAACTATCAATTTAATCAATTTTTCAAATATTTTCAATGTAAAATGTCAAGCCGCTTTTAAAAACATATTTTTATAGGAAAGTGATAAAGAGAGAGAGAGAGAGAGAGAGAAGAGGGGAATTTGGGTGTGATGGAGTGTGTAAAAATGGAAGGGGGGAGTTAAATTTAAAAAAATTTTTTAAATTTGCCTTTCTCTCTCTATTAATAAATTAATTTTTTATTCTATCATAAATTATTTATTTAAAATTATTTAGAAAATTAAAATAAAATAATTAAAATAACCCAGTAAAAGATTCGGAGTATTTATTGTTGAGTGGACACTTTTTTAGCCTGATTGGTTACTGGGTTGCCTTTACATAATAATATTGGGGAAATTATGGGGAATTATTTTTAGTTTGTAATAATGTCTAAATTTTATTTTCAAAATTTTTTAGAAATCAAAAAAAAAATTTTTCTTTAAAAAAATGTCAATAACAACAATTAAATTATTTATATTTTTAATTTTTATTATTGAAATTGTAGATTGTGGAAATTTTTGTGGTAAACCACAAGTTGTTGAGGATGACAATGATAGTGAGCGTTTTGTTGGAAATGAAGGTAAATTAAATAATTATTTTGGGGGGATTAAATATATTTTGGAGTTGTTTAAAGTATTTTTATTTTTTAAAGGTGGACTAAACGAAGGCGACGTAATTGATTTTGAAGAAGGATTCGGACCTCAACAAGTAAATTTAATTACAGTCGCCTCTCTCAATATAACGAAATTGAAGGACCGAGGGAAAGTCAGGGACCGAGGGAAGTCTTGGTTATCTCTTGGGGGTCGTTAAATCGAGATTTAACTGTAATATTTACTAAGTTTGTGGTGGAAATGTTGTAATTAACCAGAAAATTAATTTAAAAATCAAAAAAAAATTTTCTAAATTCTTTTACTGCAAAATAATTAAGTTTCTTAAACCATCCCGAAACGATTTAATCATTCAAATGATTTTTTGTCTAAAAAGTAAATTAAAAAAATTTTACTTTATTTTTTAGGGCAATGTTGGTAACAATGAAGAATATAGTACTTTTAGTGATTTTACAGAAAACGAGAATTCTACTACCGATAATTCTAGCGATTATTGTTCTGATTAATTTTTACATTATTTTTATTTGATTAAAACTACAATGGAGTGTTAAAAAATTATAAAACCACTTTTTAAAAAATTTTGTTTTTTATATTAGAAATGTTTGAAAAATTTATCATAAGCATTTCCATTGAGAATTTCCATTTTTAATGCCCCTCTCCTCTCCCTATTAATGATATTTCTACAAGAAAGAGGGAAAAGGATAAGCAAAATTATGATTGAGGATATAAAAATGTGAGGAGTTTAAATTTAAGTTTTTTTAAAAAGCCCTTCTCTCTGTCTTTATTCATAAATTAATTTTCTTAATAAATTCTAACTTGAAAATTTTATTTAAAATTTTTAGAAAATTAAATTAAAATCGGACCTAATTTATGTGTACTCGCATTTAAGTGGATACTTTTTAACTTGTTTGGGGCATTATCGGTTTGGAACATTTTTGATCTCACTATATTTTGATTCCACAGTCAAAATAAAAAATTCTACAAAAATACAGGTACCAATTCCAAGGGGCTGAAGAAGGGGAGCCGTGTGATTTCAGAACTATAAGATTTGGACCGTAAAATGCGTCTGGGATTCGATAGGGCAGAGGCCGAAAAATCACATTAATTAATTTATAATAATTTTCTTGATCTAAGAAAAACAAAATTCAAATTTGTAATATTTGTGTAGTCACGAAGTTTAATTAATTAATTTATTTTCTATCACTAGTAAAATTTGTTTTTAGAAACACATAAAAGAGGATATCAAATAACTGAACACAAACAAAAATAACTCAAAAATATACAATTATATGTTTGTATTATAGGTAGGGATGGGAGGGGGGAGGGTGTTGAGAAGAAAAAACCTCGATTTTCGAGCCGAAAGTTTTTTTCAGTTAGAAAATTTTATTTTTAATTCAAATTCTGAAAGTAAATTTAATTGCGTCTTTTCTTATATAATTTGTCTAAAGTAGGGTTGTTTCGAAATTTCGATTTTCGAAGATTTTTCTTGTTTCGGAACGACAAAACCTTTTTTCCGGTTTAGAAAATTTTTCAAGTAACCGAAATAGGAAGATTATATTACCTTAAAGGGAACCAAAATTTTAATTTTTAAAGCCACAAACAAAAATTCTTTTGAAGGCCACAGAATTCAGAAAAAAAAAAAGAAAAACAATTTCCAACAAAAAATTCCGAGCTAACGAACTCCCCTCCCATCCCTATTATGTATAAATAGGATTGTGAATTCTAAAAATAATATCAGACAACAATCCCTATTTATATAAATTATATAATATTTTTTAGAGTAAAATCAAAAATATATTTTTTTAGTTAACAAAATTATTATTGTCAATTCTTTTTAAAGACTTTTATTTATTTAAATCTTTCTCCTCTCTTTTTATATATTCCATATACTCACAACAATTATTCTATACTATAGTTAATATATTAGGCAGTCATACCTCTCGGCTTTCCAGACTTACGCGCCTGTAAAATAAATAAAATGAAAAGTTGTTTATATTAGTAAAAGTGCCGTTTTTCTTCTCAAAAATAAATCAAAACTGTTAATTTTACATAAAATAAAGCTTAATTTAATTATCAAAAGGGTTTGGTAAACTGAATTTTAAAACTGAAGGGGATAGAACGAAAAAGGAACCACTACGGGGAAACCCAGGAGAAAAAGAAGATTTCAACCAAAAAGGACATAAGACCAAAAAATTTAAAAAGAAATTTTTAAAAACTAACCTCATCCAATTCCCTTTTAGTTTGCTCTTCAAGTTCACGAATTTCCACAAGAGTCAATCCATACCACTCATCTATCCAACAAAAAACTTCTCGATGGAATTTACAGAAAAGACGAGGGTATTGCTTAAAATAAAAGTTTTTTTGAAATTTTCAAAAGAAAATTTTGGTACTTGTACACCTTTGTACTTATAAATGTTTGTGGCTATGGTAGGTCGAAATTTAACTATTATAAGTGGCGGGAGCTAAAGTTGTCAGTTCGAACTGACCTTTACAAAATGCTGAAATTTTGGGAAAAAACAGTGTTGATTTATTGGAAGCATTCAACAGAAAATTTCTATTTAATAAATAACCACTGCCAAAATAAAACACATAAACATGTGGATTACCATTAAATATTTGTGGCATTTATTAATTTGTAATGGGGTGTGGTTACCAATTTTTTGATTTAGAAAAATATCTCAAAAATTTTTAAATTAAAAAACCTTGTGTCCAAACATTTCAACCATATTTTGCAATCCAAACCATTTGAAATAAATTGTAACCAATTTATATGCACACATAACCGGTTGGATGTTTTTTCGCCAACCTCCATGAAGAGGACCGCGGTCTGCTTTGGAAGAATGAAACTTTGAAGGGCTTGTTTCGTCAACAATATCCTTTAAAAAATTAATTATTTTTTTAATTTTGAAAATAAACCGAGGAATAAAGAAATTCTTTGTCATTGGCAATATCAATGTGAACAACTTCTCGATTTCTCAAAATATTATCGGGCAAATGGTGTGCCTTAAAATATTATTTTTTAAAATAATTGTAATAGAGAAACTTTTCATTAATTATTAAATTCAAAACTTTCCAGTACACAAAAAATAAATTTTTGGGGAATTTTTAAGCAATAATTAATTCACAAATTATTTTAAGACCGTTTTAATTTTATTAGATAGTTATACTCTATTCAGCAAAAAAAGAGTAGCTTATTTTTCGATTTATTTTTTGTAATTATGTGTATATTTAAAGTGGGTATTCTCCCCTAATTTGTAAGAGATATTTGTGACCAGCAAGGGCGTACCCAAAGATAGCATTTCGAGGAGGGGAGGTAAATGGAGTCTCTTGCCTCCTCTTTTTTTGATACGCCCTTACAAGCATGGTCTAAAAAATACAGAGACAGGCAAACAAAGTAACCAACAAAATTTTTTTAATTTCCTAGGAAAGGAATCCACTTTTAATAATTTTAAATAAAAATTTAAATACATTTTTGGTATGCCCTCTATCATTATCCAAATGGATTGTCTCAATTCGAACAAAGAAATTATCCTTCATATAGTCCGGATTGGTCAATTCTGTCTTGCAATAGGGATAAGCATTCCAAGCATGTTCGTGGATAGCCATTGAGCCTTTTGGTAAAATCGCTTTGACGATTGACGGCACTTTTGATTCCAAATGATATATTTTGTGTGTATATTGACCCGAAGTGTATTTCCCATTAAAGAGTGGAATGTCGTCAAATTGTTGATTGACCAATACTTCGACACCCTCTCCACCTCCAGTTTCCTTTAGAAAAAAAATAATTTCAAGATTAAATTTAATAGAAAATTATTTTAAATTAAAAATAGAGATAAATAGAATGGAGCTCTATTAGGCAAAAATTTATTAGCCAAAATTTTACGAAATTTTTGTCATCACCATCGACAATTTTTAAACAAATTTTTTAATCTTAAAAATAGGATGCTTTTGCCTTAAAGAACCCCGTCAAAGTTAAAAAAGAATATTTTTAAACCTGCTTGGAAGCCTGAGCAACAGAATACAACTGTCCAATTTGGTATTCCTCAACACTCATTGGCAACACAATTCGACTAAAAGAATAAAAGTTCGAATTTAACTCTTTAAAAAGGCGTTTTTCATTTTACAAGACTATTTGAAAATCATTCAAAAATTGTCGGACAAAAAAATTATTATTAAAAATTAATAAGAATACTTACTATTCTTTAATATGCATTTTTAGAAAGAAAACCAGGTAGGCGTTGTTAAAAACAAAATTTAATTAAAAATGTTAAGTGCGTAATCGCCCTGAAAAATTCCAAAATTAATTTAAAATTAAATTTAAAAAACAGAATAAAGTAATTAAATATGCGTGTAAAGCATTAGAAATAATTTTTAAAAAATACAAAAAATTTTAAACATAAAAATAACAAAAAAGAAATTATTTAAAGAATTGCTAACAAAAAAGATCCGTGAGCAACACAATAAATTTATTTGTCAACAAAAATAGCTACTTTTCTATGAATAACTTGAGGGTGCTTTTGTAGAAAAATTTATATTTAACTATCAGAGAATTACACGAAAAAAGCAAAGAACCTAACCCCAAGCTTAAACTCCAAGAAAAATAAATTTCCTATAAAATATCCACAGCTCTCTCCCAAAAGTAGCTATTTTATTTTCATCAACATATATTTTTAACCAATATTTAATATACAAAATATATTCACTAAATTTTCAGAATGTCATTAAAAACTAAATATAATTTCTGAATTTTTGGGGATGATTTTTGCGGAAAAATTGAGGACTTTTTTCTAAAAAACAAAAAAAATCCAAACCGTCCCCAAGAAAACTTTTCTATAAAAATCTTTTTGGTTAATGACATTCCTCTTCTTTCAACTCAAAATTTAATCTAAAGGGAACCAAAATTAAAATTCCTATATTTTTAAATTCAAAAAAACTTTTAATCAACATTTTTAGCCTTCATTTCTTCTTCCAAAATTTTAGCCTTTTCACATGCCTCATTTAACCAAATTGGATAATTCCTTTTGTCAAAATTAACATCTTCTGAAAGTTTTTTGTAATAACGCCAGTCCTAAAAAAATTAAAAAAATCTTTTTGTAAAAAAACAAAAAAACCTTAGAAATTGGTTGATCGCCAAAACGCGGAAGTTTGGAATTATCCCAATGGTGTCCAAAGAAGTTTCCTCCTTGATATTCATATTTCTTTTGATACAAAGCAAATCTAAAAAAAACAAAAATCATTGATAAGAGATTGTAAAATCAAAAATTATCCCATTATTTTGTAGTACCCGGTCGTAATGAAAATTTTAAAACAAAAGTTACCCAAATCGGTGGTTTTTAAAAATTACCGTCACTCCTAAAAACGTATAGTAAAAACAAAAGGAATGAAGATCGGACCTGAATGTTAATAACAACCGTCAGATTAATCGACACGCCATGAGAAAAAACCAGGTTAGCTAACAATAAATCAAAACCCTCCAAAAATTTCAAAAAAAGAACAAACTTGTTCCAAAATTTCATCTCAAACTTTCCATCAGCCATATCTTTTTTGTGTTGCTCAACTAATCGCTTTCTCTCAGCCATAATTTGTGGATGACGCCGTTCCCAAATCAAACGATGTTTTTGTTTCATATATGCATCAACCACATCAGATGAAGTGCCAATTTCTCCATACTAAAAATTTAAAAATTAAATAACCAGATAAATCAAGTGTTCTTAACATTAACTAAAGGTAATAGAGGGATTTCTCTTAATCCAGACTTATTGTTAGAAGGAAAACACATTCGAAAAAGTGCAGACATTCGAAGATATTAGAAAGTTTCTCTTCGGAAATCAAGCTCCAATATCAGAAGCTTCCAAAGACCGATATGAAATCATTGGTTAAACCAAAAGGAAAAATTGAGAAAAGAAACCTCAAGAATATTTCAAAAGCAAAAATATTCCGAAAAAGCCATTCATACCAAAATCTTTTTTAAAATTACAAAAATTAAGATCGTTAAAAACCTTGATAAAATAATTCAAATCAGCTTCTTCATAATCCTCAATATATTTAGAACACATTCCCATTCTAACTTTTCCAAAAAATTTTATACAGTCATGCATTCGATACATCAGGATGTTAACAATGTAAGCATCAACCATTTTGTCAATTCTGTATTGTTCGTTTGCTTCAAAAATGCAAACCTAAAAATAATTTTTGTAATAACTTTAGAATTGTGTCGCTTAGGCCTCCCCAAACTCCTCCATTTATTCACAAAACAATCGGAACTTATTTACTTTAACTACCCACCCCATTTATTCGCAGGAAGTTCACCAATCAAACTTAATTTGTTCAGAAAGGTCAGCCTTTCTTTCTTCCCCGATGTTACTCAATTTTCCCTGTGGCATGTTCAATGAGAGAAATTAATAAAAAAAGATAAATTTTTCTTTCCAATTTCACCAAAATATAAGTTAACATTTGAATCAATATTCATATTTTTGCCATTTCAGTTATTACCACATGGTTAGTCCTTGATTTCCTAAATTCGTTATCATCCTTTTTAATTATTCAAAATACTGAGTCGTGAATGTTTTTTTTGATTCGTCCATGTTTATCTAATAAATAAGCAAGCCGGAGAAGTTGAAACGCATGTAAAAAAGACAAGAATAAAAGAAAATGGTACCAAAAAAGTACATGGTCCTCCTTGACCATGTGGTAATAACTGAAATGGCAAAAATAAGAATATTGATTCAAATGTTAACTTCTACTGAAGACTGACCATTTTTAAACCTTGCGAAAGAAAAAAGAGGGGGGTACTAAATTCAAAATTACCACAATTTTTTATTAATCTCTCATTAAACATGCCACAGGGAAAATTTAGCTACATCGAGGAAGAAAGAAAGGCTGACCTTTCTGAACAAATCAAGTTTGATTGATGAACTCTTGCGATTAAATGGGGTGGGTAGTTAAAGTAAATAAGTTCCAAACAATCAACGACTAACATAAGTCAAAGAGCATTTCTTTCAATGAGATCGTCGAGCTGAATCAAATAACACAAAATTAGACTTATCAGACAGAGATAAGATGCCCGGTCCAACTGACTTTCCACGCAGTGACAAAAAACATAATTTAGTTTGGAAGCTGATTTATGTGTTATTTGACTCATAATTCGCTTGAAGAACTCTTTCGAAATGGTTGACATAGAAATTGGTAAAGCATCGTAAAAAATTTACCCTATCATGAACTCCACATTGATCAATATCAGGAACTCGATCCAATTTTCGATGATAGTAGACTGGTTGGTAACGGTCATGTAAAGGTTCTATAATCTTCTCACGAACAAAAGTCACTGGCAAAGATAATAAATAATGACCATAATAACGTCCTCGAATCCAAATTGTTCCCTAAAAATGTTAAAAAATAAAAATCTGAAAAATAACTAGCAACTTTCTTTGGAAATAAAGACAGTCAAAAAGAGTAAAATTAAAAATAAAAGTAGGTTAAAATTTTGACATTAATGATTATTAATTAAAAAAAAAGGTGAAGCAGTTATCGAAATTTCAAAGGTCTGGGTTCGGACTTGGACAGATTTTTGCCCGAGCCGGATCCTGAAGGGTAGCCGGAAAAATTCTATCGTGACCGAAGACTGACTTGATTTTTGACTCTATGCACATAAAACACGTGCCAACAGCCATAGCTCAATTAATAGAAAAAAGTAGCCAAGCCCCCTTCTCCCTCCAGTTGAAGCTCAAAAAATAAAAAAACTCAACTAACCCGACTCTCCTTCTCACGAACTTCCCAATATTTATTCCAAGCATTTCGTTCTTGCAAACGCCTTCGTTGTCTAAAAGTCAATCCTTCCGTTTTTGCATCAAACCCCATTTCAAGTTGTTTGTCATCATCCCATACAGGCACAACAGGATCATCTAATTTATATTGAGCTTTAGTAAATGAATTGGCTGACATTTTTATTTAAAACTTGGCTTAAATTAAAAAGATGACGTTAAAAAAAGTTATAAAACGTATAGAAAAGAGAGGAAATTTTTCAGTAAAGTTAGCGAAAAAAGATGAGTAAATAGAAAATTAATAGAAAATGTACTATAAAAAATACCGAAATAAAATTAGATATTTTGAGAAATATTGAAAGCTAATATCATAATGTAAAAAATAAAACACAATCAAATAGGAAGATCAAGGGACAAAACACCCTTACACCAACCTTATCGGTGAATTATCAAAAAAGATCAAAATTTGATTTTTAAAATCACATTTTTAAAATAAAACCAAAAAAAAATAACAAATAATTAAAGAAAAATAAATTATACAAACAAAAAATTTTTGAGTATCAAAATAAATATTTCCTTTTTCCTTGTCTTCATCTAATTTAAAAAAATTCCTCCTATTTAATACACATTCTCGGCGCAATTGACATTGACATAAGCTCTTGAAGAAGCAACTTAAATGCATATGGAATACGGACAGCAGAAACTTGAGTTTTGTTTCGACAAGCCTAAAATTAATATTTAAAGAAAAATTATTGGTTTGGAGCTGAGTGAGCTAGAAATAAAAGGTCAGTAAGGTATCCAAGAAATACATCTGTCACAACTCCGAGTAAAGGAAACCCAGCCCTCCAATTTTTAGTTTATTCCCCTCCCAACTCCCTTCCCTTATTTTTCCTCAACTAACCTTGCATTCAAATGTATTAGTCCGTTGATTTGCAATAACAATTAATCCACATTGATTACAAACATAAATAAGGTATGGATCAGAAACTTCAAAAAGACGTTCACGAAGAAATTGAGCACAACCGTGGGAAATTTGACAGTCCCTTTCCATTTCCCCAAAACGAAGACCTCCATCCCTTTGAAAGAAAAGTTAATTCAAAAAAATTTTTTAAATTAAAAACCTAGCTCTTCCTTCCATTGGCTGACGATTCATTCCCTGAATCGGCCCTCTCGCTCTAGAATGAATTTTGTCATCCACCATATGTTTTAAACGTTGATAATATGTTGGGCCAATAAATACCTTTAAAAAATATTTTTTTATTTAAAAATTCGGGCCTATCAACTATCCCCTTCCATTTTTTGTTTCTTTGAATGGATATCCAACCTGCATAATTGGATAAATACCCTGGATAATTAGTGCCTCACCCTTTCGCCTGAAAGGGCAATTAATCAAGGGAACGAAATTGATAAAGAGAACCGGAAATTTAATGAGAACAGGATTTTATTACGATTATTACGGGATTAATCTCGCAACCCACAAAAGCCTTTAACCATTTGCCATTTTAAAAATGGGAAGGAAATAATGCGATGGTACCAAAAAAATTTTCTTTAAAAAACCTGTGTAGTTAATTTCTGTCCAGTAAATCCATTGTACATAATTTCATTTCCACGCAAATGATAACCATATTCAGCCAATAATGCTGAAATTTTCTGTACGTTGACTGTGTCATTAAAAGGTGTTGCATCACCAATTTCTCCTTTATTTGCTGATAACTTTAAAAAAAGAATTCTTTTTTAATTTTTTAAAATTAATAAACCTTTCCTTGAAGACATTCTATAAGGTGTCCAATTGTCATACGTGATGGAACAGCGTGTGGATTAATTATAATGTCGGGAACAAGACCTTCACGAGTAAATGGCATATCTTCCTAAATAAATTTTTTGAGTAAAAAAATGATTTTTATTATCCAAAAACCTCTCTATACATCATTCCCATTGTTCCCTTTTGACCGTGACGCGAAGCAAATTTATCTCCAATTTGAGGTAAACGAATTGAACGAACACGAATTTTAACGAATTTGTTTCCATCTGCATTTACTGTTAACATAACCTTGAGAGAAAATTACAAAAAAATTATAAGAAAAATTAATTCTTCTCTAGGATAATGTGGCGGAGATATCCAAAAAATTATCGGTTTGTATATTAGACCAAGATATTCGGGGATCTCCCAGAATCTATCTATTCTAGACTGAATTTGAATACCGATTTCTTCCAAGAAATTAAATTTTTGGGAAAAAATGTTTTTGATTTTTTCACCCAATTTCAATGATCTCCTAATTCTATAATTCCCTTGTTAATTTGTAAAAATATACTTGATCAACAATTCCAGTTTCACTACTTCGCAAAAATGTAGAAGAATCACGTTTTTGATAACGAGAAGCAGTAGCTTCAAGTTCATTTTCGTTTTCATTTATTGCAATTGTTTTGCCAATAATAACATCATCTCCTGAAACTCGGGTGCCTGGCGAACTTATTCCATCATCATCTAATTTGTCATAGAGAGCATGACGCATTCCTTAAAAAGTAATTTTTTTATCATTTTAAACCAATATTCCAAATTAGTGTCCAAGATTAGTAAACTGTCCGAGATTAATAAACTGTCCAGAAGTTTATAGGTTTTTTTAGTTCAGTTTCTCGATGGAATCTCGAGAGATTTTACAAGAACCAACAAACAAATTCCGTATGTAAGATTATCCCCGCGCCAGTAAATACCCAAAACTCTAAAAAATCCATCCATTTTTCCTTGAAAATTTTTTACCTTTACACTTGTCATGCGTTGGTTTTTCAATCAATTCTTCATTAACATTGTCGATATTTGATTCTTGGTCTCTATAAGAACGGTAGAAAACAGAACGGAAAAGGCCACGATCAATTCCTGATTGATTCATTATAACCGAGTCTTCTTGATTGTATCCACCATATGAAAGAATTGCAACAATTGCATTAATTCCCGCTGGAAGCTCATTAAAACTTAAAAAATAAATTAATAATTTAATTCAAAAACTTTAAAAACCGTAAATATTCCATTGAACGAGTTGTTACCAACGGTTTTTGTGGATAATAGAGAACATGTGCGAGAGTATCCATTCGAACGTGGAAATTTGTTGTATAAACGCCCATCGCTTGTTTTCCCATAGCACTCTGGTAAGTGTTTCTTGGACTTTGATTATGGTCAGGAAATGGTATAATTGAAGCACAAACACCCAAAATCATTGCCGGATGAATTTCACAATGAGTGTAAGTATCACAATAACCACCAGCCTTCAAGTCTTCTGGCACCATTGCAACCATTATAGTCTCTTAAAAAATAAAGAATTCATTAAAAACTCAGCGCGTCATTATGTCAAAACGTTAAAATGTCGACCCCCAAAAGCCGTTGAAATGTCAGTGGATATGTCAAAACCAAAATACTGACTAGTTGTTCCAACAATGGGGGCGACTATTTCACTTTTCCGATTCAGTCTACGGGCAAGATGGGCCAAATCTTTGACATTCAACGTTTCGACATTATACCAACATCGACTAGAAAAATTCTTAAAATTTTTAATATACCTTCTTCCATAGCATCAATAAGTTCAACAACTCCACCAGCAACCAAATCAGACCAAGAAAATTGTTGTTCACCAGTTCCACGTTCTTTTAATAATTCAATATGTCGTCTCTTTAACTTTAATTTTCCATTCTCCACAATTAAAAGAGGTCGGCAAATTCGTCCCTGATCAGTGTTGATTCGAATTTCTCGATCACGAATATCTCGAACCATGCTGACTTCACTGACAATAATATCCATTTGACGACGAAGTTTTAAAAGTGTAGCCATTAATTGATCTGGATTTCGATGGATACCAACCCATGAACCATTGACGAAGATTTTTGTACTGTCAGCAATTGAGAGAGGGGAAACTTCTGAAATTTTCTGTTTTAGTTAAATAAGAAAAATAGATTCAGAAAAGACTTGTAAATTTGTGTGTAAATTTGGTTATGCAGTGGGTCAGGAAAAAGTGCCTTAACCCATAACATCCCAGGTCTACATAAACGAGCATGAACAACAATATTTTAATTTCGCAAAATAAGAAAAGATAACCTTCCAAATTCTCCATACTCCATTCTTCAAGAAATTCCAAAATTGGTTCAGGCTGCGATCCAACAGAAATATAAGCCATCAAAGCCAAATTCTTTACCAAACCGACAGCTTGACCTTCAGGTGTTTCTGCAGGGCAAACCATTCCCCATTGAGTATTGTGTAATTGACGGGGTTTTGCCAACTTTCCTTCCCGGCCAATTGGCGAATTGCAACGACGTAAACTAAAAAAACTAATAAAATGAAGAGATTTTAAAAAATAACTGTGAAAGTGTAGCTGTATATGTAAGACGATTGAGGACTTGACTAACACCAGCCCGTGTTTGATGTGCTTTCTTCTGTTCGCCCCAGTTTCCAGTTGCAAGTGAATAAGCAAGGCCTCGAGTAATTATTGTTGGTCGAACACAGACATCCAAATTGAAATCTCCATTTTTGTTGATATATTTTTGAGCAACCAGACGAACCTAAAAATTTCAACAGTTTTGAAATAATTAACTGGGATTAAATAGTCACTTAAGCTGGTTTACCAACAAATTTTTCCCAAAATATACTTAAAAATTACTTCTTTAAGCAAATTTCTAAAAAGAGCACGAAAGAGAAATGCCAACAAAGGACCAGCAAGTTCCAATCGTTTGTTTCCCATGTGATCACGATCATCAAGTTCACGACGTCCCAAAGCAGCCAACAAAAGACGATGTACCATATAACCGAGGAAATACTAAAAACATTATAAGCAAATACCTTCACTTAAAAATACCGCTTTTTTGGTTTCACAATGTTCTGCAATACTAACGTGTGGAAGCATTTCTTTTTGAAGGATTTCTTTTGCGTAGCGAATACGTGCTTCTTTGGTTACACCTGGTTTAGCTCCTCGTGTTCCAATAAAATTTAAAGCAACTTGTTGTTCCTAAAATAAAAAAAGTACTTAAAGACAAAAAACCCAATCAAAAAGAAGGAAAGGATATAGTGTAGTGTACCGGTGGTAAAAGTTCGGGACGTGACATATGTCATTCGATTCGTCTCGACGAGCTGAGTCGAACGGTACCACTCCCTACTTTAGGAAATAATTCTGGACCGAGTTATAGGTCCCGAAAAATCGAAAAACCAAAGGGGGGACCAAGCACTTTTTTGGGGTGAAAAATTCGAAAATGCAAATTATACCTCATTCGAAAGAGCTCGTCGAGCTGAGTCGAATGACACCAAATTCAGCTTGATTGAACAAGTTTGAGTCGAGATATAGGGCTCGAAATGGTCAAAAACCATAGGGGGGATTTTAGGGTCAAAAATTCGATTCTACAAATGTTAGCTCATTCGAAAGAGCTCGACGAGCTGAGTCGTTTGACATCAAAATCACCGTGATTGGACAAGATTAGACAAAGTTACGACACAAAAAACAAAAAACCTAAACCTATGGAGCGTAGGCGAGGCGCTTGTGCAAAACCCCGCGCTTCGCGCGGGGTTTTGCGGCACGCGCCTCGCGGGGAGTCTACGGGCGCTGGGTCTGGGCTCGTAACATAAACCTATTCCTATCTCCCTTGCTCTGGACGTATTTGGGGCCTCCGTAGCAGCAAAAATCTCAACAGATGGCATAGGTAAGGAGCTAAAACAAACGGTCATAACTTTGTCAAATCAAGTCGGATTTAGTTGATTTAGGTGTCATTCGACTCAGCTCGACGAGCTCTTTCGAATGAGGTATAATTTGCATTTTCGAATTTTTCACCCCAAAAAGTGCTTGGTCCCCCCTTTGGTTTTTCGATTTTTCGGGACCTATAACTCGGTCCAGAATTATTTCCTAAAGTAGGGAGTGGTACCGTTCGACTCAGCTCGTCGAGACGAATCGAATGACATATGTCACGTCCCGAACTTTTACCACCGGTACACTACACTACAGCCGAAGGAAAATAAAAATTGTTGTTCCTAGTGGTGTTCTTCACCTATTTTCTCGCCCCGAGACAACCACCCTACAATTAGTCAGCAAGAAATAAAAAAATAACCTGAACCACAAAAGCTTCATCCAAACTTGGCTTTAAAAGTTCCATCATTTCTTGATCGTCAAAGTCATAAATAATGTGTTCTAGAATTAAATAAATCCCTAACAAATTTCATGAAAAATAACCTAAAATATCTCGATCAGAAACAAAACCAAGAGCTCGGAAGAGAATAATGACGTTGATTTCCTTAAAAGAAATTTTGAATTTAAAAATAATTTTTAAAAACCTGTTTAATATATGGAATTATTGCAACAATTTTCTGGCCAGTAGCAGTTTTAGCTGATTTACCTCCTCTGTTTGTCATGTTGACCCAAAGTGTAGAAGCTGGACGACTAAAATAAAAAGAATAATTTAAAGGGAAGTAAATAAGGTGAAAAATCATATTTCAAGTTTTTTAATTTCACCCAAACCCCTCCAGTCAGAAGTTAAAAATATTGGGATTCAAACCCAAGATGACATCCAACGAAAAATTAAATGCGTAAGCCTAGAAAAGTTTCCTCACAATATATCAGATAAAGTAAAGATAAAAAAGATAAAGTATGAAGCAAAGGTTGGGGTAGGAAAGGTTGAGAACTCTTTCTTCGGAGGCTCCCAGAATCATATCCAACAAGCCCATAAAGTTTTCCGAATTTCGGTCGATTTAGTGAAGCAAACTCGCCAATTTATAGTAATCGCGGCTCTTCAATTAAGAGTAATATAATAATTCAATTTACCTTGATCCTTCCAAATAAGAGCGACATTCTGTTTTGTACATATATTTTCCATCTTTCATGGCAAAAACATAAACCTGAAAAACAAAAATGTCCTGTCAACAATTAGAAAAAATTTTAACAACCGTATTTGTAGCCATCTTTTCCTGGGCAATCAAAACCTTTTCACTTCCATTAATAACAAAATAACCACCAGGATCAAGAGGACATTCGTTGAGTTCAGTCAAGTCTCTGTCCGTTAAATTTGAAAGAACACAATAACTCGATCTTAAAAGGAAATTTAAATGAAAAATTCAGGTTTTAAAAAATCAAACCTTAACATAATTGGAATCTTTCCAATAAATACTTTATTGTAATGCTGAACATTATCCTCTTCTCCTTCTTTTGAGATTGTTTTAACAATGTCAACATATAGAGGTGATGAATATGTCAGATTGCGAAGACGAGCCTATTTTGGAAAAATTTTTAAAAAATAAAAAAATGGAAGCAAAAATAAATCCCTATCGAAGATTTTATATTTGGTCCAACAAAATGTCTAAAAAAGGAGAGGGAATGTATCGCTTATAAAGCTATGACCCACTCAATGGTCAACCAAATTTGAAAAAGTAAAACTAAAATGAACTACATTGAAAAGGTATCTTACAATGAGGCCCTATATTTAAGCCTTAAGTATTTAAAAACCAAAAAATACCTCGTTAGGCATAAGCGGAGTTGGAGCGCCATCCTTTTCCCAGTGAGTAGGTTTAGACAAATATATTTGGCCAAATTTCAAAGTAAATTTGGTTGGTGCCTCAATTTCTCCAGTTGTATGTTGTAACTCAGTTTGAAGTTCCACTGCCGGTGCTTCCTCAATAATACGTTGAACGCTCATTTGAATGAATTCGTCAAAACTGTCCAACTGCTGACGTACTAAACCTTTCTCATCAAAGTAGGCAGAGATGACCACCCAACAAGCTTCCTAAAATTATATTGATAAACACCCAAAAACTGGTTACCTCTCGAGAAAGAAGAATAAACTATTCGAGAAATATAGTCAATGCCTTGACTCTTATTCTAGCAGTTTAACTATGGATCAAATGAAGAACAGGAATCAGAACTTGCAATAAACACAAGAACCCCTCAAAAATACTTGAATGGACATTAGAAGAAAGACTAAACTAAATACAAGGCATTGTCAATCGAGAACAATACAAGTGCCTGACCGCCAATGTAAAAAAATAAAGAACCTGAACCAAATTTTTAGAATCCGAGGAACTTTAGACCCCGGACCCAGTCCCATCTCTAGCATAATCTTAACAACCCAAATAAACACAATATTTGACATTAACCTGCCACAATTCAGCCGAAATTTCGTCTTCCTCTTCATCGTCATCCAAATGTTGCTGCATCTCTTGTTGTTCATCACCTTCGTCGTCCTGTTCCATTGGATGTTGCATGTCTTCGTTCTCCTCGTATTCTTGAGGATCATCATCGTCGTCGTCAAAAATCATTTTTAAATTTGTTAACTTTCAGACTTAAACTATTTTTTAACTAAAAATAAACTTATAGTTAGTGTTAGAAACTGTTGAAAAACAAAAAAAAAAGGATCAGTTTCTGTTCACAAAAGTAAGTTTAAATAGTAATTTTTTCTACAAAACGAAGTTTAACAAAACAACATTTTAACATTACATTTCACCAAAATACAAATGGGTAATTCGACAAAAGTTAATTTAGGGCAATTTGCCGAAGTTTGTGTAAAATCTTCTTTAAAGCTAATGTTAAAGTGATAAAAATAGAAACACGTTCGTTTTTGATCGATTTTAGTGATCATTGAGAAGTGATCGATTGATACAACGAATTGTTGTCTTGTGAATTGTGCTTTTGTTGAATTGTTTTGGCACAGTATTTAAGGGGATTTTAGTTTTGTGACCTCCCTCTCTTCTAATTTTCCCAACAGCTCTCCCCCCTCTTCCCTCCCTGCCCTCTTTTTTTTGAAAAGTATTCTTTCATTGTACTGGATAGGTAAAACAACGGTTAGTACACAGCTCGTGGGTATTGTGACTTATAGTGGGTTTTTTTTTGGCTGGACCGATTTCGACAAATGAGGTGTCATTCGAAAGAGCTTCGAAAACTGAGTCGAACTAGATATGGGGGAAGTCGGTCCGACAATAAGGGGCCGAGTTACAGACCCCTGAAGTTTGAAAAAGAGAAGGGGGGAGTAAGCTCATTTTGGGGTGAAAAATTCGAAAATGCAAATAATAGCTCATTCGACTCAGCTCGACGAGCTGAGTCGAATGACACCAAAATCACCGAAATCCGACTTGATTGGACAAAGTTATGATCGTTTGTTTTAGCTCCTTACCTATGGTCTATGTGGAGGTTTTTGCTGTTACGGAGGCCCCAAATACGTCCAGAACAAGGGAGATGGGAATAGGTTTATGTTACTGACCCAGACCCAGCGCCCGTAGACTCCCCGCGAGGCGCGTGCCGCAAAACCCAGCGCGAAGCGCTGGGTTTTGCACAAGCGCCTCGCCGACGCCCCATAGGTTTATGTTGACCATTTTGAACCTGTTTATCTTGGCTCAGAATCAAGATATAGAGCTGATTTTGGTGTCATTCGACTCAGCTCGTCGAGCTGAGTCGAATGAGCTATTATTTGCGTTTTCGAATTTTTCACCCCAAAATGAGCTTACTCCCCCCTTCTCTTTTTCAAACTTCAGGGGTCTGTAACTCGGCCCCTGATTGACGGACCGACTTCCCCCATATCTAGTTCGACTCAGTTTTCGAAGCTCTTTCGAATGACACCTCATTTGTCGAAATCGGTCCAGCCAAAAAAAACCCACTATAAGTCACAACATTCCAGCTCGTACTGATAATGTCGAACGGGAGTTGAGATCCTCAAGGAAGCTCAATTTCGATAATCTAGATTTTTGTTCAAGATCTCGTCTCAATCCGGTCTATCTATCCACAAACCTTGTTTATCTTTTTACATTTCCTTCTAGTACTCTATATAAATTATTTTTACTTTTTTTCATTCACTTTAACTATAAATTCTGGTAAAATTCTTGTTTACATTTATAAGCGGGGCAGGTGTACTAACAAAATGTTTTTTCAATATTAGAAATTTTCAGACAATTTTATTGAAAAATCATTTAAAAAATCTAATAGTAAGTACAAAAAATATATTTGTCTAAAAATTTATTTCGAAATACCCCCCCCTCTCCCCTCCTATTATTTTTTAGTTAAAATGAGCAAGAATGAGCGCTGAAAAGGGTATTGAGTAGTATTGAGTATTTTTGATTAGTCATCAATTTGTTGTTTTAAATTTTCCACCTAACAGTTCCCCTTCCCCCTTCTATACTTTCCTTGCTTATCACTAAAAAGACATTCAAAAATGTGGCCACATTTATTTTTTTATAAATTATTGCTAATATTTTTTTAGATTTTAATAAAAATGCTTAACAGAAATCTTCAAATAATGTTATCGTTTATATTTATTTTACTTGTTTTTGAAAATGTTGTTGTGTTTGGACGTGTTGCTCAACAAAATCCGATTCCGCTAATTAATAAAAAAGGTTTATTTTTGTTAAATACCTTTAGGTACTTTTTGGTTCGTTCCCTCTATTTTTTATTCTTGTTTATTATTGGGGTTAGTGCTGGGCATACGTGTTGTCACGGGTTGCCAAACTACGTTTCCGTAGTTAGAAGATTCCAACAATGCTATGGAATCGAAAGCTATTCAGTATGAACCAAGAATAACCGGAAGTGAGAAAGAGAGGGACGAACTAGCCATTACCCCTAAATTTTTTAGATCAGTCTTGCTCTAAAAACATGTTTCTTTGCCCTTCTACTTTGCAATGCATACCCAATTCTTGGCTGTGTGATTCTGAAGTGGATTGTAAAGAAGGAGAAGATGAAAAGAATTGCGGTAATTGTTAAGTTTTTTATTGCGTCTCTTTGAAGGATCGTAATCCTATCCCCAATTTTATTGTTCATATTGACCAGATTTTTGACTTAGTCGAAATCAAAGTTTGGGTTCGAGCTGATTTCTAGTCAACTCACTTCAGTCTTAAGAGTGTCTTACATTAGTAGAAGACATGGACAGTAAACAAAGTTATTTGTCCATTTTCAGATGATCAGCCAACACAATGCAAACCCGGCGAATATGCCTGTCGAACAACAGAGCATGGAGTTAGAACTGAAACTTTAAATCCTTGGCTAACACATTTGGGCCCAATTGGACTTTATAAACATTCTTGTATTCCAAAAGAATGGCGTTGTGATGGAGAACCTGACTGCTTGTACAAGGATGATGAGGAGAACTGTCCAAGTAAAATTTTTTACATGTTATTTTTTGAAAATAAAATTAAACTTGCAGAGATTAAATGTGACGAAAATCATTTTGAATGCAAGGGCTTTGACAATTTGTTGATATCTTGCATTCCCAAAGAGTGGGTCTGTGATGGGCAGGTTTATTTTTGTTTTAGAGAATGAAATTTATTCTTTATATAAAATAGACTGATTGTTTGGATATGAAGGACGAGGCAAACTGTACTGACACACCAAAAGATATTTGTGACCATCAAACCGAATTTAGGTTAATAATTTTAGAAAATTAATTTTCGTAAAATTGTCGTTTGTATTAGAGACCGGACTGGGAGGTCTTGCATTATTAACGATTTTCTGTATTTATAGGTGTAATGATGGCCAGTGTATCTACAAACATTGGCGTTGTGATGGTGATCATGATTGTAGGGATCAAAGCGATGAGACAGATTGTAAAGAAGCAGCATGTGAAGGCATCGGAAAATTCAAAGTATTTCTTTTGATTTTTAAAAATTTCCATGAATATTTGGGACTTGTATCAGACTCATTTCAAATCTTACATTGCCCCAGCTCCGACCAAAACATTTATGAGATATCTCTAAGAGTTATTCCCATCATTGATCTTAAATGTGATTAAAGAGGAAACGGAAAAGGCTGTGAAAATATGCCTGCAATTACGGCCCTCCGATCTTACCAAGTGCCTATATTTAAATAAGGATCGCTTAAATAAAATCGATAATATTTTTTAGTGTAAATCCAACAATTTTTGTATCGATTCAAGATGGAGGTGTGATGGTGAGCCTGACTGGTTAGTTTTTTGTTTGTTTTGTAAAAATACATCAAAAATATTTTTTAGTCCTGATCATTCTGATGAAGCTGATTGCAAATCGGACAAGTTACACCCATATCTTCACCCATTAAACTGCACTGCCCATGTTTGTTTATCATTTTTTGAGGGATAGCTTTAGTAAATTGAGGGGATATCGGGTTCTTGCTTATCATCTTCTAGTCAAGTTGACACTGACATGAGTATGAATATCGGAGAAGGCTGGTCGTCTATTTCTGCTTTATCGCAAGGGTTAACCAGAGTAGGATTTTATGTCAGTGGGCTTTATTATTGCTCTATCGAATGGTACCAAAAAATTTACAAATCCGCGCTCACAGTAAACGATGGTCCCTTGTAACTAAAATTCAGTTTTTTTACTTTTAATGTCACTTATATTTCGCTTTTAAGGAATTTAAATGCGAAAGTGGTGTTCAATGTATCAGTAAATTCTGGCTTTGTGATGGAGATCATGATTGGTAAGATTATTTAAAGTTTTTCTAATCCATTTAAAAATTCGTTTAGCTTTGATGGAAGTGATGAATTTAATTGTGTTAAAAGCAAATGTCCGGCCAAACAAAAAGTTTGCAAAGATGGTCAATGTATTGACGAAAATCTTTGGTGTGATGGAACAGAAGATTGTCATGATGGTTCTGATGAGAAAAATTGTACTTCGCCAATTAAATTGTCAACGCAAACTTGTGACTCCAATACAGAGTATACCTGTCCGGAAAGTCCGACACGGTGCATTAAACTACAAGATTTGTGTAAAAAGAATTTGGATTCGAATGACTGCACGAAATCTGTTTGTAAAGAGCAAATAGGTTTGTTTTCAATTTTGAAAAATATTTTCAAATTATTTTAACAGTTATTTGCAAAGAGAATAGCAATGCTTGTTCATGTCGGAATACAGGAGTTGGTACTGGGAAGATTTGTCATTGCAATAGCGGTTATCAATTGAATGGGGATGTTTGCATAGGTTTTCTTTTTAAATATTTTGGGCATAATGTTAAAAGCAAATGTCCGGTACAGAAATATCTTTTCCTGGCATGAGAAGGTGATATGGTGCTTTCTATTTCCGTTATTTTTAAAGTCCATAATTTTTTTTCTACACTTTCCATGAAGAATTCCTTAAGCTCTGTTGCAGTTTTTTCTGCATAATTAACCCTACCTTTATATTTTTTAGGAAAATAGGGAGGCTTACTACACTATTACGAATGATTTTTAAAATTTATTTTTAAAATGTTTAATTATTTGAGATATAAATGAGTGTGATCAAGTGGGAACTTGCGATCAACTTTGCCGAAATATACCAGGTAGCTATGAATGTGATTGCTATCCAGGCTACAGACTTGCTGTTCCAACCAAAAATATGGACAAACCTGTCCCGCATAAATGTCGTGCTCGGGGATCAGATCCGTTGTTACTCCTGTCAAATCGTGCAGCAATTCGGCAATATGACATTGTTACCAACAAATATCATCCATTGATAAACAAACTTGAATCCGCTGTTGCACTTGATTATTGGCACAATAACAAGACTTTGGTTTGGTCTGATGTTAGCAAAGAACAGGTTTTTAATAAAAACATTTTTTTGAATTTTTTATTTAATTTTTTAGATTGTCATTTGCTCAGGCATAAATGGTTTGGGAGATCTCGCAACCTTTGAAAGTATTAACAATGCCTGTAATGGACCAAATTTGACTAGAATTACTGAGGATGTAACTACTCCGGATGGTCTCGCGATTGATTGGGTTCATGGACTTATCTTTTGGACAGATACAGGGACTGACACCGTATGATTTTTAATTTGGATATTTTTCGGTGGTGTTCTAAAGTAGTAGCTTACACTGGGTATAAATAGGAGATCAGATCTTATTCATTTCGAATTTTGATCTAAAGTTGACCATGTCAAATTCACGTTAGAAATTAAAATGCCATGAGTATTCTGACTCGCCTACCCTCACAAATCAATTTGTCGTTTACCTACTTGCAAACCTAAAAATACCTAGAGTTCTTTTTTCTCTAGCGACTAGTAATCTTTTAATATTTTTTAGATAAATGTATATGATTTAAAAAACAAGAAACGGACTACAATTATCAACGGTGATGGTTTGGACGAACCTAGAGCAATAGCCGTAGATCCCTCTGCTGGATTAATTTTCTGGACGGATTGGGGTGAAACCGCACGAATTGAAAGAGCTGGAATGGATGGAAAGAATCGGATGGTTTGTTCAAAATCTAAAAATTTGTTATTTAAATCCCCTTTTTATTTAGGTAATAATTAAAGGCAACACAATTCGTTGGCCAAATGGTTTGGCAATTGACATTTTGGACAAGAGAATTTATTGGGCAGATGCTAAAACAAAACAAATTAGCAGCAGTGATTATTGGGGAAATAATATTCGAACAATTTTACATTCACATCAATATTTGCGTCATCCTTTCTCCTTGGCAGTTTTTGAAGAACGTCTTTATTGGACTGATTGGGATCAAGAAGGTGTCCTTTCTGTTAACAAATTTCATGGAGGAGAAGTTAAAAAGGTTTTTTATTTTTTGATGAATTATTTTTTGTAAAATTTTACTTTATGTGGGGACAGGGCGTAGCTGGAATCTCCTTTCAAATTCCAGAAAAATTTTAGACCCGACTTTTCTCAACTCGGCCCATCTCCGCCATCAAATCTAACTACTAGTTTCGTGGCGCGAACTTTGCGGACCCGAATTTTGCGGACCCGAACTTTGCGGACCCGAAATTTGCGGAACGAAAGTTACGGACCCGAAGGTTGCGGACACGAATTTTGCGGACCTGATTTTTGCGGAACCAAAATTTTAGAACCGACACTTGAGTAAAAAGAAAAATTTAAAATTTTATTTATTGATAATTCCGGCAGAGTTTACCTTGATTAGTTCCGGACTCAAGATTTTTTCTTGATTTTTCAAAATTTTTATCAATTTTTTATCTTAAAATTGTTTTATAATTTTAATAATCGAGAAAATTCCTTAAAAAATCATTTATATGGCCATTTCATAAGGTCATGATGCCTGAATTTATCCTAATTAACGCCGCAGGCTAAAATTTTTGAAATTTCCGAGGTTCAGTAGACTCTATTGTCGGTCCGCAAATTTTTGGTCCGCAAATCTCAGATCCGCAAAATTCGGGTCCGCAAAATTCGGGTCCGCAAAGTTCGGGTCCGCAAATTTCGGGTCCGCAAATTAAAATCCGCAAATTTCGGCGCGCCACTAGTTTTTTCGAATGAGTTCTGAAAAATGATTTGGTTTTACCTATCGTCAAAATAAAATTTTATTTTAATAGTTAATGAGTGGAGTTACTGGCCCAATGACTGTACGTGTATATCATGAACAAGCTCAGCCTAAGCATGAAAATAAATGTAAACTTAGCGGTTGTCAACATATTTGTTTACCTAAAGCTTTATACAGTGAGTAACTATTTTTATTGGATTCTCTCAAATACAACAACCCCTTTGGAACTTGATTGAGCTGGGATGTGTAGGAGGGAAGTGCCATGGGTGGGGTGTTGTAATTGGGAGATTTGACTTTATTATTTTTCTCTTAAAATTTTTTTTTCATTTTTTAGAAGGCGAATCGAAAGATCGTGAAACTCCTTTAAAAGAACTTCCATTTTCTTGTGCCTGTGAACGTGGTTTCCAGATTGACATTGGAAATTCCTCTCTCTGTGTTCCTCTCAATCCACTTGGAATTATTGCTGATGCGGCGAGTGAATGTATAATTAAATTTTTTTGAAGAATTTTTTAAATTTTATTTTTAATTTCAGCATTCAAACACATTAAAGATGATGGAAGTATAAGTATGGGTACTTACTTCTTTGGATTGTTGATTATTTTTGCTGCTTTTGCCTTGGTATTTTTTTTTTGAATTTTTAGGATAATAATTGGGGATTTTTCTTGGGATAACCAAGAACCTTTAAAAATTTTAATTTTAAAATTTCCAGTTATATACCTATCAACACAGACGTCCACGCCATTTTGCTGTCCTACACTTCGACAATCCAATTTATCGACGTACTGTTGAGGCAGATTTAGATGCTGACTTGGAAAATGTTCCAGATAATTCTATTGGGCCAATTTCAATTTTGCATATGTCTGGAAATTCGTCGAATTTAAATGATTCCCACAATAGCCGTCAACAATCAACAACGGCACTGGTAATTATTGAATATTTATAGGTTCCATTTTTAATTTTCTTCCCTTTATTTCTCCTTTTTGGTTGGTAATTAATCAAAGGATTTCGGGTTCAAAAGTGCATAAAAGGTGAAGATATAAATTGGGGCACCTCTAAAAATTTTAGAATATTACTACCCCTTTCAAAACCTTTTCAGGACCCTCAATCCAAACTTGTTTTGAAAGTACCAGTTCAGAAAAGAGAGGAGGAAGGCAGTGTAAATATTTCTAATTCTATCAACATGAACGATTCAAGTGAATATGGATATGAGCAATTACCTGCTCCTAAATTTTAAGTTAAAAAATGTTTAAAAAGTGCCTCAGTTACTGCATTTACTCGATTAATTTACTTCCTCAATTTTTTTCATTTTAATTTTCCAATTTTAACTGTGATGGAAAGGGTGAGAAATACTACCTCCCAGTAATTGATTTAAATAATTAGTTGATTAATCGAGTAGAAATAAGGTAATATTATTTTATGTATTATTTTTCGCTCCCGAGAGATGTTTTTTTATATTTTGCACATATTAACTTACAAATTTGCAAAGAAGCTTATTCTTTTTCGGTTTTATTTTGAAACTTTATAAGGGGATCAATCAAATAAAAATAATTATTTTTTGAAGTAAATTTAAAAAATTAACAAATTAATTGATCTCCTTTGGTTTCTCTATATATTTAAAAACAAAGAGTCCTCCTCTAGTTTGCAGGGTTTTTAATGTATTGAAGGTTGCACTCCGAACTATTCTAAAAACTAACAATAAGTCTATGGCATTATCCTTTTAGTAAATAATTTGTTCGGTGTGCAACACTTCATCTTTTCTTCATTCTATTATTTTCGGCAGCCTTTTCTTTGTTATTTGCTCTTTTTCTTTTAACGGATATTTGAGTTTTTTTAATTTTCTAAAAAACACAATTTCTAATTAATTTCAAAAATCCGTTAACCCCAATATATATAAATTCTAAAGTGGTAATGTAATGGCACTTTATTCTATTTTTTGTTTTTTTCTTTTAGTTGATTCAATTTTTAATTTTAATCCCTTTGTATAATAAATGGGAGCTTTTTAAAATCATTTTTTATTTAATTAACAGGGTGCGGCAAAATTGCTTCACGTGAGGGATTTCTTTCAAAGATTCGTAGGGGCAGGATCCCTCTGAATTATCTCATCCTAAGATTTATAGGAATCTGAAGGGATTTAAAAGGATATTGAATGGATACTGAGGGATTAAGTAAGAGGACTGTATTTATGTGTATATCGGAATGCTGCCGGGATCCTGATTTTGTGGGATCCCGTTATTTTAATATATAACAATTCAAATAAGTGTCAATTCTTTTTCAAATTACAAAAAAAATAAATATAAGTAATATTTTAAAGATAAGACGAAGACCAAAAATTGAGTTTTGGGGAGGGGAAAAGAGAAAAAAGTCAAAATTATCAAATTGTAAATAAGTAAAATATATTCTTTTTGGTTCAAAATTAAAATAATCACACTTTTACAATAAATAATTTATTCTTCCCCGTTTTTGTTGCCATTTTTAGGTGCAAATCCGCCAAAAATATAAAGATATTCCAATGCTTGCCAACATGCATCATCTTTAAAAGATTTTAATTTAAAAATAATTAACGTTATTTTTGTGTAAAAGGAAAAAAATCCGCAAGTTTTAATTTAACTTGTCTAATGCAGAATTTAGAAATCCTTACTGGGTCGGGGATGTCTCGGGTTACTTAAAACCCGAACTTTTCGACCAGAGAAATTTTCAAAAACCTGATCTGACTTTTTTTAATCCGAGACATCCTGTGCTGGGTGATCTAGGTTAGTCCACAAAATACGTAAGTTTTGTCCACATTAATTTATTTTAGCCCTTTAAAAAATAAAATACCCCTTGCTCTCTGCAAATCACTTCCTTCGCCCCCAAAAGTACACAACATAGACTTTTTGTTGTTATGAGTAGTTGAAATTTGTAGATAAACTTGGAAAATATCTAAAATAAAACTATTTCGAAAATTATTTTTCAATTAAACCGTGGATTTGACTTTTGGCAGTCTCAATAAATTCCAAAGTTGCCTGACTAAATACACGCTCAACTTGAGGATTTTTCCATTCCAAAATGCATCTAAAAAATAAATTTTTTGAAGTTATTTTATGTTATAAAAAGGAGAATTAAGGAGCTATTTTTAAAGATTTTGTTAAAATTTTGTTAAAGTGAACACAAAAATTTTAGCACAGCCATCTTAAAAATGGAATTTTTTGGCTTCTTGATTTCACCCTGAAATCCACTCTCTAGATACGAAAACAAATTCAAAACCTATAAATTAATTCTCCCCAGATAAATTCTAAATAAATCCTAAAAAAACAAAAAAAAACCTCAGTAAACGTTCAGAACGCGGAGTATTCACTTCTCTATCAATTAATATATCACTCAAAAGCATTCTAATATCAATTGTTTCATTACAATCCTGGCTTCTTTCAATATGTGAAAGTTCTATCAAATCTTTTGGAGAAAGTGTTAATGAATATTTGTCTGTTGCAGAAGTGATTGTTGTTACATTATTATTTGAAATAACCTAAAAATTAAATTTTAAAAAATCGGAAAAAATTTGTCCGCAAGTTTTTGCGGACAAAAAAATATCTGTATCTTTTGCGGACCCACAAAAGTTACTAAACACCTATATTTTTTGCTATTGTTGAATAGACTTCCTATTGCAAAGTGATATCCGTTTTTTTACAAAAAACGATTTTGGATCGAGTTAGGGCCAGTTAATCTTTCGGTTTTTAGGAACGTTCGCTTAAACTCCCAGAGATAATAAATTCAATTTTTAAGAATTATTTTAAATTACTGAAATTACTAGACGATTTATCAAATAATTAACTAAAGAATTTTCCCATTGCTAAAGTATTATGACAACATTTTTCCCCTAGACATTTAAATCCCCAAAAGTTCCTCAAAATTAAAATTAAACCTTTTCTTCTTCTATTATTTCACCTTCCTCAATCACAACCAAATTCTCTTCATTTTCAGTCATTTCTGTCACAATATTTTCTTTCTTTTCTTTTTTGTTTTCATTGACCACAATTATTTGATTAAAAGGCCCGTAATCAGCAATCAAAATTTCATAAATTTTACGGAAAGCTTCTTGTTTTGCCATTTTCTTGTTCCTAGCTTTTGAATCAGCTTCTAAACGACGTTCTAATTTTGTGGCCGAAACTAAAAAATAATTTTGAATTTTAATTAAAAAATCTGCAAAAATTTTTGCGGACATTTTTTAAATCCGCAAAAAATTTGCGGATTTAAAAAATTAAAATACCATCGAGAATGTCAAACTGAAGTTTGCAATTGTGCATAATATCGTTTGATTTTTCATTTTCACTAGTATAAGCGTCGTTCCACTTACAGACAATTCGTTTTTTCATTATCCTAAAATTTAATTTGGTCATTTGTCTTCATCAATTATCTACTAAAGAATAATTTCAACACATTGATAGATGTACTACCGGCCATGCGTAATCTAGCTAGACCGTATTTCCTTACGGAAAATCCATACGAAAATACGCAAAAATTTTTTGTTTATCCGCAAGTTTTATGCGGATTTTTACTTTTTGCAGTTTTTCCAAAACCTTTTTTGGTTTAAATTTTAAATCAAAATTAATTTTTTATAAAAAGAAAAAACAAACAATTCCTGCACTCTCCCAACCCAATTAATTATTTGTTGTTGTTGTAACACCACACCACCTCCTTGTTTAATAGTAAATGTTCCCCCTCTTCCATTATTGTCTCCTTCCATTAACTCGTTTTGCTCGTTATTCATTGCAGTTGTTCTATTAAAAATATTTTTTAAGATAATTGGACATTTAAAAAAAAATTTTTTTTGAGAAAATTTTCAACAGAATTGATTGTTGTGATAGAAAAATAATTTTCAAAATTTATCAAATAAAAAATAAAAAGAAGGTAGCAAAAGATAGACTTTCGTCTTGACTTCCAGTTATTGTTAGAGGAAGAAAAAAAAGAAGAGAAAAGAAAAATAATGAAATATAAAGATTTTAAAGACAAATTATGATTCATCCCCTTAATTATAAAACTTTGCTTCGACTCCTTTCAAAATAAAATTGTTTCTATTTTTATTTGCTTTTAATTGATAAAATAGAAAGAAAATTTGTAAAAGGTATTTAATTGTGAAGAAATAATATTAAGAAGATAAAGAGTTCGGCAGAGTATTAAAGAAAAAAATTAAAATTTATTTTTGTTCCCTCTAAAAAATAAATAATTAGACAAGAAAAATTATTAAAATTTTAATTTATTTTTCATTTTTAAGGCTGTGCAGTAGGCGGCGAGGTATAATGGATAACACATCAGTCCGGTTTACTGAAGATGCTGGATCGCTCCCAGCCGCCGATTAACCTTTTGCACTAGCTGAACGAGAGAAATAGCTTTAGCCCCGCTGCTTTATTAAAGTATCTGAGAAAAATAGATTCTCAATTTTAGGGAATCGGTCCGCATATACCCCTGCTCTATAACGCATAGAGGGGCTGACATCCAAAAATCAAATAAATACCTACATCAACTTAAAAGCTTCTTCTGCATTTCTTCCAGGAATTAAAAACTTAAAAATAATTTTTATTTCTCCAAAAAATTCCAAAAAAACCTCTTTATGTCTTCCACTTTTAATTATATCCAAAAGAACATTTGCAGCAGCTTTGTGTTGAGCTAATTTTTTGGTACGTCCACGAGCTGTTTGACTCCACTGGCCGGCCAATAATTGTTCTTCCAATTCTCCAATCTTTTTTAGTTGAAAAGAAAAAATTATTTTTTTTTGTAACAGATTACACAGCTATTTAAAATAGTTTTTTTTAGTATTTTGTAAAAATAGATATTGGTCCCAAAAACGTCACGGACTGAAAAAAAGTCGGGCCGGGGTTACCAAAATTTTCTTTGGGTCAAATTTTGGATTGAAGAAATTTGTATTATCCAATTATGTTACCCCAATATTATTCCCTTAATTCCCTTCACTTTGGTATAAAATTAAAAATGCTCAAGGTTAAAATTGTCAGATAAGTACTAAGAAAATATATTGTGGGATTCATGTCAGAAAAAATAATTTAAAAGAAAATAATTTTTAAAAATATTACCCCATCTTTCGGATCAAAAATCGTCTTAAATTCAGGATCTTGATCATAAACTTTATTCCATCCAAGTTTGAGAATTGAAATAAAATTGGATTTGTTGAGCAAATCTTTTGTGTAAGGACAATGTTCGAAGTCAATAAAATCGTTGTTTGAACAAGCTGACTGGAAAATAAAAAAAAATTAAATTATTTTAGACAATTTTTTTGAAAATATGGAAAAGACTTGTATTGATGTACCCACAATTTATGAACTCAAAATTTGAGTTTATTTAATAATCATTTTCAATTAATTGTCAAATTACCCAATTAAATTATTTTAGACAATAAAAACTTTATTAGAATCCCTATTTGATAGGTAAATTACAATTTTTCATCCATTTTCATGTGTCCTTTAGCAAAAAAAGTCATCCAAATATATTTAGAAATTTTTTAAGTTCACCCTCATATTTAAAATTAGAACCTTTACAGCAATTTTCACATTTAAAAAATTAAAAAAAAATTTTCCACAAACCTCCAACATTTTCAATTTATACTTTCCATCCCCTTCATGTTCAACTTTTTCAAAAAAATTAGGTTCTCGACTGGTCAACACTAAAGAATGTTCAAATAATTGGTCAAAAGATAAAGACATTATTGATAAAAATTAATCTAAAATTAAATTTAAAAAATTTAAAGAAACAAAAAATATTTAAATTTAGCTTTTTAAACAAATTTAATATAAAAAATTTCTATCTTACAATTTATTTTATTTAATTTCAAGCAAAATTGACAACTATTTAAAAACAAAATTTGAGCAAAAAAACAAACAAATATTTAGTCGAAGAAAAAACTTTTGTCCTTTTAATTTTGAGATTTTAGTAAAAAGCTAACAAAATCCCTCACAACAAACCGAAAAGGGTACCGAAAAAAACTTTTTACTTTATCTTATTTAGAAAATATTTTCTAAAAGCCAAAATCCTTTCTTCGTTCTTTTTCACATTCCTCAATCAAAACCAAAAATTCTCTTCATTTTCAGTCATTTCTGTCACAATATTTTCTTTCTTTTTTAGTTTAATTAACTATATTTAGTTAACTGAAAAGTTTATAATTATTTTTAAACGAACCATTAATAATCTCAAAATAATTTTTTTAAATATTTCATTGGTCCAATTTTATAATTTAATTTGTATAAAATCCTGATTACAGACTTTTTAGTTAAATAAATATAGTTAACAAAACTAAAAAAGAAAGAAAATATTGTGACAGAAATGACTGAAAATGAAGAGAATTTTTGGTTTTGATTGGGGAATGGGAAAAAGAACAACAAAGAATGCCATTCTATTCAGATTTAACAGAAATGAAGGGTAAGGTTGGCGGTTCCTGGGAATATCTGGATAACTAAATAGGAATTTTCGGATAAGCGCATTGGAGAGGAATGTCTATTTATAGACAGACAAAAATCTGTCAGCCCAAAAACTGCCTTAGAAAAATCAATTGATTATTTAAAAACCCCCAATTGATGGAAATTCCCGTTAGAGACAAAAGCCTTTAAAAATTTATAAAAATACCAAAAACCTGTCCAATTATTCTATCTCTATTTTCTAAATTTCTCTTCATTTTTTTCATTTATTCAATTCTTTTTGCCCTTCTTCCACCTTTCAAATTAGAATACCAATTAATTAAACGATCAACTAGACGAGTAAAACGTTGATAACCTTCCATTGAATAAATTCCAAGAGTTTTGGCAATATAAAAAATTTGTTTTGAAAGAGCTGATAATTTGAGAAAAATGTCATAAATTAGCCAATATGCGAGGAACTTGAAAAAGAAAAAAATTAATTTGAGTTTAAAAAATAAGAAAAGGGAGGCTTGGAATGGAGATCAGACTATTTATAAGACGAAATCTTAACAAAAAATTCGGTTATCTAGAATAAAGATTTTCCAACATATCGAGCTTCTAGTCTGGTCTCTAGTTTCAATTTTTGGAAATTTTTAAATTGTAAACTATTCCAGTTTTTTTGAGAGAAAAAGCTTTGGGTTTCGATCCCAAAAAAGTCTATATTTTGATTCGATTAATCATAAAAACTAAAGCCTAAATTAAATAAAAACAAAAATTTTCATGATTTAGAATAAAAAAAATAATTTCCAACAATGTCTAGGATATAGCCTCCTAATTTTGGTAAAAATTCATAAATATTAGTAATAGGGTTAGAATGAAAAAATCACTAGTCAAAACCCCCCCAAGAAAATTTTGAATAAAAAATTTCCTACACAAAGTTTAACGACAGCAGATTGTTTAATTATTTGAAACAAAGTTGCTGGGTAAGCAGCAAAACTTTCTACCCAAGTAGTCCGTTCCCAAAGTCCCAAACCGCGTCTTTCAGCAACCTAAAAACTTTGCTAATTTTCTACAAAAAATCTTCAAAAAAACCTTTTCGCAAGTCAAAAGTCGAGTAATTAGCCTCGAATAGTTTGAATTAAATTGTAATGTTTGGACATGTTCATGATTATCTAAACCAAAAATACGTGCATATCCTTTGCGAATTAATTCAACATTTAAATTTATTTTACGAAGAGGCTAAAAAATAGTTGGGATTTTATTTTAAAACAATTTTTGAAAAAGTTTGGAAAATACCCAACCCTTTTTTTATTTTAAATATTCGAAAATATTTCCGAAAAACAAATAATTATTAAAAATCCAAACAAAAATTTTTCTTTCAAACCTTTTTAATAGTCAAATCGGCATTTGCAATATCTGGTTGTTTTTCAACAATATTAACCACGCTAAAAACAACTGGGCGTCCTTCTATCCTCAAATCTTTGGTTAAATAGTCAATACCAACAGGAGAAATGTCCAAACCAGCAAGTCGAAGATTGAGAAAATCCTGTAAAGTTTAAACGTCTTCAATTAACACACTCTATTAGCACTTAATGGAAGATTCCGGCTCTATGCCCGGGAGAAGTTGGTGAAGTCTGCTTTAGTGTAGATATCGGAAATTTATAAATAACTCGATTTTGGTTGGGGACCTTGATCAGATTTTTAACCTAGAGTTAAGAAAAAATCAAGGAAAAATGAAAAAGGCCTTGATATTGACTCTGGACCCAGGAAAAATAAAAGTTTGAACCCATATCCAGGCTCATCACTTTTATTACCTTCCCTACTACTAAAAAGCATATAAGTTCTAAAAAAAACCTTAGCTTTAGAAGACCGTCCAAATCTCAGAATTTTGGGTAATTTATAAGCAGGTAAATGCTCTACTCTAATTTTTCCATTTTTATCCAATTCCCTCACAATTCCTTTCATTTGAATTCCGAGACGATAAAAATCGGGAGGAATTTGTTTTACTTGATGATAAGTTGCAAACTGGAAATGAAAAAAAATTCTTTCAAAAAATCTACCCACCCATCGAGAGCTTCTCAAAAAAATAGCCAATCCAACAATTCCTGTCCCAACAATAGCTCCCTAAAAATTAAAAATGATCAAAAAGTTAAAGAAAAGAAATTTTTACCCTAACAAACAATGCTGTATATTTATTTATTGGATCAATTTCTTGTGCCGGAGGAGAATCATTTTTAGTTAAAATATTGGAATCTTCAGACATTTCTTTAAGAAATAGAAAAAAAATTTCGAAAAATTACAAAAAAAAACCAAAAAAAGGAAAAATTTATTCTCTTTTTCTCTGCACATTAACTATTTCTTTTTATTTAAATTAAAAACAAAACGCCAAAAATTTAATTATTTAATTATTTAAATTAATACCCCTTTAATCTCTCATTTATCCAACTCTAATTAAATTGTCATAACTCGAGAATAAATAAACCTTTTTTAATATTTTCAAGACCATTTGATAGCTAATGAAGTTGGCTACAAAACTTCAAAATTACAAATTTTTATTAACCAAAATAAAATAGTTATGGCGAAAAAGTGGCTTAAACACATTTTTGAAGGTTTCTTGATCAAAACTTTTGTTACTTGGATAACTAAAAATTAACTTAATTTTTATTTTATAGCTTATTTAATTCTCTATCGAATGATATAAAATTTATTTCAAAAAGATAGTCTATCACTGAGTTAGGAATTTTTAAGTTATCTCATCTCTAAACCTTGTTATCAAAGGTGTACCTAAAAGTGATTTTAAAAAGGCGAAACTCCCACTTCCCTGCTGTAACCTATTTATTAATAATTTTTTTATTTAATGGATATTTTTTCCTAATTTTTAAAAATAATTAATTTTTTCCCCTTTAAATGCATCATTAAACAATTCAAAACCCCCCTTATTTTTGCCATTTTTGCCGTTCATAATATTAAAAATACCTTTACACCTTTTGGAGGACGGCATTTATTTATGATGGATTGAAGAGAAAAAATAAATAATTTTGTTTTTATTTTTTGTCCAAAAGTTTCTCAAAAAAATATGTTAACTGCGACATATTAAAAAAACAGGTTTATTATAGCGATATTTGGCATAAAAACTAAATAAAAATTTATTAATCTATAATAACCCTAAAAATGATTAAAATATTCTTGAGACGATTGAATTCCAATTCTACCCCCCTTCCCAACAATACTTCAAATGATCAGCCACAAACATTAACCACCAAAACACCACAAAAGCTACCTAGTCGGGGGTTAAAATTATTTAGACTAAATGATCTTTAAAAGGATCTAGTTGACAACTACAAACATACCGTAAAACTTTGAATAAATACCCTAAGTAATTATTGTTTCGACCTTCCGCTGGAGGGAGTAATTAATTGAAAGAGGGCAATTAATACAGGTTTTACGGTAGTCATAAATTGTGATTTAGAACTTTTTTTATAAATTGTAAAATAAATCTACAATTTGTAAGACTTTAATTCCTTTATTCTTTTTGTAATCCTTTAATTATTTAAAGTTTATTAAAATATACTTGATTTAAAGTTTATTAAAATATACTTGATTTAAAGTTTATTAAAATATACCTCTCTCTCTCCCTTTCTTTAGACTTTTTTCTTCTAATTTTCTTCACATAATTTTTATTTTTTTATACGCTAAATTAATTTTCCTCTAAAAACGGCGCTTTTAAGAACAAAGAAATTAAAAAATGAAAAAAAGATTTTTGAAGGTTTTTTTTTAAAAAAGTCAGTCGACACTTTTTGTGTTGATATTTATAGACAAAAAGGATTTTTATTTATTTAATGAGAAGAATCCAACTGTGAATAAATTTAAATTGAGAAGGTTAACAAAGTGTGCCGTTATTTGGTCAAATATTTGTTTCAATACAGACAAAATAACAAAAAGATAATTTTATAAATGGAAGGAAATCGGAGGGGTATTTCTAAGAGATTCTTTCCAATTAGGGGGCCAGTCGTCTTAAAGTAAGGTATATAATCGAATCTCGATAAGACTAAGTACCGACTTGAGCAATTCTAGTAGAAGAGAGTACTGTTCAAAACTCGCGAGCTGTTGATTCAAAACTGTTCAAAACATGATGAAAACTATAATTATTTTTTGAGAGATATGATGGAAAAAATTCATGATTTTTCGAAATTCCTGCGGAAATTTTAATTCCCTATTTCGGGAATCGGAAATTCTCCACCGTAAAACGGATCGGAACGGCATTATCCCTGATATTTAGTATTGGGTATATCTTATAGGAAGTTTCTAATTTAATTTGTTGAAGAGAAACACGCGAACACCAACCAACCACTCTCCCCTCCCTCCCTTTTTTTTCTTCTTTCCCTCGCTAACAAACCTCACTGTTGGAATTCTGTAATATGTAGTTATGGCGCATGGACATTAATCTCTTTTTTTAATAAATTTACCTAAATTACTTTATTTAACCTTTTTTCGTTATAAAAAATCCTCTAAAATTTTCTCTAAGATTAATTACTCAAAATAAAATCAGAAATGTGCGCAAATTTTTGGCGTTTTAAAATTAAATGGTTTTTGACGTTATTTTCGCAGACTCAAAATTTTTCGACCGAAATTTAAAAATTTTTAAAATTTTTTTAATTTTCGACAATTCCAACAAAAATGAGAGAATTACTTTTTTTTCAATATTTTTAAAACCCCAATTTATTTTTAAAAGCAATAATAATAATTTTAAGCTATGTAGTTCTCGAGAGAAGAAACATTAAAATTGTTTTTACCCTTCCATATGTTCTTATTAAGAATTGTTGAAAAAATGAGGGGAAGGAAAGAGAAATTAATTTTAAAAATATTAATTAATTAATGAAAATTAAAAAAAAATTAATTTTTTTTTCAAAATTAAAATAACAAAATTCAAAACAAAAATTGTTAACCTGATTTAATTAAAAATTGACAAGTTTTAGAAGAGTAAAGCTAAAAATTTAATCTTTTACATAGTATTTTGTGGAAGAGAATTACCCTTATTGTTTTGGAACAGTTGAAGTTCGCTAATACGGGGAAAATTTTGATATTGTTAATTAATTTGATTAATTAATTTGATGGATAGTTAGGGAAGGCGTTGTTTGATTGTGAGTCAAATCAGATTAAAAACAAACCTCGGGACAGCTGAAGTATGAATGAAGGCGGAAAACTTTAAACATCGTTTAGAAAAGCAAAAATATCCCTCAAATAAAAAATTTTTTAAATTTTTTCTTAAATTTAAAAATAGCCCTCATTTATTATCTAAAAGTAGGCTTTTTAAATTAAAAATTATTTTTATAAAGTTTATTAATATTGACAGTCCCTCCATCCACCCAATTCAGCCACCAACCAAAAACTGACAGCTTACCGTTTCTTTTTTCTCTTAAACTTTTTAATAAAACAACACGCGTATTTAATATTCAGAAAGTAAAATATTGTTTAGAGTATTTTTCTATTATTTTTTCCATTTCTTTGGAAGGGGAAGGCAATTAATTTGATGGGTAGTTTGGGAAATATTAAATATTATTTTTGGAAAGAAAATTAAAAAAAAGTTGATGAAAACAGAAGTTTAGAAAATTAAAAAATTAATTTGAAAATAAAATTGTTTTTATTTTAAATAAATTTTAAAAATTAATTTAAAGGAAAAAGTTACTGTTGAAAGCAAAATCCCTCAACCAAAATTGCGATAGCCCTTTTCTCTCCCTAAAATAAATAAAAATAAACTTGAAAAATCCTTAAAATAAAAATAACAATAATTGAAAGAGGAAGTGATTTTCTTTGTTCCTTAAATTTAAAATAAAGCGGGTAAAAATAAATTTAATTTTTTTCTGTTTTTTACTGAAAACTTTTAAATAAAAGAATTTTGAAGGAAAAAATGGAATGAAATACATAAATACAGTAAAATGAGTCTACAAGTACACGCTGGTTTTCGTACCATAACTCTTGAAAGAAAGAACCTTTTTAAGTGCTTTTTATCTCAATCGAAAAATAATAAAATTCTCTATAAAATATTAAAATTTCATATTTTTAACCTACAAAACAAAAAAGTTATGGCTAATAGATTGCCAAAAATAAGGGTTTTTGAAGGTTTTTCAACCATAATTTTCTTATCTTCTAACCAAAATTTTTAATTTTCGCCTCATTTAATAGCCAATTTAATTCTCTATTAAAAAACACCAAAATCGTCCCAATCGGTTAATTCCTTGTTAAATTATAAATTTTCAATTACCCTTTACTCAAATAAAGTATTACAGTAAACACATATCTCTCCCTCCCTCTCCCTCCCTTCCTTTATTTGCTTTTTTGAGGGTTTCTCTCATTTATTGGCTTTTCTTTTAACAAATATTTGTTTCTTAAATAAGAATAGAATATGTATGTAAATATGCCCCGCCTTTTTGTTTGGAAAAGATGCATGTTTGACCACAAAAATAACACAACAACAACAAACATTGTCTATTTATTTTCTTTTAAAAAACTTTAAATAAAACTTGGAGAAAAACTTTAAAAAATTTTTAAATAAAAATACCTACAAATGTCAAGTCAAAACAATTTTATTAGCCAAGAGGAGCAGGTAACTCAATTAATTACCATAAATGCTGAAATAATTACTACGGGTCTATCATTAGAGGGGGTAATTGATAGGAATGAGGTGCTGAATTTGGTGGTGAATCTCTATGCAATTGAGAATGAAACTGATTTTTTACCTTTATTTTTACTCTTAAAATTTATGATGATTTTTTAATATTTTTAAAATTAGTGTAGGAAAAATAAGAGGAGGTATTTATTTGAAAGAGGGTAATTACTTCCCAGCATTTACGGTAATTAACCAGACCAACTAATTGCTTATTCTTAATAAATCTTTTCCCCAACAGAAACCACCATTCTCCTATATATGGCTAACTTATATGGCAATTCAAAGTTCCCCTGAAAAAATGTTACCGTTAACGGAAATTTACAAATTTATAATGGAACATTTTCCTTATTTTAGACAAAATACACAGAGGTGGCAGGTAATTTAAATTTTAATTTTGAAATAAAAATTTTTTAAAGAATTCACTCCGTCATAACCTTTCATTTAATGACTGTTTTGTAAGAGTACCGAGAAAGGCGGATCAACCGGGAAAGGTAAAGCTGAAGGAGAATCTTAGTAAATTACAATCTGTAAAATAATTAAAGGGTTCTTGTTGGGCAATTCATCCAAAAGCAATGTGTATGTTCGAGAATGGAAGTTGTTTGAGGCGGCAGAAGCGTTTTAAAGTAAGTTGTATTACAAGTTGGAATGTATTACAAGTTTGGAAAAATATAATTTGTAAAATGTTTTACAATTTCTGGAAGGAATAAACATCTGAATAACAATTAACAATAAATAAGCATTTAAAATTTTCCGGAAAACATTAAAAACCAAAATAAGTTTATAGCTTTTCCGGAAACAAAAATAAGTAATTACAATTTACAAAACGCAATTTACAACTTTCCGGAAAACTTTAGAATAAACTCTAAGTACACATTTTACATAGATTCAAACTTTTCCGGAAAAGACACCCCAAAATACAAATTTACACCTTTCCTGAAAATACAATTTAAATCCTTTCCGGAAACAAAATTAATACCAATTTACGATTATTATTAAACTAAATTACAATTTACAACTTTCCGGAAAATATTAAAATAAATTCTAAAATAAACTTTTTATTTTACAAAAGTTGGATATCCGTTCAGTAGCTAATGGGTGTTTAGCTAAATACAAAAGAAACAAACGCAAAAACATCAACATCAACAACAAAACAAAGTTTTCTTTAAATAAAACAAAATTCGAGACAAACAAAACAAGCAACAATATTTACGAGAATAACAACATAATTACAAAACAATTAATTTTAATTGGACAAATAATTGCTTCACAAAAAGGACACCAACATTTATTTAATAATTTAGAAGAGAATTCCTCCACAAATTTAATTTTAGAAAATTCAAAATTTAATTTAGAAAGAAAAATAACAACAGCAACAACGCCTCCTCCTACTTTATTTAATAATATTAATGCTTCACAATATAATAATTTTTTTGTTTTTCCACAAAAAGAAGTTAATAATACTCAACATTTGCCTAATCAACTTTTATGTTTAAGCAATTTAATAAATGACAACCATAATAAAAGTGATATTCAATCTCCTTCATGTAAGGATATTTTTAATATTTAGTTAATATTATTCCGGAAATATTAAGTTAATTTAAAGTTTTCCGGAAAATACATAAAATATAAAATGTGTTTTTATCCGGAAAAATTGTATATAATAAAATACAAATTAATTTCCTTCCAGAAAATGTATAAAGATTGTAAATTCATTCCGGAAACATAAAATCCAGAAAATGTTGAAGAATTCTGATTTCTTTCAGGAAAATATAAAAAATAAAAATTGTAATATACATTAGATGTTAACTTTCCGGAAAAGTGTATAAATACAATTTGTATTTTCTTTCCGGAAAAATCTATATTTTCAAAAATACAATTACAAATTGTAATTTAACCTTTCGGAAAAATAAATTATTTTCTTTTATTTCAGATCTTTATAACAATTTACATCAAAATTTATTAAATAAAAACGAAGAAACGGAAATAATTGACAACAAAACCGAAGTTAACCAATTCTCTATTTTATCAATTTTGGGTGGTTTAAGGAAAGAATGACGCAAAATAAAAATTTTAAAATTAAAAGAAATTAGCATTTCGTGCTCTATAAATTTTAAATTTTAAAAATTTTAATAGCTTTTACTTAAAGAAATATTATTAGAGCAATACAACGTCCTCTTCCCTTAAAACAATTGTCATGTCATTATTTTGTTGCTTCATCACCCTAGGGAAATCAACGAGAAACGCGCACTCTCGGCCCTTCCTTCCCTTTTTAAAGAAGAAAACATAAAAATATGACATTTAAATATTTCCAAAAAAATCATAAAAATTATTTTTAACTAATTTATAAAGAAAATAAATATGTACATAATAATAATGTTGAGCATTTTTTAAATAAAATTGAGCAAATAAATGAAATGTTGGATTTAGTTAGGAGGTAAAAATAAAGAGAGGAATTGTGTAATTAATTAACTATGCGATAGAAAAATCACAAATTGTAATTTGTCTTTCCGGAAAGCAAAAATTATTTTTAAGAATTGTAAATTAAAAATTGTAATTTAGTATCCTTCCGGAAAAAATTACTTAGCAAGCAATTATAAATTGTAGCTTTCCGGAAAAAGAAATTAAATAATTGTAAATTAAATTGGGTGTGGACATTTGCGAACAGACATTCTCGGACACCCACTAATAATTGAAGGTGTGATTTCCAAAGAAAGTACACTAGGATTATTGTTAGGCCAGACTATTTTTTTGTATAATGAATCTAATTAAATAATATCTTAGTTTGATTTTAATTAATCTCCATTTTAATCTACTCATTTCATCACCTTTTACTAACATTTGTATAAAGAAAAACATCATCTCCAATCTCCTTTTCTTCTTCAACATCCGAAAGTGTAGTATTGTTATCTTCATTATTATTAGCTTTGGTAACATAATAATCATCAAAATCGTCCTCGTGTTCACCCCCATCCGCTGCTTGATTTCCACCAATACAACGATAACGTTCTCCACTGCTATTGAGCATTCTTTTAAATTGAAGGGACATTTCCGGAGATATTTTTAAAAATCAGATAAATACCTCACAGCATCATACATAGTCTCTGGCAATGGCAAGTCTCTAGTTTCAGGCAGAAAATAAATAAGAACCCCCGCAAAAAGAGAAAAGACACAAAAGACGGCCATTGGAACGATTGGACTTGGAAATTATTTTTAAAAATTTTGAGAGGGTAAATTTAAATCCCTCACAGTGTTACATCAGAAAGTATTGCAATATAACCAGAAGCCGCTGACCCTATTCTAGCGATCATTGAACATGTACCTACTGCACTGTTTCGAATAACTGTTGGGTAAAGTTCTGAGGTAAAACTTGGGAAAATTTTGCTTAATGTTAGTGAAAAATATTTTAAATTAATTGACTCTCTTTTTCCTTTTTTATTTAGTTTATAAATTTATTAGAATAAGTAAATTAATTTTTATGTTACATATTGAAAAGGCAGCTGGCTAGCATTTAAGACATTTACTAGGTAAAGGCAGCGCCCCAGTAGCTCACAATAGGTAGAGCAAGTACTGGTGAAAAGCCAACGTTTACTTCTCCTTTTTACTTTCCGGAATATTGTCAATTACATACAATTTATTTATTTGTCTATTATAATACGGAGACGAAAAATCAGAATTTACAACCGGATTGTAAAATATTTAAAATAAAATTTACATATAAAGAATATTAAAAGCCCCTTGAATACACGCCTTTCCAGCTAAAAGGAAAAGAAGAGAAAAAGCCATTTCTCCACGAAGGCTAAGGCACATTGCAGCAAAAATTAGAGTTCCAGCACAGATTAAAGAAATAACTTGTGACCATTTACGACCTCCCTAGAATTTTTTTCCTTTTAATTTTTAAAAATAAATAAAATACTTTATGTAACAAAAAAACACAAGCAATTAATGTAGGTAATTCAATAGCCCCAGCAATTGCATTATTTAAAAAGAAATTTCCCGCAAACATTGCACGACCGGGAGTTGACTGTGTAAATTAGAAGAAATTATTATTTAAAAAATTTTTAAGTATTGTAATAGAAGGGAGATTCAGTTAGGGCATATCCATGCGTCGGATTTCATTGGGGGCTATAATTGGGTGTGCGCTAAACCTTTGGTATCTAGCTGGGTAATATTCACTAAAACGCTAGGTGAGGGTTTAATATTTATATGAGAGAAGGCAAAATTGCCCAGTAGCCCAGTCACTCAACGAGGTGAGTGAGACTACTAGTAATAATAACTGCTAGGAGGTCACAAGCTTAATTACTGTCCAGTAAACTCCTGCTTGTCTTTTGATGTAAATATTTACTTTCCGGAAAGTTCAATTAGAAAATTATTAATTTACTTGATCAGACAAAGCAATAACAATTCCATAATAAACCAAAGCCGTAGCTATCCAAACTAATCCAATAATAACATTTCTAAAAGCCATTGTTGGCGATTTAAATGAGTGGAGAAAATGTGGACGTTGATTATGCTAACAATAAACATATTAATTTATTTTTACTATAAGTATTTTTAAAAATTAATTTTACATCAATCCATTTGCGCATTTCTCTAAAAATATTTTAAAATTTAATTTGTAAATTGATTCAAATTAGAATTAGTAATTTACAAATTGTAAACGTAATTTACAATTTTATTATTACAATTTGTAAATTATTGTAAATTACAAGTTTAATTATTTGTTTTCCGGAAATGTTTTAAATTAATTTATTTTTCCGGAAAAGTTGAAAAGACTTAAATTCAATTTCTCATTTTTCCGGAAAGTTTATTTTTCTATTTACAATTGTAATAAATAATTCTAATATTGTAATTACAATTTAAGTCATTCCGGAAAGTTTTGTTAATTAAAATTTATTTTTTTTTCCGGAAAGATTTAAATTCAACTGTCCCGGAGTTTATTTTCCTATTTACAACTTTTCCGGAAAATTAATAAAAAAAACTTACGAATGTCGGACCAACTCCAAGTCTGAAGGCAATGAACTTTTATTGAAATGACAGGCCTAAAAATTAAAAAAATATTTTTAAATTAAATTTTAAAATTAATTTAAATCAAATAAAAAACACTCCTCAACTTTCTAATAATTTTTTCTGCTTCATCAACTCTATTAGTTACAATTAACCATCGAGGACTTTCCGGTAAGTGATGAACGAGGAAAAGAGCAAAGAAATGAAGGGTTGAGGTAATTAACTTTAAAAAGATTTTTTAATTAAAAATTAATTTTCTTTTTCTAAACTTGAATTGATGTCCAAGATCTAAAGATATAAGCGACCAAAGCCAAAAAAGCATATCCACAGGCCCAGGGGGCTTGAAGAAGGCTGCCAACTATTGAACGATATTGCACTCCTATTTTTGGTTTTTTAAATTTTTTAAATTTAAATTTACCAGTAATTTCCATACAATAAACATAAGCTTTAAAAATTTATTTTTTCAAAATATTTTTTCTAAAAATTAATTAAATACCAGCCAAATCAGCAGCTTCATTGCACGCAGCTAATAAAAACCTTACAACTAAAAATACTTCAAATTCTCTTGAGAACGATAAAAGAAAGCCAAAAATTGTTGATAAAATAGCAAAACCATAAATTGCAGGTTTGCGTCCATAACGATCATGAAAATGAGAGGGAGAAGTTTATTTTTAATATTTCCGGAAAAAATAAAGTGTAATTAATTTTTACACAATTCCGGAAGGTACCTACTAGATTGTAATTGTTTCCGGAAAAATAATAAATAAATTGTAAATAATTTACAATTATTCCGGAAAAGTATAAATTGTAATTAACCTCTTTTTCGGAAAATAAAATATTATTTAAGTGATAGGCAATAGGCAATATTTACAATCCTTCCGGAAAGATAAATAATTTACAATTCCGGAATATAGAATAAATTGTAAATAATTTTTACAAATCCTCAAAAAAATAGTATAATTTGTAAAATAAAACATTCCGGAAACAACAAAACAGAAAAGAGACTAAACAAAATACGTTCAAAATACTATAGGACTATAATAATAATAATTACCGAAATATAGCCGCCCATCATACACCCAACTAAATATCCAAGTGAATAAGAAAGATGGACGTGTGCTTAATTTAAAATTTTGAGGAAATTAAAAATAATTAGCCACCTCTACTCCAATTATCGTCACAGACCCGGTCCCACTGAGTTACTACAGAATCTGACATAATATTTCTATCATATTCCCATTGTTTACAACGTTGAATCTTTTAATTTTAAAATTTCAGTTAAATAATTTTCTTTTAATTCACTAAATAAGGGGGCCGTTCTCTAGCCAAAAGTATAGCTTCGGTAAAGTTCATTGCCAAATATTCACGTAGCTGTGCCTCAGAAATTGTGTAGACAGCACACTGGTCATGTTTTGTACGTCTATTACGAACCTTTTGGAGGAAATTGAAGACTTTCCCTGAGAATTTTCCTTTACCTGTGGAAAAGCTATTCCAGCATCCAAAGCCTTCTCCCAACTCCAACCTGGCCCAATTTTATTTTCTGGATTTTCAATATATTCTCTCGAAAAACTCGGTAACTAAATATAGTAATTATTGAATAAAGTTGGAGATTATACAGAGCCTCACTTAGGCTTTTTTTGTATTTTATAATGAGATAGAGAGGATATATAGATCACGGGTCTGGTGCTTCGCCTTTCGTCTTTAAAATCACTTCCCCTCCCCATTCCCGGCTATATCACTTTGAAAACTCTCCCTTACTCAAACAAAAACATATCTTAAATCTAGGTTTTCTCATTTTCAAATAGCTAGGTTCTTTTAAAATAATTAATTAATTTAAATATTTTTTCTCAACTTTACACCAGTGATCAGGCAAATAAGTAAAATAAACAACAGAAAGGTTAAACATTGCATGAGGCATTTGATGAGCAGAAATAATTAAATATATTAGAATTTGCCATGTCGAACACCCACCAATTATTTTGAGAATTCCTAGATATTACTGAAATATTTTCTTGACATTTTGAAATATTTTTGCCTGTTTGACATTTTTAGATATTTTACAGTAATTGACGTTTTGAAATATTTTACAAAAGTTTACATTTTGAAATAATTTTCCGTTTTTAACCATTTTCAAATATTCCCCGCCCTTTTACATTTTCAAAATAAAAAATCCCCTTACCTTCAAAGTCAATATCAGTCAACGGTTTTTTACTCCTCGATTTTTCTTTTTGATCTTTATAAACATTTTGCATTTTATAATGATGTGCATTAACTTCTAATTCACTTTGATTTCTAAGTCTTCCACCTTTTCTACTAGATTGCCCACTACTTTTCCCTCTAGGTCTAAATAATTCTTCTCCCTCTCCCCCACAACCAATTCCTTCATCTGTCGAAGCTGTTCTGCTAGCCAAAGCTTTTTCTTCTTGTTTACTATTTATTTCATTAGAAGGGCCCGGAACTTCTTCAAAATTATCTGCAATCATTTCTGCATAAAGAATTCCAGAATGTTCAACACCTCCACTCAAATTTGGGTCTGACTGGAAAAATTTTATTCTTTTAGGAATAGCTCTATTTAAACAAACCAAGGTTGGAGATACAAGCTTTGCTGTTTCCGCCCCAATTTCCACCGTTCGAAGGTCAAATTCACTCTAAATTTGGGGACATGCTTTTCAAAAAATATTTTTAAAACACCTGAACATATAATGGTTGCAATACCACTTCAGGAATTGTTTCAATTTGATGCTCATTATTAACGGGATAGGTGTCTAAATGGTCTAAATGAACTACTATTGTTTCATCATTGGGTATTTCTGCTTGAATCATTCACTAGAAAATGTTTTTAGTGTATAATTAAAGAAAATTCACATTTAATAAAGTTAAATTGAAATTCTGATTTGTAATTCTGAAAATAAAGTGTATAAATTAAGTAACGACGGTTTGTAATTTGTATTTATATTCTGATATTTGATTCTACCTATTTTAAATTCTGGCTTTTTAATTGTAATTTAAAAATTCTGATTTGTAATTCTGAATATTAATTTCAATAAAAATGCAGGTTAGTAGTTCTGGTTTTTTAATTGTATGTTAATATTTACAATTTGATTCTAGTTTTAATTAAAATTCTGGTCTTAAAAATTCTGATTTGTAATTCTGGTTTTTAATTATAAATTAAAATACTAATTTTTAATTAAAATATCAATTTCTGGTAGAAAAAACTTAAATAAATCAATCAAAAGAAAAATTTAAAAGAAGAAAAAAAGTTTCAATAATTAAGAACACATTTGAAGAGAAATAAAAGAGAGAGTAAATGTTTATAACCAATTATTTAGCCCTATTAATGTTTTTTACTTTTCTCTTCTAAACCTCTTTCTTTTATTTAAAAAAAGCATTTGGCTTTGATTACCCCCAATTTTTTTAAAATATTTTTTTATTTTATCAGTTCTTCTCGAGAATTGTATAGCCGTTGGAAATCGATTAATTAAAATTTCTCTTTTCCCAAATATTTTTTAGACACAAAGGAAAGTTTAATATAATTGATTTTAAAGGGGTAAACATTGTGTCATTTTTGTTAATTAATTGGAGGAGAATGCTTATTTCAATTAACAATTATTTTATAAAAATTGTACTTTCTGACAAAAAGATTTTTATTTAATTAAAAATAATTTTGAAAAAATGTTTCAACTTAAAATAAAGATAATTAAATTAAGTTACTAGCGAGTTTGTTCTCGTGCTTGTACTTCATACCAACCCTATTTTTGTCTTCGTACTTTTTTTCTTCGTAAAACCTGACCTAACCCGCTAGTATACATGTAGCAGAGATCTATATCTATCAAGGATCCTGCCGACAAAAAACAAAATTTCGGGAAAACGGGACGGCAGTATCTTCTGTTAAAATCTTTATCTGTAATTCGAAATTAAATATAAAAAAATAAATATTTCAAAAAAATTTTTTTAAATTCTCTATCAGAAAGACACATTCACTTATAAATCCAATATTTTTCATCATGTTTACTTTCAACAATAGGAGCAGAATATGCGGACGCTACCTTCAGTACAATTAATTATGGAGGTTTAAGTGGATGTGGACAACCATATCTTATTAGAATAAGCCCTGAAATTTGAAAATTAAAAATATCTAGTAATTCAAAAAAACCTGGATTAGCCAGCATACTTACAAGTACTGACCATTGGTTGTGGGAAATTAATTCTTAAATTTAAAAAAAAATAAGAAAAACAAAAATTGTGGCTGACCGACAAATTGAACTGAATTGGTAGGATTGGATCCCAATTGAGATTTGTTATTTTGTTTTTTCGTTTGTTGTGCAATATAATTGTGTCGAGAAATGCTTGCGAGAATTAAACGAATATTATGCATGTCCTCGTGACCGCAGTTAAGAATGTCAAATACGATAAGCCTAAAAATTGAAGTTCATAAGGATTCGAATAAAATAGAGTTGAAGAATGTAAAAACCAGAGTAGAGCAAAACCGATTTACCGCTTACGGTTACATTAACCGGGAGGGAACCTGTTAATGGCTTTGCTCTACTCTAGTAGAAACAGTCCTTATTTGGAAGGAAGATTTTTCCTTATTTCGTTGCAACGCTCAAAACGGTCAATCTTCCTTAGTATTAGATGTTTGTTGATTTCTGCCGTAAAGGAATATTCAGAAAATAATTGAATTTTTTCATTTTCTGCTGATTTTACTAAGCGAATTCGATATTTACTGGTTCGAGACCTATGGCCATTGGATCTGGGTGAGTACTTAACTTTATTCATTATCAGCAAAAATTTTTGTTCTTCAAAATTATGTCAAATTTTATTAAAAAAATCTTACGAAGGAAATCAACAAACATTAAGTGCTAAAAGGAAAAAAGGACTATTTCGAGTTAATGCAAGGAAATAAGGAAAAATAAATAGAATTGGGCACCTCCTTTCAGATAGTGTTCAAAAACATAACCTACCGAATTTATTTTAATAGAACTACTGTCCCTAATACAGCCACCCCAAATGGAGGGGTTGAAAATAAAAATAAATATCGACCTGCCTGTTGATCGGTAGACAATAGAACCACTAGTCGTTCTATTAGAATAAACCCGGTAAATAAAATCTAGGCTTACTTATTTTGTGAATATGAAGACTTGTAATCCATCAATTTATTACTTCCCGGCACCAAGTATTGTTGAAGTTTTCTCATCATATAATTATTTACATGAAGAACCAAACCAGCTCCTTTCTGTTCAGAATTATCCAACAACTAAGGAATTTTTAAAAATAAAAGAAAAACAAAAAAACCTCCACTTTGATAACATTTTTGAAAGAAAGTGAACCCAGAATGGTTTCTTTTCCAGTATCAACAGGTAACGTTAAAAATTCTGAAGATAATTCAATATCTTTATCAACAGCAATTTTGAATTCATAACCAGATAGTTTAAGAAATGAACTTTTTATTTTTATTTTATCCATATTAACTAAATTAAAAATAAAAATACTTGTAGGCACAATAAAACAAAAAAATCCAAATTTAAATCAATATGTATTTAGGGTTAATCCCAATTTTGGCGAGACTGCTTACTTCATTTAAATTTACAGAAAAATTTATTTTTTATTAAAATATTAAATTAATTAAAAATTAATTTTGAAAAAAATAAGAATTAATTTCTATCTATCGGAAAGAGCACATTTAAATAAATGTTCATGAAATTCTGAGCGTGAAGCAAAATTTGTTTCAAAACATTTTGTACAGACAGAAGTAAACATTGTTGTTGATTCAGAATTTGTTTTGTTTAAAAAATCAAGTTTTGAATAGGAAGGAATAAATGAACCAGAAGTGGGGAATTGCTCTTCCAAGTCTACCTATAATTAAATAAATAGTATAAATTCTGGTTTGTAATTTTAATTCTGAAAATTTTAATTCTGAATTGTAATAAAAAATACAGGGTTGTAATTCTGGTTTTAAAAAAAATTCTGATTTTACAATTTGTAATTCTGAAAATCAATTACAAAGGAAATGACGATTTGTAATTCTGGTTTTTTCAATTGTAAAATTCTGATTTTTTATTTTAACACTGATTTTACCTAAATTCTGATTGTAAAACTTTACAATTTGTAATTAATTATTTAAATCAGAATTAGCCCCTCCTCTACCTGAATTTCCAAAGGTTCTTTTTCTTTATCATTCTGTAAACATTTATTAGCGCATAAATGACTATTCCAATCACTTTTTTGACCAAACAGATGAGCACACATTCGACAAAAATAAGCATTTCCATCAGAACAAGTTTGAGGATTTTGTTGTTTTTCTTTTTCTTTGTCCAATTTTGCTTCTTTCCTCTTGTCTTCCTCCCTTTCTTCTTTCCTTTCTTCATTCTTCCCTTCCTCTTCATTTACTAATTTCATTTTTTCTTCCTCCTTTTCTTCATTTATACCTTCCTTCTCTTCCTCCCTCCTTTCTTCTTCCATTTCCTTTCCTCCCTCAACCCCAATATGTTCTTCTTCATCCTCTTCCTTTTCGTTTCCCTCCTCTTCCACCTCTTCTTCTGACATTGAAGTTGTTAATGAAGATTCTTTTCTCTGACACCAAAATGAATTTGTTTCAACAAAAATGCAATTAGTGTTATCCAAGCCAAATAAATTGTGAACAAAATTTCCGGTAATTTCTCTTAAAATTTAATTTAAAAAATTAAAAAGTAAAGGTAATTTGAGTTCTGTACAAAGCTGAAAAAAGGGTTTAAGCTTGAATTTAAAAAATCTAATTTTCAAAGAAAAATTTTTTACTCTATTTTTCTAACCAAGTTTGAAGTTCTACGTTTTCTATTTTTTATCTCAAATTGGAAAATCTTTATCTCATTCCCTCTTATCTGGTAAATTTAAAAGTCAGACCTAACTTGTACTATATTACCAAATAAACCTCAATTTAAGACCCTTTTTTCAAATAATTTTATTTTCCTGGTTAGCCACGAAAAATAAACAGACTCTATTTTAGGTATAATTTCAAGGGTATATCCAAAAAATGAGATTCGACTTTAATAAATAAAACTCGTTACCTTAACGTTTTTGGTTGTTTTAATTTATTAGAAACTAGTAAAAAGAATTCTTTTTCCTTTTCATCATTTTCCAAATATTTAATTCTTTGTGGGTAGGGAATACGTTCCATAATTGCCAAGGCATCACGGCAGCGACTTCGAAAACCCAAAGTAGCTGTATGAATAACTAGAAAATAAATTTTTTAATCGGAAAATTTTGAAAATTCAAAATTATTTAAAATAATTTAAACAAAACCATTTTTATATTCATGAGCACGTCTAGTACATAAATGTCTCATAACTGGGCGTAACCTTCTCGAAGAAAATCCACATTTTGAACAATTAAAAGGAGGCGAACGAGGCAAGATTTCTTTAGAAAAAAAAATTAATTTTTGAAATAAAATAATTAAAAATAAACTTTGTTGAGAAGAAAAAAGAAAAGCATTTTTCTTTAATTGAAGGGCCAAATAAATTGATAAATTGTTGTTTTTAGTTGGAATATTTCGATGATTTTTTCTATTTGTGTGCCTAAATAATTAATTATTTTTTAATTCTGATGATTAATAAAATGATTCTGATAAAATTCTGATTTTTTAGAGGTAATTCTGATTATTTTTTGAAATAATTCTGGTCAAGTTCTGATTTTTTAGAAATAATTCTGATTTAATTCTGATCATTTTAAGCGAATTTTGATCAATATTCTTATTTTATTTTTAATAATTCTGATTTCATTTCTGGTCATTATTTAATAAATTCTGATTTCTCCCCTTTTATATAAAAAATCGATCGTCTTAACAATTTCCTCACCTCTCTTCTAATCCATTAATAAATTGAGCGGCATAACGCTTAAAACCTATAGCCAAGAAGCAAAGCACTTTTTCTCTTTGTAAAGGAGTCAAATTTCGAAGCCATTCAAAAAGCTTTAACATTTGTTTTTGTTGTTGAGGTTTTTGCTAAAAGAAATAAAGCTTAATTCTGAAAATATTCTGATTTTAAAAGTGTATTGAAAACAGAAAACTACAAAGTGTAATTCTGATATTTAATTCTGGTATTTAAATAATTCTGGTATTATTTAATAATTCTGATTGAAATTGTAATTCTGATAAATTTATATACTGGTATACATTTATATTCTGATAAATTCTAGTATATACTGCTTAAAATAGAAATTACAAATTGTAATTCTGATATGTTAAAATCACAATTGTAATTTTACTTACATTTGTATTCTGACATTTTGTTTCCGACTCAATGTTTTTTTCTTCTTCTAATTGTTCTCTTTTATTCTCCATTTTTATTTCTGCCCTAATTTTATTTACAATTGTTGAAGCAAGAGGAGGAAGACGTGGAGGGAAAGGACGTGGAAAAACAAATCTTCAATTTGCTCAAGTTGCTGAATTTAGTTTAATTTCTTCTCAATTGCCTGATAATAGAGTAAAAAAGTTTTTTTAGAGAATTTTAAAAGAAAATTACATATTTTTTTAGAGCGCCCAAATTATCACTGGCTCTCACTTTAGTCAAATTTTCAGGCTTGGCTTTAAATTGAGGTAGTTTTTACAAATTAGAATAACTGTAGTTTACAAATTGTAAAAGTTTTACAAACCTAAAAAATAAACTTTTTTCTGAGTAGTCTTACAATCTACAAATTGTAAAAAATAAAGTTTTAAAAACCAGAATTGTAAAACTTTTTTTTTAATTTCAGATTAATTTGCAAAGCTTATGGAGAACCCCGTCCAATGATTAAATGGTATAAAGAAGGGGCAGAAATGCAACCAAAACCAAATGTTCATTATTATGAAAAACCTTTAAGCAAAAATAAAATTTGGGTATGTTTTGTATTCAAAGAATGATTTTATTTTTTAGAGTAAATTGGAAATAGATCCAGCAACAATGGGTGACCAAGGAGTAAAAAAAAATTAAAAATTTTTTTTTAAAATCTCCTTTTTTTAGATATATGCTTGTGTTGCTAATAATCAGTATGGGGTGATGGCAAAAAATTTTAAAGCTGAATATACTTATTGAAAATTTAAAATATTTCTTCAAAAATATTTTTTAATTCCCTGACCCTCTAAAAATATTTTTTAAATCCACAATTTAATACCCAACATTAAAAACCCGATAATTAAATATTCAAAAGTCCTTATAAATAAATTAAAAAGTAAAAAATTGTTTTTTAAAACTAAAAAAATTAAATTTAACAATTAATAATCCTCAATTTATCGCTTGTGTATGTAAAAAAGCAATTCCCACAAAATTGTAATTCGAGAAAAACTAATAAATAAAAATTAAAAAAGGAACACAATAAACACAATAGGTATGCATATAACTAAATATATTTACAATTGTAAAAAAGTTTTAATTTTTACAAATCAGAATAAAATAAACTTTGAAGTTTACAAATTGTAATTATTTTACAAAACAGAGAAATAAACTTTTTTCTGAAGCAAATAAAGTTTTACAAATTGTAAAAAAGTTTTACAAATCAGAATTAATTTTTAAAGAATTAAAACTTTTTCAGAATTACCAAAAGAAAAACAGTTTTATATTTTTATTTTATTTAAAAAATCAGAATAAAATAATAGGTACATTTTATAATGTAAAAGAGAGGGGTCAAAAAAGAGGAATAATTTTGTGTCAAGCACTATAATATTTATTTAATTTTATTTACCAGTCAAAAGGGACAATTTATCTATACAATCCAAGACGAAGACTTTACAATTTTTATTTTTTGGAATAAAATGAGGAGAGAATTAATAATCCTCAATGAGGTCCTAAATATTTTTTGAACTCTTTTCTTTATATAGGCCGAACTTCATTTTTAAATATCCCTCTTGGAGTTGAAGAAATGCAACTTATAAGGTTATATCGTTATAGGCAGTCTCTCCCAACCCAGTACCCCAACCAAATTTAAGAAAAGAGAAGAGGTATAAAAAAATGAGGTCCGGCCGCCCAATTTAACATTTTTTTAATTTAATTGTCTGGAATGAAACTCAAAAAAAAGAAATTTATTTTCTACTTAATTAATTACTCATATCACCCTCATCATCATCAACTTCCTCATTAACATCATCAACATTGATATTGTCATCTTTGCAGTTAGTACAATACCATTTAGCAACATCGTCAAGATTAATATTCTTTCCAAGAATGCAAATAGTATGGAACCACTTAAAAATAAAAAAAGATTATAAAAGAATTATAGAAAATCCTTAAATTAAACACAAAATAAATTTCCAAAAAAATCATTTAAAATAGTGTTATTTAAACCCGGTCAGTTGAAAAATGAAAGACGCGGAATTTTTCCCAAAAAAAACATGGAATAAAATTGTAAATTTCCCCAAAATCTCCCTACAAGCCCTCTCTCAAAAAAAGATTAATCCAGACCTTATCACAACCATCACAAGCAACCCAATTAATTTTCATATCCTTTGGACGTTTACAACTTGCAAGCTGACAAAGTTCCGGATCCCCTTCACCACCAGTCCAATCTTCCATTACTGTCGAATCATCAGCTTCGCCATCAAAAGTTGTATTATTATCATTGTCGTCAGAATCTTCAGATGTTGAAACCTTCTTTTTGGCTTTCTTAGTGGTTGTAGTCTTTACTGTTGTTGTTGCTGCTTTACGTTCTTTCTTGTTTCCAGCTTCTTTTGCACGTTCAACAGCTAAAAAATCTATTTGAAATAAATTAAAAAAATAAAAAACCTTGTTTAGAACCACCTCTGGAACGCCCCTTAGTTTCCTTTTCAGTAACAACAACATTTCCATCATTCTCCTCTTCATTATCCTCCTGTTCTTGTTGCTTCTTTGGCTTACGACCTCGTGTGGTTGTTGCAGTTGGTTTTTCCTTGTCTTTAGCTGTTGTTTTGGTTGTGGTTGTATTCTTCTCCTTAAAAATTTTAAATAAATTCTTTAATTTTCTAATTTTTGTATAAAAGAATTTAAGAATGGCTTATAATTTTTACGCCTATTAGCTAAAGGAGGAAATTACCCAACAAAAAATAAATCATACCACAGCATTTTTCTTCCCAGCAACTTTAGTAGAAGTAGCAGCAACAGATTTATTTTCCTTAGCCTTAACAACTTTAGTCATTTTTGAAGGAGCTGCAGGAGTTCTTTTTGTAGGAGGAACAGGCTGATGTTTACGAGGTTGCGGAGGCTGAAGAACTTTGTTATCCGAAGCATCTTCCTCATCGTCTTCTTCTTTTTCAGAATCTTTGTCAACCTCCGTTTTCTTTTCTGGTCCATATTTTTCACGAATGCTTTTGACGATTTTCTTCTAAAAAATTGTCAGAATTTTGATAAAATTTAGAAAAAAATTTGGTAATATTCAATTCGTTCCCCCCCCCTCATTTTTTGCATCCTCAAAGTATTAAAAAATGGTCAATCTGACTTAAGTTATAGAACTCGTCGAGCTGAGTCGAATGACACCAAAATCAAAAAAATCCGACTTGATTTGACCGAAATACAGACCCCTGAAAATTGAACAACCACGGGGGCGGAATACCAAAAAGATGAAAAAGTATACAAATGATAGCTCTTTCGAAAGAGCTCGTCGAGCTGAGTCGAATGACACCAAAATCAGCGCGATTGCACAAGATTTGACAAAGTTATGACATAAGGTTGTCGACTGCGGTAGGTCTAAATAATGCCATAACTTTGTCAAAACTCGTCCGATTACGTTGATTTCGGTGTCATTCGACTCAGCTCGACGAGCTCTTTCGAATGAGCTATCATTTACATAAAAAATTTTTATTCTAAAAAATCACTCCTATGGTTGTTCAATTTTCAGGGGTCTGTATTTCGGTCAAATCAAGTCGGATTTTTTTGATTTTGGTGTCATTCGACTCAGCTCGACGAGTTCTATAACTTAAGTCAGACTGACCATTTTTTAATACTTTGAGGATGCAAAAAAGGAGGGGGGGGGACGAAATTGAATATTACCAAAAATTTCTTACAGTTTCCTCAGTATCCGCATCGCTCAGTCTTTTGCATTCAGACTCATTCATCAAATTGTAAGTCGCAAAAGAAAGGTCGGAAATTTCATCAGAAGTGGTTGACTTATTAATAATCTTAAAAATATTGATTTTTACAGATTGAACATAGAGGTCGAGTTGGGGGGTTTTGGATTTTTCTGTTTGAGCCCTGAACAGACAGTCAATGTACAGACAGTCATTTTTTAATTTTGTCGGCCCGTATTTATCCTAGACCTAAAGATAAGGGGTTGACCAAGGTTACCAGGACCAGATCGGCCTACCTTTTCCATAATTCCAAATAAAAACCTGTTTCCTTTCCATGCCAGTATCACTGTCAATACGCCTGGGCGGAACAGCAGAAGCAACCTCCTCGTGCTCATCAACAGACTCATCACCACTTTCAACTACTTTTTCATCACCACTTTCATCGCTGCTTTCATCACTAATTTGATGAAGCATTTTGTGTCTCTTATTCTTGTCGATTTTAAGCTGTTTGCGTTCATCCAGTCTCAATGGAGGCTTCTTTTTGTCCACATTTTTGTCCACCTTTTCTTTGGAAACTTTATCCTTTCCTTTAAGAATAGATTTTTGTTGTCGCTCTGCCATATATTGCCAAGAACCTTTAAGAATTTAATAAATGAATTCTGAAAAAAATTAGAACGTCAATAAAAAAGTAAATTTTAATGAGAAAGTGAATATGTATACTCCTAATATTTTCAACAATTTATATACTAAAAACTAATCCCTTTTTGATTTGCATTATTTACCAAAGGCAAAAAATAAAAAGGAAAATGGGGGAAAATAAAAAACGACCCTAAGCCATTTCCCTGAACTTTTTAATACTTCCCTTATTTCTTTCGCCTTAAATAACAAGAGAGAAAATGACAAAAAAACGGGTAGGGGACGACTCAGAGTAGCCGATTCAGAGTCGCCAATTCAGAGTCGCCGATTCAGAGTAGGGACAATTCAGAGTCGCCGATTCAGAGTAGGGACAATTCAGAGTTCGCCGATTCAGAGTAGGGACTATTCAGAGTAGCCGATTCAGAGTACGTGGAAAAGGGGACGATTCAGAGTACGTAGAATAAAATAACCTAAAAATCGAGATTTTTGGAGAGCAACTGATTTATTTTTTTGCTTTTTATTCTTTTTTGTGTCCTTTTATTGTTTTAGAGAGAAAAACAACAATTTGCACAGCCAACAGCAATTCTTCAATAGCAGAAAATAATTTTTAATAAAAATTTAAAATTTTTAAAATTTCTCCTATTTTCTAAAAAACTTAAAACGACGAGGGTTCTACTCTGCATTGCAAGGTTTGTTTTAATTTTTTTTGTTTTTTTAGATTTCGTTTTTAAATCTTTCATTTTTTGGAATTTCTTTAAAGAATTTTTCAATTTTTTAAATTCATTTTTCTAGGAGTTACAACGACGTGCTCGGGCGATTTGCTGTTGAGGTGATTCTGCCTGGTAACCTTTGAATTGTAGTCTTATGTTAGATAGAATAGAAGTAATGTTGGAATTTCGTCAACACCCACAACCCAAACGGCCCTCTTTAGGGCCACAAATCTAATGAGTGAAACGAGACATTGACTTTTTAGTTATTTTTTTGATAAATTTTTGCTTATTTGACTCTTTTTTTATTAAAATTTTGTTCCCTGAAGAAAAAAAGTTGAGATCAAAACTTTACCCTAAGGCCGAAAAAGCCTAAGAAAAGTCTAGAGTCAAGACTCGGCAACCTTTTAGAATGTTCTTCAGATTGTAGAAACTAAAAAAAACCCGGAAAAAACGCAAGAAATGCCCGATTTTCTATGTCCAAAAATTTATGTACTCTGAATCGTCTACTCTGAATTGTCCCTACTCTGAATAGTCCCCTACTCTGAATCGGCGACTCTGAATCGGCTACTCTGAATTGGCGACTCTGAATCGGCGACTCTGAATCGACCTTTTCCCCAAAAAAACCGAAGCCAAACAGAACGCCAAAAAACCGCGTTTAAACAAAATTTAAACTCGGTTAAGGACGATTCAGTATCGCCGATTCAGTCACTGAATCGTCCCCTACCCATTTAAACTCTAACCATGGCGCTCCGACTCGGGCACAGTGATCCATTTGCACAGTAAGTCAATTGCACAGAGGGCATCTGCACAGTAGACAATTGCACAGTAATTTGTGTTTAAGTGGATTCGTGTTAGATTTTACTTATTGTTATAAGGGAATAAAATGTTATTAATTATTAGAGATTGGACCGAACGATTTTTTTTCGATATTTTTGACACCGAAAAATATCGAAAAATATCGACTGAGAAAATTTTGACTTTTTCGATATTTTTCGGTATTCGTTATTTATCGAAAACTATCGACCGACCTCTTCGGCGATCTCTACCTTTTCCAAAAATATGATTTCTGAGAAAAATCTTTAAAATACAAAAAGAATCAAACGAACAAATAATTAACTGAACATAATAATTGCCCCGAGTATTAACAACATTTTTTAAACAGGAAAGAGATTTTTGGATCCTTCTTTTAAAAAATCTGATTTCTGATGCAAAACGTACAAAACGCAGTCTCGCCCTTGGCGTCTTCAGTAAAGTGCCTGTCCCGTAAGAAATTTTTTAAAAATGTGAAAAGGTGTTTATACGATAGAGCAGACTCAGAACTACAAAGCGGTACCTAACCAAAAATTCTCAAATGCGGAGATCCTTTAGAACATACTCTAACAGATGATTCGCAATAAAAATAAAAAATAATTTCTAAAAACTTAATTTTAAAATCAAAAAAATCCAAATTAAAAAAGCGACACTAATTATGACCCGACCTAATAATTAATAACATTTTATTCCCTTATAACAATAAGTAAAATCTAACACGAATCCACTTAACCACAAATTACTGTGCAATTGTCTACTGTGCAGATGCCCTCTGTGCAATTGACTTACTGTGCAAATGGATCACTGTGCCCGAGTCGTGTCACCCTAACCATTACGAATCTTTCCTTTACCCTTTTCATCACAATCTCTTTCAAAATCAATTAATCCACTCGTTTGAGAATCAGATGAAGATGATGAATAATAGGAATCCTCATCATCCTCATCAATTATTTCATCAATTTCTTTATAAATTTTAAAAGTATTTTCCCTGGGTAGACAACAAAATTCATTTTTAACTATTTTAGGCATTCTTAACCACATTTTTTCATCATTCCAACCTTTATTTTCATTATTATTATTTTTCCTAATTTTTAAATTCTCTATTTTTCTATATTCCAAAGTTTTTCGGCGACTTTGACAACCTTCGTAAACTATGAAAAAATATTACAATAGAAAACTTCATTTTTGAATACCCTCAATACTAGATTAAGGAAGGAAATTTAGCTGACTAGCATTTAAAACGCTTAATAAAAGGGTAATAAAGTATTTCATCGTCAGAATTGCTCAATCGGTAAAGCACTTACTGACGTAGTGAGCGGAAGCAGGTCCGGGTCTAAACTTTCAACTCTTTCTTATTTTAGATATTACCCAGTTTAAGATATCTTTTTCAGATTAGGTTTAAAGATAGGGATTGGGGAGCTACATAACCGATACCACCCCATTTAAATAAACCTTTTATAAGAATCATTTTGAAATCCATGAGTATTTCAAAACGAGATTCGACATTATTTTTTAAATAAAGTTAAATTTTTTAAACTTACAATTTCCAGCAGTCAAATCGTTAAGTAGCCTTGCAACTTCATTACTTTTTCTAGCATGTTTTGCTGGGGGTTTTGAAGATCCATCAGATTTTAGACTGGTAGAAGTAGAGTGCCGTTTTCGGAAAATTTCACCTGCTAAAAAATTTTATGTATTTTTCTTAAAATCAGAAAATTTTTTGGAAAATTTTTATTATTTTCTATCATCTATTTTCTACCTTCCGTGTCCATTCGTTCATTTTCGTCATCTGTCTTTTTAATATCTCCCCCTCTCCTTTCTTTTTTATCCAAATCTTCTTCCTTCTCATCGTCATCTTCCCTTTTGGAGGGAGGGGATGGGACAGAACTATCACATTCCATAAGCCTTGTCATTTTAGATTCATCTATTGTTGTATTATTATTATTAAGTTTTTGTTGGGGTGATGATGGTTGTGATGATGGTACTGTTGCTTTTGTTGTTGAATTATCTGAGAGGGATATGAGTGAATTTTGTGGCTCGTTATCTGTTGAAGGGATTTGTTGATTTTTCTTAAAGAAAAAAATATTTTAGGTTTTGAATTTGTGCCAAATTTGCATTTTTGTAGGTTTTCTGTTATAATCAAAAAATCCGCAATTTTTTCCGTAAAAATTTTTTGTCCGCAAATCAACTTTCGGATTAAAATAAGTAAATTGTCATGTTTTGAGGAAATCCTCGAGTTTAAAAAAATCAAAAATACCTCTTCAACAACATTAGTGCTTTCACATGATCTGCTTCCACTTAATCTCCTATTCAACAAATTTTGTGGTAATTGTAAATCTTTTGTTGATTTGTTCCCACCAACTACCTTATCTGCTGCAAACAATGCAGTAGTTAATGTACTTAAATTGGTTATGTTATTATTTTGATGTTGTTGTGCTGGTGTGGAGAAGGCACTAGAAGCACCGGAACTGTTTAATGAAGAAAGTGGAGAACTCAGAGAATCCTTTAAAAATATATTTGTAATTGTAGAAATAAAACTTATTCTAAAACCAGAATTGTGAAACTTAAAGTTTATAAATAATCCACCTTAGAAGTACTAGCCATCGGTTCGTATTGATGTCTTGTAGCTGGAATCGCGCTAGGAGATTGAAGCAAAGATGAAGATGCCGCTGAGGAGAAGCCAGAGGAAGAAGAAAAATTACTAGCACCACCATTTATTGAAGGTGTTGTTGAATTATTTAAATTATTAGAGGAGCTAATTGGGGTAGAAAACCGTTGGGCTAAGGAATGTTGCAAGGAAGGGGTTACTGAAATAGAGGAAGGAGTTCCCCTTGATGAGGAAGTAGCAACAGAAATTGGAATATTTATAGAAGTAGTAGAATCGTTATTGTTTGCCTGATGTTGTTGTTGTTGTTGGGCTGCGGAAATTGCGGCGGCTAATGCAGAGGCTATTTCTAAAATAAAAACTTGATAAGTCTAGATAAAATTACAACTAAATTCTCGAAATCTTCCCAAAATTCACCTGGTATCCTCTGTAAGTCATTAGGTGTTGAGGTAGCCCCATTCCCTCTTGCTGCCGCAGCAGCAGCAACCGCTAATATAGGCGATACTTTACTTGATGCTGGAAAACCCTCTCCAATATTTGGCCATCCATTGGAAGTTGCAACTTAAAAATTTATTAATTTTGTGGGAAAATTTTGTATTCACCTTTAGCAGCAACTTGTTCAATATTTAATTGTGTTGAGCTAGTCGTAGGTGGTGTTAATGATGAAGAGGAAGCCCCACGTGAAAGAGGTGTTACTCCAGCACTTGGCCTAAACCCTAACATTGAAGGGTGGTTTGCAGTATTTGAAGATGTACACGAGGAATAGGCTGCCGAAGCATTTGAAATATTTGAAAATTGATTTTGACTGGGTTGTGCTGTAACTAAAAGACCGGCAGCCGCTGCAGCAGAAGTTGCTGCTAAATTATTTGTTGTTGTACTATGAGGGGGGACAGATGCTGCTGTTGGTTGTTGTGAAGGTAAAGAGAAAGCATAAGGTGCCCCGAATAATGAGGATGCAACGGTAACAGAAGATGCTGAAGCAGCTCTCGCCTGTCCAACTGTAGCAGCAGCAAGCTGATTTTGTTGAGTTTGCTGCTAAATTAATGGAAAAAATAAACTTGAAATTGGCAAGTTTGATTATTAAAAATACTTAAGTTTACAAACTTTAAAATTACAATTTGTTCATTCGTTATTTTTAAATAAGTTTATTTAAAGCTTCAAGAAAACTTGTTTTACGACTAGAAAATAAACTTGAATTACAATTCTGAAAAACAAACTTATTTTAAGACTAAAAAATAAACTTGAAATTTACAAATTGTAATTTAAAGGAAAAATTGTAAAAATACCTGTGCTTGTGGCTGATAAAGCGACACAGGTAAACGAAGTTGTAATTGATGAGCGATTGATGCTGCTTTTTGTTGTTGTTGTTGTGTCCAGTCTTGAGCCGTAGGCTGTAGGGAGGCGGCGCGGATATTTGGCCAAAGTGAGGCGGCTGCAGCGTATTGCTGCACTGCTGTTGGATTAGCAGCTGCTGCGGCATTGATATCTGTGGAATTTTGGGAATCTTACACGTTATTTGTTGAAATTTAATTACCAATTCCTCCCCCAAATCCAGCAGATAAGAAAGAAGCGGCTACAGCAGCAGCGGCTGATTGAAGAGCATGTCCATACATAAGAGGGTTCTGCTGTTGTAAAGAGTTCAAATTAAGCAAAGATTTTTGAAATTGTTGTTGAGCAGTTAGCCTTTCCATTGCTGACATTGCATCATGAGAGGCCATTAAAGAACGCAGTTGGGCATTTATCTTTACAAAATTAATTAATTGAAAGGGGAGATAAATTTTTAATTATATGTATAATTGTAAACTTGAAAATAAAATAAACTTGAAATTTACAATTATGTAGAAAATAAACTTGGAAGTTAAAACAGAAAATAAACTTAGTTTCAAGTTTACAACACTAAATAAACTTGTTGCTTGTAAGTTTGTAAAAGGTTTGTAAAAACAAAATAAAACTTAAGTTCACAATCGGAAAATAAACTTGCTTTTAATTTCAAGTTTGCAACAATAAATAAACTTGATCAAAGATTAAAATAAAATGACATTAAAATAATTTGTACTAGAAGAAACATTAATTAACTAAACTTACACTTAATTTAAAAGTCAACAACACTTTTTAATATTAATTATACTTTAATTTTCCCACACACCACGTATTAAAATATATTTTTTAAATAAAAAATTAGTCACCTGCTCTTCATTAGTAGCAGCTGTAACAGTTCCCAGGCCTAGTTGATTCAAAGCATTTAATGCCTGCTGCTGTTGGTGGTGGTGGTGGTTGTTATTCGTCGTTATTTGTTGATTACGTTGCTGGGAATTATTAAGTGTTGATGTCGTTCCTCCAAGGGAATTGGCAGTAGAGGAAGAGTGCTGTTGCTGTGCATTAGTCACTGCCGTTGTTGCTGCAGCAAAGGCAGCCAAATGTGCCAATTTTTGCTGTTGATGGTTTTGTTGTGTGGAGGCGTTGTTTTGTATTTGGGCTGAGTTTGGCAGGGAATTTGTGCCAGTAAAACCATTAATGCCGTTATGACTAATATTGCAAGTGACAGGAATGGTGGCAGAAATGGATGAGGGAGTGGAGAGCTATTTAATTAAAAAATAAAAAAAACTTATATTGGCACATGACTTGTATATAAAGTTTTGTTGGTAAAAATAAAACCTCAAGTTTTTAAATATTTTACAATCTCAAGTTTGTAAAATAAGTTTAAAATTATAAATCCAAGTTTTAAGTAAAATATAAATTAAACATTATTAAAGTAAGTTTGAAACCTAATCTAAGTTTATTTAAATTATATTTCTGCCAATTACTTAAATTATAATTTCAAATTGTTTAAAAAATAGCTTTACCACAGTCGGAGGAACAACAACAACTGGAGCGCCTGAATTATTCGTTGTACTGTCAGGAGCGACAGGAACGGTTGAAGCAGGCACAGTTGCATTCATAGAAGATGCTGAAGGACCGGAGACAGTGCCAGATGAAGGAGGTAAAGCTTTGGGTACAGCAACACAGGAATAGACCTCTGTTGGAACAACAAGGTCTGAGTTGATCTGTTAAAGGGAAAAGTTAAATAATAAAGAAAAGTCTGATTCTAAAATAAAAAAAAAGTCAAAAATTGTAATAAATTTAAGGTTTATTTTTACAACTCTTAGTATGCTCAAGTTTTACAATTAAAATCCAAGTTTATTTTACAATTATCAATTACACTTATAAATCGAGTTTTACAATTTCTAAGCTTACAATTCCAAGTTTTGTAATTATTTTATTTTTAAAATTACATGCCCAAGTTTTACAATTTGAATCCAAGTTTATATTTATTTTACACTACTATGTCTAATTACAATTCTGAGTTTTATTATTTATTTTTACAATTAAGTTTACAATTAATTTACCTGCATATACGCTCTCTTTTGGTCACTCTGTACACGCACACGCTTTTTCGAGTAGCCAAAATACTATAAAAATAATTCCAAGGTTTTAAATCTCCTTAAATTAATTTTGATTTTCAAATTATTTTTAATAAATGTCTCTCTTAAAATTTAATTTAAAAAATATATATTTTTACGTTGTAATTCGAGAGTGCCCTTTCAAAACGAAAAATAAACTCCGCAGATTGTTGGGGAGCGTACTCACCAGCCTGAAAAATTAAAAATAAAATAATCGAGATAAATACAAATTTAATTTAAAGATAATTAAAACAGACAATCTTCACACCTTTTCAGAAAAAATTTTTTTTCGACTATAAAGTTTAATGTCCAAATATTAAATTTTTAACGTGTCACCAAAATTGTGAAAATTATTTTTAGTTTGAAATAAAAGGGAGTAAAACCAGTGACCCCGAGCCCAATATACCGCCGAGCTATAATTTTTTCTAAAATTGTCGGATCCGTGGCGTTGATTTAGCCAGTCGAGACGCATAGAACCATACCAGGTCGCCTCGGATGCGGCAATTTTGAACAAGTACATCGGGGTTGTACCCGAAATAAAATTTTTAGAAAATATTTTAAATAAATAATCCCCCCCCCTCACTTTAATAGCGGCCCCATTCACATGTCCAAATTTAATTAAATCCCCTTCTTTAAGTTGTTGCTGTATATTCACCTAAAAATAATAATTAATTTTATTAAAATACTCTTTCTCAATTTTAATCACTCAATTTTTGAAAAGAATTGGTGATTGGTCAAGAGATTAATAAAAAGATAAAATATCCACTAGACAGAATAGAAGAGATTAAAGAAAAGGGGTGGGTAGATAAATGCAAGAAAAAATAAATAAAAATAAATTGCGATAAATAAATATATTTTTGGTGAAGGCATATACATATATTTAAAAATAAATCAAAAATCATAAAAATATTTGAATTTACAATTAACATAAAATCTAATAAATATGTATGAAAATTTACAAGCGATTTTCGATTTATTCGTTACTAAAGTTTCATTCCTGTTGTAAAAGATTTGCTTTAAGATTGTAATTTATTTTCCTATTCTAAATTTATTTGTTAAATTTACAACCGGAAAACATTAATAAACAGAAAATAAACTTGTTACAATTTTCCGGAAAATATTAAACCGGAAGTTAATTTTCCGGATAGTTTATTCTGATAATTGTAAATTTTCCGGACAATTGTAAAAAGTTTATTTTATCTGTGAAAATTTTCCGGATGTAAATTTAAAGTTTATTTTCCGGAAAGTTTATTTTACATATTTTCCCGTTATGAAATTAATTGCTAGTTTAGTAAATAAGTCAAGTTTATTTTTCATAACTGAAAAATATTATATGTAAATACATATAATTTTCAATTGTAAATTTATTTCATAGATTTTTCCGGTTGTAAAATATTAAAAATTCAAAGGTTTAAAATGTAAATATATATACTTATATGTACTTTAGTTAAATCATCTATCTACATACCTTTTTATTTATCATTTATGTAAAACATATAAAATTCGCCAGACTTTTTACATTTTAAAATATTTATTAAAACAAGGTTCATAAAGGGAAAAAGGAATAAAATAAACTCTAAAAAGGGGTCGGCGTCCCATGATAGCATACCAAAAAATATATTTTTTTTAAATTTATTATTATTATTAATATTATCAAAAAAATGTCAAATAAAGATAAAAATTTTTAATGATGATTAATGAAGAGAAAAAAAAGATAAAAATAATTAGAGCAGAGAGGAATGTGTGTATATAATAAACACATTAAAAATATATATATCAACCAATCACCAGCCCTATAAACTATACTAATTTAATCATTCAATCAGTAATTATTTTTATTTAGACTATTTTTATATTTTTAAGGGGTTAATTTAATAAATTTTATTTGTTATCAATATTGATAGAAATTTATTTATTCACAAACACCTCTTTTAATAAGGTGAAAAAGGGAATGAAATCATTAAATTATTGAGAATAATTAAAATAGAAGAAAAGAATAATTTTTTGGGCTATAATTTCTGAATTGTAAAACACTAGTATTTGTATTTTCCGGATCATAAAAAAGTTTATTCTATTCCGGATTTGTAAACATTTACAATTGTAAATTTAATGTTTAATTTTTTCCGGAAAGAAAAATAATTCTCGTTCATTTACAATTGTAAAATTTAAAGTTTATTTTCCATCAGGATTGTAATTAAAACTTGTCCGGATTTGTAAAATATTATAATTAATTTTCTTCAATTATTAAAAATAAAATTAATTTGTAAAAACCCACTCTAGTATCGTTAACATAAGTGCCATTTAGTGAACGGTCTGTAATGAGATAACGAACATATTTCCCTTTATCATCTGTCACACCGATAATTTCAGAATGGTCTCGAGAAATCATATTACTAAATTAAATAATTGGAAAGAGGTTTATATTTACAAATGTAAAATTGAAAAATAATTTTTAAAATTGTAAAAAAAGTTTATATATTCCGAATCCGGATCGTACATAGTTTATTTATTTCTGAATGTAAAATATAAGTCAAGTTCATTTTAGATAACTGGAAAATATTTTCCGGATCGAGAAAGTGTTCATTCTTTTCCGGATTGTAAAAATGTTTCTATGTATATTTTCCGGATTTTTATTAAATACTCGGATGTAAACCATACATTATTTAAAAATAGAATTGCAAATACCTGTGAACAACTGAATGAAGTACAACATCCACCAACTCTGGATTTCGTCCTATTTTTGTTTGTTTGTCCAGTCTTTAAAATTAAAAATGTGGAAAGTAAATAAATTTTAAAAATTAAAAAAAGGGAAAATTAAATAAAAAAGATATCCACGTTTAAATAAAAAATAAATAATTACAAAATCATTGTAGACCGTCCCAAAATTGCCGGTTCAAGACTTGGTTCAATGGCATCATTAATTTGACATCCCTTCTCTTTTACATATGTCTTAAAGAAAAATATAAAATATTAAAGTTTATTTTCCGTGTTATAATTTTAGTTTATAGCTTCATATTTTCTTCTTACCTGGAATTGAACCCTTCTCAAGTGGAACATACAAACATTTGATCTATCCGATTCCACCATATCCTCCTTCTTTCCTCTTTTCCCTTTATTCGTTATTTTTATTTTTTTAATTATTTCTTTTGAATATTCCTCCAAAATTTTTATTTTTATTAAAATAATCGGTCAATAATTAAGTGACGGCCGTTTGAATTGTATGGCGCCTCGGGCATTGAAATGCAGTAAAATTCTGCTTTTTTTCGTTTGGCGTATTAGGGAAATGAAGACAATAAAGATGTTTTTAGGGGAAAATAAAAGAAAAAAATATGACGCCAATATTTTATTAAATTTTCTAAAAAATGAGAAGGTAAAATAGTGAAGAAGATAAAAATAAAAATGATAAAATAGGTAATTTAATTTTAAAAAATATTTTAAAAGTAAAAACAATGGGGAGGTTGTAAAAATAATTAAAATAAAAAATAGTTAAGAGATTTGTAGTAAGAATTGTAAAGTAAGTTTATTTTTAATAATTGTAAAATAAGTTTATTTTTACTTTCCGGAAAACAAGTTTATCTCCACAATTGTAAACCTTTTTTCTTCTAATTTGTAATTTAAGTAAGTTTATTTATTTATTTTTTCTGGATTGCACATTACTTTCCGGTTTACAATTCTATTTATAGAATAAATATTCTAAAACTCGTTTTTTTATCAATTTTAATTTAATTTAAAATTAAAAAATCCTTCAAGAAAAAAATTTCTAAATGAAAAACCTGTACATTTCTACAGTCAAACTTTCATGCGCCGCTACTAAATATGTGGCTTACTCGGTTTTAACATTTTTCTTATGTTTACGCGCTCACGTGAGAGCAGCTGGCAAATAAAAGATTTTTTATTTGTTAAGGTATTGATTTTATAAAGTAAAGAAAAAAAGGGGGGAAATGCGAAAATGATGGGGAAAATGTGTATATTAAAGTAGAGGAAATTGGATAAGGGTTGGGGTGATAGATGGGGGGGGGGTTGGTTGGTTGGACCGAGGTCGCGTTTAGTTTAGTTTTGTTTGTTCGACAGTCAAAATTAATAATTGAGGGGAGAGGAATGAATGCCATAAAAGATTGATTATCAGTAAAATATATTTGCTTTATTTGCTCAACTTTTTTGTTAAAAATTTTGGTAAAAAAATTTTCAAATTTTAATTAAATATTTTTGTCCGCAAATTAAAAATTGGTTGCAAAAATTATTCCGCAAAAAAGTACAATATAAAGTACAAAATAAACTTAAAATTGTAAAATAAGTTGCAAGTTTATTTTCAGTTAGATTTTTTATATTTAAGTTTATTTTGTGAATTGTAAATTAAGTTTATTTTTCAGAAATGTAATGCAAGCATTTTCATAATTGTAAAACAAGTTTCAAGTTTATTTTTTGTTTTGTAAATTAGGTTAATATTTAAGTTTGCTTTTTATTGCATATTGTAAATTAAGTTTTTATTTTGTAAGTTGCAATGTAAATTAAGTTTATTTTTCAGAAATGTACATGCATTTCTGATTGTAAAACAAGTTTTTAAATTGTAAAATAGGTTTATTTTGTGAATTGTAAAATAAGTTTATTTTGTGCATTGTAATTCAGGTTTATTTATTTACTTAATATTTAATCAAATATTATCTACGTTAATTTGTCCGCATTTTCTGTCCGCAAATTTTTTTATTAATAAAATTAAAAATCAGAAAATATAATAGAGAGAGTGCGGATCTTGAAATGACGGCTACTTTTTATTTATTCCCGATAAATCTTTTTATTTATTTCTTAATTAGACGCAGCTATAAAAAATCCATTTACATTCACATGCATTAAAAAGCGGATGCGCGCGATTTATCAAAAGAATTATATGCACTTTTTATTAGATACATTATTCGATTAGCTTTTAAATAATTAAGAAATGCAGACAATAAATAAATAAATAATAGCAAAATACATAGCAGAATGGAAATTCAAGTTAAATAGATTTTTGGTTCAATTGGAATGATTTCTGTATCATTTGAAAGAGCTTAAAAAGCTGATTCGAAAGACTCCAAAATTAGCTTTCTAACTTAATTCTGAAGGGAAATACAAGCCTTTAAAAATCAGAAAACAAAAGGGAAGACCAAGCTGATTTTCAGAAAACTTTAATTTCTGAGTATTTTTAATTAAAACTTTTTTTTGTCTAAAAACTCAGGGTTTTTTGCAATAATAATTTTTATATATTTTATAAAATTTAAAAATTGTGTAATAATAAGAAATAAAAATATTTAAAGCTGTCAATATTGAGAGAGAAAAATATTTAAGAGTAAATCAATCTCCCCTCCCCTCTCTCCTCTCAACTTATGTTAAAAGGGTTGTTGAGAAAGTAAATATTTGCGGATTAAATTTTTTTGTGAATAAATTTTTGCGGATAAAATTAAAAATTGCGGATTTAGTATTTGGAGGTATTCTGAAAGATAGGGCATTTGGAAATTTAAAATAATTAATTTTAATTATATTCTAAAGGAGAGAGAAGATGGATATACATAGCAATAAATAAGCATCCATCAATAAATTTTATATCTTCGGTAAGGTCTCTCCATTTCAAGTAAAAACATAAAACTATTCAAAAGACCCCAAAGACCCAAGGCTTTAGAGAATCTGTTGGGATATGTATGAAAGATTTCAGGGAAGGGGGGGGGGTAATTGAGAGATTATTTTTATTTATTTATTTATTTTTATAAAGGTAAAAAAGGAAGGGAATTAAAATTAAAAATTTAAAAAATTCTTTCATTCAATCAATCTATTCATTTCGTCAAATGACTGCCAATACGGCTGTCAACAAAAAAAGACAGGTTTTATATTAAATCCTATTGATTAAACTAAAAATTTATTGACTGTTTAAACACTTGACTTTTTTGAGAGAGGGAAATTTAATAAATAAATTATTTAGTAGAGAAGTTGGGAAGGGAAACTTAAAAAATTTGAAATATTATTTAAAATATAAAAATTTTAAATTTAAAATAGCGACCTCCATTAGTAACGACCTTGAGAAAACGGAAAACGGAGACTTTGAGGAAGCTTATAACGAGAGCTTTTCCGTTAAAGTCCTCCACAAATAAGCTTTTGAACTCTGATTGGGACAAAGGAAAAGTCGCCTATACCGGGCTTGCAAGGGGAGGTAATTTAAAGAGTCTCCACTAACGAGAGTTTTTTCTCTCTTTATAATTTTGTCAATAAAATACTCTCTAATTAAATAAAAATATTTGTTTAATTTTATATTTTTCTTTTTTAATAATTTTTCTCGTTCAATGTTCAAGGCAAAATTCTTTTTTTTAATAAACTGATAAAAAAATTAATATTATTTGAATGATTGATAGGGAATAATACGTAAAAGGTTAATATTGAAAGTTTTTTGGGTTGTTGATTAATAAGTATTACTGTAAAAATTTAATAGGAAAACGGAGGTGATTGATTAATTGATATTTTGAGTGGTTATCAGCTAAACTAGTGTTTAATATTTCAAAATGTCAACTTTTCAAATTATTTTTTTATTGGCATTTCGTTTTTAACAAAAATACAGGGACAATAAAATTTTTCGATAAGTTGACATTATGAAATATTTGTCACAAGTTGAGATTTCGAAGTATTATTAAAGTTTTAGCAAATTTTCACTAAAACTTTAATATTATTTAAAGATTTTCTTTTACTTTTCAGTTTATTTAAAGGAAAAGAAATAGGCAATCATTTTACAACATTTTTGAAAGATTTCAAGAAGGGATAAACAAAATATTTTTAAAGTATTTAAAATCTTTTTAAAAATATTTTAAAAAGCCACACAAAATTTTAGGACTAATTTTCTTCTTCAAAACTAGTAAATATACACAACATATGTTTGGATGGATATTTTAAAGGGGAGAAAATAAACGAGAAAAATAAAAAGGTAGCTTTCGAGAATTTTTACTAAAAATGCTTTTTCTTCTTCTATTCACACAGAATTGAGCGCCCAATATCGATTTTTGTGTTTGGCGTTGTTTGGGCGACAATTTTCGCTATAGAGGAGAAAAAAGGAGTGGAACGGAGGGGGGAAAGACTGACAACAACAACGGACGACGACCTCTCTTATTTTACTTTTCTATATTTTTCTTTAAGGGCTACTATTTGTTTAGTAGCACTAATGTGAGGAGGCTGTGGAAGAATGATGGAGAAAAGGATTGGCTTGGCTTGAAAATAAAAAAATGTTTTTGTGAAGAGAATTGACGAGAGGGGAGAGTACAAACACATGCAAGAAAAGTAGTGAAGAAAGAGGACTTTCTATAAAAGAAAATTATTTTATTGATTTTAACAAAGGATAAAGCTAACTATATATAAAATGATGTAAAAATATGTAATATACCTGTTAACATTTTCAATTTTTTAATATAAAATTGACATGAAAATCTATGGCAATTTTTAATGACTGTTGGGCGAAGTGTACATTTTCAGTTTTTTGGTAGTTTAGCACCTAACTTTTTTTTCTGTGATGGATAGTTGAATAGAAGGAATGTAAAAATAAATTTTAAAAAATTAAAAGTTTAAAAAACGAGAAAAATTTAGAAATTTTAATGATAGTGTTTTAGTGACGAAGTGTGCACTTTTTCTTTTCTGACGAAATGTCCAGTTTGCATTTGTCTTTTCAAGTTTTTTTCTTTTTCTATTGTTTATTTCGGATTATATTTTTAATTCTTGATATTTTGTGAGATTAGTAAGTACATCAATAGGCAATCAAGTTTTGAATGAAATTTAAAATTTTTATTCCGTTCTAATTTTCAGTAGAATCCAAATAAATAAAAAAATTATTTCAAAAAATGACTCGTCGTGGTGTTGGCAATCGTTGTAGTGATGTTGTTCGTTATGTTCTTTCCCATTCTCCAACAGGCTCTAGTTGTGCTTGTCAACAACAAAATTATGTTTGTGAAGATATTGCTGTATTTCTAGATTTTGAGAATTGTATACCCAGCGATCAGGTTTATTTTAAATTTTTGATTGGATAAGCTCCAGAATTACTGCACATTAAATTATCTAACTTCTGTATTGTTTAATTTTATTTAACATACAAAATTAGAGGGAGTATTTGTTGTGTTTTTTGGTTATTGTTGGTATAGCTAGGGTTTGTTGGCATGAGGTAGCGGGGGGGGGGGGGTTGTTC